TAACAGGAGGTGTTGGTGTGGAAGCCGAGGGATCTTTCAACTTCTAGATTGTCAAGACATATATAAATGTTGGTTGCGGACTCGGCTTGAGGAGAGGCAATGGCACCTTTCAGACCCAGGAGGGCCGCCGCAGTACGAGTTCTAGTTGGTTGCAACGCATGGTCATTTTGTTGGAGATCTCTCTTCTTCTTGTCGTTCGAGAGATGCCAGGCCACCAGGCCTCGCCTCTATAATATAGCGAAGCGAGCACGCAGGCTCGCACAGCCTGTCTCAGTAGCTCCACCAGGGCACCTCTGACTGTGTTGCTCAGTGCCCGTATCCCGCCGCCCACTCGTCGTGCCTTAGCCGCCATGACCTCCACTTGTTTCTGGAAACCCAGCTTGCGGTCCAGCCAGATTCCAAGATAGCGCATAGAGCCATCCGGAGGAGTGGCGTCTACTGTATGAGTTATGGACCCAATGTTCAGCTTGATTGGAGGGTTGTCGTGGTTTCTCCTCCGAGTGAAATGGCCGAGCTCAGTCTTAGCTAGTTATGTCGAACGTGAGCCCCTCGTGGTTTGCCCAGGCATTCAACAGCTTGAAATCTTCTTGTAGAGTCTCTACATTCTCTTCGAGTGAGTAACCAGCACAGATCAAGGCGATGTCATCTGCATATCCTGATCTCCCGCGTCTTCTTTGTATTGTTCGTAAAAGTACTGCGACAAGAACAGTGCAGATCATGTAACCACAATCTAGACCATTTTTCAATTGTACCTCGTAAATAGTCGATCGAGCGCCGAAGCCCAATTTATCCAAGTCTGAATCGGATCTCCGAGCATGTACTATAGTTACTAGATCCATCAGTTAGCTTGCCCCACAGTTCAGCTTGTCGCACGGTCATTACCTCCTGGATAAATTGCCGAGCTGGCAGGAAGACGTATTTTGAGTTTCAGATTCAGCCAGCCATGCAGATATCTATGCCACTATGGAGTAAAATCCACAATCTAGTTAAACCCTGACTATCACTATTAACCTGAGTGCTTTCCCCCTATCTTAATATATACGTGCCTGCTCACTGCCTAAAGCTGTGTTATATAAATCTAACGTCTTCCCCTCTACCATTTCCTCTCTATCCTATATTTTATACTCATTACATCCACTGAAATCGCACGCTATAAAGAAACCATGAAGGTAAAGAATCAATACTTCGCAACAGCGAGAAATGCTGCTAATAGAGTGTGTAGTTCATCTCTATTGTCGCTCTCCTAGCCCCCGTCGTCCTGGCCGCCCCGCAGGCAATGACTGACGCGGGCTGGATCCAACTCCTTAAGGAACAGGTGTGGCCTGCCAACTACTAATTACAATTTTGAACCTCTATTTGGCAACCTATCTTAGCTAACTAAATATCGCTAATAGTGCCCTGATATATCAAAGCAGTGTCTTGATATTGCAGACAAGGCCCATCAACCGGCGTTTGGTACTGCTGAAGCTGAACAAGCTGCAAAGACCATGCCGACTTGTAACCCAGCCTATGAGAAATGTATCCAAAATCTCTCAGCCGACTCTGGTATGTGTTCCAGATTCAATTACTCACTCGTACAAGCAACTGGCTAACCGCAGTCCAGATGCTTTTCAGCCAGGCGCCACTCAAGGAAATCCCGTTATATGCCTTCTACAAATTGCGCCTGATCATATTAAGTACTTTCTCGACAATGACCGCGCTAGCGTACCGATTCCGCCTAACCAAAACTGTCCATTGCGAGAGCTGCACCGCGTAGCGCACGTTGAACTGGGTCCCTTGGCATAAGAATAATGGCTATTGGGAAGATTGTCAGGGGCCTCAAAGCTATATAGTTGGGAATAAAGTTAGATGATAGCTTTGATCGGCATGTTTGGCAGTCTGGAGCTGAAAGCAGTGAAGCAGGTGGTATTATTTTGTCCGTCATTAGTTTTGGCTTGCTCGCCGAGCCTTAATAATAGTCTCGAAGTTCGTGAACTCGCTCCTTGGCGATGCGCCGCATTTTCTTTGCGAACTGACTGTATTTGGCGAGATCTTTCCGTCCAATTTCTCTAGTAGTATTTCGACCATCTTTTCAAGATATCACTTAGGATTTTCGGTCAGGTTATCGCATAGATATTTCTTCATTTCGCGTGTGACACGCTTCAGCGGCCGGCGCGGGTTTTGCGTCGCGACATTTCCGTTGCGGATCGTTCACGCTCAAGTCGAATGCGCTGGATATCTCGAGGGCTATATTTAACTAAGAAACAATAACTCGTTAAGGGTTATTAGTAGTAGTAAAAGATTAAAAAGAGAGATTAAACTAAACTATACTATTAGCTAAGTAAGGAGATATATTCCCTTTATAAGGGGATCTTTTTAGAGATATTTTAAATATTAAAAAGAGTAAACGCTCTTAATATTGCACTGCGTACGGATAGATACATCAAGAACGCCGCTTACGTTTTCTCTGCCTGTCCCCCGCCTCCTTCCTCCCCTCCTCCTGTTGTTTTTGGAAGATGCGATACCTCTGCTGCACAGACGACAGAGTCCTCGAGGGGAAAAGCTCCTCGACATCGTCCTCTATTGGGGGGGCATCCTTCCGGACCAGGGATAAGAGTAGCTTATCCTCCCTCTTGGACCATCGGCCTCTCTTCCCCCTCTGTTCGGCCGCATATCGGTTATACCCAATGCCACCAGCACCCGCGGTGCCGTCGTTGCCCTGAGCTGAAGGTGGAGCGGAGAGCAGCTTCACTATAGACGTGGCGACCGCCGAGGCGAACGTGCATATATCATCCTGCACAAGTACGCGGTGGCTAGAGGCCTTTCCCGTGATAGAGAAGGAGAAGAAGAAATGCTCCTTATCGACCGCCTTCTACAAGATGGCCCGCAACAGAATCATCAAACTCTTCTATTCGACGAGACTGCTGTAATCAAGGTAAGTCAAGCTTGTAGATTGACCAGGTTAAGACAAATTTCTGACTATAGTCATAGGCCAGCAATAGCAGAGGTAAGTTGGCCACCTTCTCTCCGCTATGGTCACTTCAACTAACGCATATCCAGTATCGAGTTCGGTGATTAGCTTCTTTTCAAACCAACGTATAGAAATTTTAACGGATCACCTGGAGGCAAACGACCTCAAGGTACTTATCGATAGCATAGAGAACCTCATAAGGAGATTTGTGTCAAGAGGGACTCAACTTTCGCAGTAATTAGCTTCGACAGCTCCCAGAGACTCCTGAGGTAACAGCTGCCGAAGCAGATGCTTATATCGAAGGTCCTTCTTTCTCCATCTATTCTCTAACATCAGCTGATCAGGCTATATAGCCTATTTTGAGAACCTTCACCCACTTTATCCTTTCCTTGATAGACAAGAATTTGCGTCGCTTACCAGGGAATTGAGAATTAAGGCAGCCGGGGATACCAACAAATCGCTATCGGCGTTATACCATGCCGTCTTAGCATTGGGCAGTCAGTATTGTGATGGTGGAAGCTTTGTGCCAGGATCGGGGAAATCGTGGGGTCTGTTCCAAATTTCTCTTAGGCACCTCTCCGATCTGATTGTCCCGGCCTACTCCCTCCTAAAACTCCAAGTGCGTTTCTTTTCAATAGGCAAATGTATAAAAGTGACACTAACAGACGCCACTCATAGGCCCTGACGGCCATGGTAGGTTCACGGTCATTCATACAAGGATGTCTTTTAGTCTAACCCGTTGCAGTCTATATTCGCAATGAATCCGAGCTGTATTAAGCTAGATCAAACACTGATATACGAGGCTGCTAGAGTGGCCCAGCATCTCCGCTATCACAAATCCAGTAATGCTCAAGAGAAACATCTAAGGCTGTTCTGTACCATCCACTATATCGAAAAGATGACAGCATTCTATGAATCGAACAGCTCAGTATGCCCACTTTTTCATATCAACGAGTTGAAGGTGTGTTACTTATTTTAGACTAGGTGATTGCTGATGGGGACATCGGTTGTGTTGTCCCTGCGGTGTCAGACTCTACTGTTGCCGGCTATGATTGGTTTCTTTCTGCCAACCGTCTCAGCAGGCTATGTTCGATGACTTATACGTCTCTCTTTTCAACAGAGGCGACTCTTAAGACGAAGACATCTTTCCTAGGCTCCATCAAGCGTATACAGAGTAGATTAGAGCAATGGCGCTCGTCGGTTCCTATGGCCTACCGCCCGGGCAAGCAACTGGACAGGAGTGGATTCGAGCGTCTGAGTACTAAACTGGTTGTGATCCAGGCACATTGTCTGTACTACACCCTTGTTATTGCTGTCGAGAGACTATCCCTGCACGTTAATTCAGAGTACGATGTGGAGAACAACGATCACCAGCAGAACTTGATGGAAGCAGCGCAGAGTGTGATTGAACTGGTCCCATTCATCGACCTAGCGCTACACATGCCAGTGTTGTAAGTTCGATAATTCATGAGTTGAATGTTCGTTTGCTGATTATCGGCGAGGGACCTTCTTATTCTATCTACTCCTTATTATAGCTATACTAGCTTCTCTACCGCGAAGGCGTCCCTCTATTATAGTAAAGCTATTAATTCTAGTAAGTTCTTCTTTAGTAAGGAATTTAGTGGCTGGTATTATGCCAATGTCTGCCATGTTCGTCTTATTTGACTTGGTAGTCTGCTATCCCCGACACAGCGAGACCAACAAGAATTTAGCCCTTCTCGACCAAGCAGCAGAGTACTTCACGCGGCTTGAAATGATCTCTAAAGGTATTCTACCAGGGAGGAACATCGCAGAATTTACGACCATTGCTCGCCATTATATTCGAAAACTCAAATTTGACGATGCTAGACCGAGGGGAGCGCTATCATGGCTCTCCTCTATACCCAACCTTGTGCACAGACCTGGGAAGCTCGAGCAGTGGAATCCAGATATCGAGCTCAATAATTTATTTGTATGGGGCCTATCCGTTCAGAAATATTTGATGTGTAATTAATCAAAGCCTAGGCCAGCTCTGCAGATAATATGGGGAGTCTTGGTAGCGCCCACCCTGCTATTGAGAGCTCAGTGGCACTACCCATGGCACCGAATTTTCCCCTTGACCCAGCAATACTGCTCGAAAAGTTAATAGAGTCAGATTATCCGAATGGGTCACATTCTATGTTTGATATTTTGTTTCCTGGATGGGCTCCTGAGGATACAGGAATGGCCGAGCTTAGCGATGTTACAAACGAACGAAACCTGTAGACTGCGCAGCGAATAATCTGTGTTGCACTCGGGTTTTTTGCTGGTTCACCGTTCAACGAGAAAATGATTACTAAATGAGCTTATATGTATTTAACCGAAAGTGTATTGTATACGCCATTCTACATATCTATTACAGATATCTACCTGGAAACCCTCGATTGTTGGCAGTCCTGCAGATCATACCGTTGGAGCGTACCAGATACCTCGGCTCTACTCTCAAGCACGCTTACTGTCCTTACTTCTTTGGGACTCTAAAGACCCAGTAGTGGCCCAATGCGCCAGCAATGTTAAAGAGGATATAAACCCACATGAGGCCAAAATCCCTCCAGCGAGTATTGTAGGAGATGTGGAACCCGGCCAAAAACTCATTTGACGACGCAATCGGACAGTACCTGCAGATATCAGTTGCGCTGGGGTTTAACACCATTCCACCAGCTGAGTTGATATACGAGTTCAAGAAATCTCCACAGGTACTACTGTCAATCGGCCTCATCGTAAGTATTTCGTGTGATGCGCAATGCACCTCAGAGTTGGCTACTGCAGAAGACATGAGGCCACCGACCAGATAGGTCGCAGGTGAGAGGCGATACATGAAGATCCAGAACCTTGGGATGTCTTGTTTGCGAACTCCGATTCTGGGGCGCAGGTGGTCAGTCGTCTTGGTGCCATGCTGCTCATATGATGATGATGATATATAATTGGTCAACTTACCCACAAAAGAAAATGCATAGAAGCCACATAAAACTGGTTAAAATACCAGCTGTGTCTGGCATATCGATCCAGGTGATGGCGAAGTGAGCAATTGTACTCGTAAAAAGCATGTATGTCCATAAAAGCAAAAAGACTAGGAATCCCCGGATGGCCTGGTCACCTTCCATCGTGTTTTTTGTGAAGCCGATAGGGTAGTACCAGCAGACATACATGAGAACAGCCATCAGTGTGTTCCAAAATAGTTCGACGATGATATTGGACAAAATGAACGCTATGATTTAACCTCATTAGCTATATACCAAAGGATAAAATAACATTGGAAATATTATCACTTACTAGTCCACCTATAAATCTTAGATGGTCTCTCACGGGCCTCGAAAAGTGCTCGTTGAGGAAGGACCATGGGCATGATTTGTTCATTGATATTGATAAATGGAATGAATAACATGAAAATTGCCCAGAGCTGGTTTGTCATGCCTTGTATAGTGTTATCTGCGCTGAAGCTGAAGCCGAGATAGATAGTCTTGCAATGGGAGGTTAGCAAAATCATAGTAGCCCACCAGTATATTAATTTAGCTTACCGAAAGGGCAATAAGAATAGTCTTTGACCAGATGTAAAGTGGTGATCGCCAGTAATGATTGAAGGTCCGACGTAAAACCAGTAAGAATTGCGTCCAGAAGGGTGCTACAAACTCTTGATGCATGGAAGGATCTTTTCTGGCTGTGATCTCGATTTCATTTTCCTGGTGAATTCCTCCTATGGGAAGAGAACGAAGACGATGAAGCTCGCTTTTCACGGTTGTGTACTCAGGGGACTCGAGCCAAATTTGGTGCCAGTCAAGGCGCTTGGTGCCATCTGCTGGAGGTTGTATCACTTGGAGCATCCATTCGGCCGGATTAGCACCACTTGGGCAAGGAGATGAATGGTTGCGTTCAAAGTATTCGATTAATGTGGACGAGTCTTGTCCTAGGTCTTTATATCTTTGTCAGTCGACCAACTCGTTAAATTATATGGGAAATAAACATCAACTAACCACCAAAGTAAACCGTCTTGCCGCCTGGAGCAATAAGAAAAAGCCGGTCAAACTGATTAAAAAGAATAGTAGAAGGCTGATGCACAGTGCAAAGTACTGCTTGACCACTATTAGTTAGTTTCTTAATCAATTCGGAAATAGCCCAGGATGTCTGTGAGTCCAGCCCTGAAGTAGGCTCATCAAAAAAAATCAATAGTTGAGGTCGAGCGGCCAATTCCACTCCAATTGTAAGACGCTTCCGCTGCTTAATATTGAGGCCCTCACCAGGTACACCAATAATAGCATCTGCGACATCCCTAATCTCTAATATATCTATAACTTCATCAGCATACTGGAGCTTTTCTGCTTCAGAAATACTTGAAGGCTGCCGAAGAAGAGCACTAAATTGTAAGGCTTCGCGGATTGTAGAGGTACTAAGGTGGAGATCCTGTTGCTGAATATAGCCGACTTTATGCTGAAAAGAAGTATCTGTAAGCTTGCCATTTATCATAGTGTCTCCGCTCACAACGCCAACTGTCACGCGGGCAGCCAAAATGTTAAGAAGTGTTGTCTTTCTAGCACCTGAAACACCCTATGAAAGAGTTAGAAAAATATCCTATTGCAACTCGAACACTGTCAATATTACCATTAGGGCTGTGGACACGCCGGGTTTGACCCAACCATCAATATGGTCTAGCAGACGCCGCTCTTCATTCTTGATGTTAATATCGTAGCAAAGGTCTTCCCAATGAAAGATATTAGTGCCCTTCCCAATAACCCCTGCGGGCTCATTAGTAGTCCCATATTTCTCCGTAATGACTGGCCGGTCGGGCAGTTGATTCTCAGGGTCCACAGAAATCTTCTTATCCATTGTGGTGAGCGCTTTCCTTTTAGCACGTTGAAACACTAGTACTTCACCCTTAGCCTTAGGTGGTTTAGAAAGCTCGGCCGCAAGGATATAAGCCGGAATAAAGAAAGCTAGGAAAGCAAGCATAATTCCAATATTCCTGTTCGTCATCAGTTATCATGCTGTCAATATAAGGGTGATACTATTAACACAAACCTCCACTTATGAGAATTCCAATAGTTAAAAGACATATTAATATAACTATCCCCGTTGACGAATGCGGAGCCGGCTTCTGAACTAACAACAGAGCATATCCGCGAAACAGAGGGAAGGTCTTCATAGCCTGGCCCGTGGGGAACGAAGCTGGTGCAGGGAAAGCGGCGGTTATGGAATTCATTAGCCATTAATGACTCGAAACCATATGCTAGAGGGTTAATGTGAGCTATCTACCGGGACCACCCTGGTAATTGATTAAGAGGAGTTGTAAAGCCCGTATAGATTATAAGCCCTAACCCAAGTATAGCGCTTGGAATCATCGCCTGAGCTGCTGTTCTGGTTATATATGCTAAGGTGCGGAAGATTGCCGATTGGATTAAGGTGGTAAGGAAAGTGGTTAGGCAAAAAAAGAAGAATGCCCCTACTTCTTGTCGCAAATTGGCTATAAAGTAGATGATAGTATTGAAGACCAATATATTGCCTATTTTATAGGGGAGGTCAATGAGATAGCTCGCGATCGCCTGTGATGAGTAGTGATAAAAGGCGTAACGATTCTGTTCTCAACCACAGGCCGCTCGTCATAAATTGTCAGGACCTGCAAGGTTGTCAGTTCTTCAATTTCCCCAATTGAGAATGGTATGGAGCACGATATACTCACTTCTAGCTGGCTGCCAAAAGCGTTGAAAAGTAGGGAGAAGAAAATCACACCTGCGCGATAGTAGAAGCTCGATGTGTCTTCTTTCAATCTTAAATACATGCTTCCTAAAACAATGGCTATTACTGCGTTGAATACCAGGAAGGAAATAGTATAGCTAGGATTAGCTAGCAATCGTCTGTAAGCGCGCCATAGGGTAAGCGATACCTGCTGCATGTATGAGATCGTATAGGCAGAGCTAGGACGTTGAAACTTCGCCTGCTCGGTTCGACGTGCGCACAAATACTCCTGAAGTCTATGTGCCTGTGGGTGTTTATCGGGATACTCGTCTAATTCGCGAAGCAATGCCTGGCGCTCTTTGCTGGCTTGCCACCTTGCTGCAAATTCGCTCGCTGTACGGGGTACACAATGTTCAAATCCCTGTTTGGTTTTCCTTTCATCCGCGCTGGTCATAGAAGTCAAGAAGTCGGGGATTGTTTGTCGCTCAGGACCTGCATATAGTGTCAGAATATGAGAGGTATATACTAGCGCTCTTGGTGCTCACAGCAGAAGCCAAGCTCCTCAAAGTAGGCCTTGGCGTCAATGGTACTGCCAAAATAGATCTGGCGGCCTTCATAAATGACAGTCACTCTATTGAACAGCTTGTATAAATCGTTAGCTAAACAGTTATCAGTGCATAGGGGGGGTATAACTCACATCATACGCCGCCTGGGGTGCCTGATACAATGTAACCACAGAAGTCACGTCAAGCAGATCAGCCTGCGAACGCAGGTGGCGGCAGAAGTTGATAGCATTATTGCTATCCAGCCCACGGGTGGAGTTATCCCAGTACTGGAACTTGGCTCCTGTCAGGGTAGCTTCAGCAATACTCACCCTTTTACGCTCTCCACCACTTACACCACGCACAACGTTATCTCCAACACGGGTATTGTAGGTATGTGTTAAGCCAAATACAGCCATTATAACATCTCGTCGGATTGTGTCTAGCTGGATTCGGCTAACCCCCCCTGGGATATGCCGTGGTGATCGAGCGCGTGAGGCGAATGTAAGTGTCTCATTGACAGTCAATGGTGCCAAGTGAGTGTCAAGTTCAGCGTTATAGAGAACATCACCACGAAGGGACGAGCGAATGTGGTCTAGCCCAACACCTGCCTCGGTGTAAGCAGGCAATTCACTTTTTTAATGTCAAGGAGCTTACCTCTGAAATCACTATGTGAATCAGGCTCGATGCTTAGGTCATGCGTCTCCCCCGATAAAGCCTTGAGGAGGGTAGAGCAACCAGATCCCGGTGGTCCCAGAACCAACAGCATCTCGCCCTTTTCTATAATGCCTTCAAAATCGCGTAAGATGTCCACTCGTTGGCCGTTCTGATATCCTGTAGCAAAGCGAGCTAACCATTTAACAGTATCGCTAACAACGCTGCCCGTAGTTCGTTGGTATTCCGCGCCGGTGCCCCAACCGAAAACATTCAGTCGCCTGAAAGCAACGCCTAGCGCACGCGATGGCGCTGACTTGGGGTCAGACTCGCATACTCGGACAAAGTCTTGGATCCAGGCGCGCGCATCGAAAGCTGCTGAGGAAGGATCAAAATTGCTTCCTGGTGCAGGATTGAGAGCGCGTGATTGAGCGAGTGTCTGAGCTGAGGTCGAAGAGATGGATGCTCGACTCGCAACTTTGGTGATATCCTCGTTCAGCCTCTCGCCAAACGCCTCAAGGCCAACATTGTCACCAGGAGCGTCTCCCAGGCAGGTCGAGGACGGAGAGGTTCCATTCATTTTGACCACACCAAGGTAAACTTAACGATGGAGAGAGGCCTCGGGGCTAGAGTAGCAGGCAGCGTGTCAAAAATGTCAAAAATATTAATGGGCCTTGGTTTTTTGGATTGAGATTGTTTCATACCACTCTAAATTAAAGCCTTTTTGTCCTCGCTGCTCGGAAGCTGGACCTCACCCAGAGAGCCCGGTGCTCGGACGCCTGGTCAAGGAAGACGACATAGCGTTCCATCTGAGGGCTCCGTTTGGCCCTGTGCGCGCCCTTGGGTGTCATGCTGTCTGTCGGAAGTCGGAGGAGAGCATGTTAGAGGAGAGCTCGGTGCTCGGGCGTGGTTAAGAGAGAATCGAGAAGCGCGACGGAGCCAAGGAATAAAGAAAGGTTCGGCCCTCGGGGCTTGGCAGAACTAATCTTGGCGCCAAGATAACTAGTTTAGCTACAAGGCAGTGAACCCTAACGTTAACCTTAGTTATAGTTAAGTAGTTATTGAGGTCGCAGTTGGTCTGTGCAACAGGATATACTTAACGTGCCGCGATCCATTGTTTACTGCCTTATACTAGCCCTGAGGAGCAGCACGGGAAGTGAAGATGTGAATCTCAAGCCGTTAACTATATACGCTCAAGTTTATAAATATACCAGAAGTACTATTATCCTCTCATTCGCTAACTACTGCTAACTAAGTAGTGTTACTTTTTAGTTCAACAAAATACTACTAGTTTAGATTGATGGCTCGATAACTACCCACTATCAATATTTAACGAGAGACTTTGTTGGGTGTACTAACTAACTATAAAAGAATATCTATGAAAGAGATGGCATGCTATAAAGCAAGCTTGCAAAACATAAACTCAATCACATATGACTATTCCATTATTCTCTAGCATAACTTGTCCTTTCATCAAATCGCAACATTATATCCAAACTTGAGTTATCGATTTATCCAGAAGGATGCCCACTCTCTAGGCCTTGATCTCTTGAGCACGCTGCTGGATACTTTCCTTCTCGATTTCGAAAGCCGCAAACTCGCTTGGCAATTCCTGGAAGCCGGTTCCTGCCACGGCCAAGTCATAGAGCGAATTGATCATGTCCTTCTCCATACCGCCGAGGGCATACTTGTGTCCGTCGTTCAGGACAAGGGCGTGAGGTGCCATCTCTCTGGTGCATCTCACATCCTCCTCGCTCGCTCCCCTGAATCCAGGAGCGGTCCAGCTGCTACCAGCGTATTGGGCGCCACCGGCCAGCTTGGGCAGGCACTTGTGGTCGGTATTTCCCACATTCTGTTGTTTCTCGAGCGAACCGCAGATACCCCCATCACGGGTGTTTTGCCAGCCGTTCATATTCGAGCGCTGGGGCAACTGAGAGAAGGCGACAGTGACGGCACCCTTGGTATTGTTGTCATGGAGGGCGCTGGCGCAGACTCTCTGGGCGATATTGGGGTAGTCGAGATAGCCACCCTTACAGTTGTCTCCGAAGTGGTTTCGGATATTTGCGCCAGCAACAACCGTGGCAAGGGAGATGAATGGAAAGACCTTCATTTTGATCGTAAGATGTAGTTCATCAAAAGTCCACGAATAAAGGGGAAATGAATTTAATGTCAACTGATCGGTGGCGTGTAAAAGTAAGCTTCCTGTAGTTCTTTGATTTGTTCTGGTTTTGCTCTCCCAGATCCGGGTTCAAGAGGCTGCTTTTATATTCTTTGCTTTCCCATAATTTCACTGCCTCATTTCTCCAGGTAAGATGCTCTTAGTCCTCGACTTGTTTGACTGAGCTGAAATCCTTCGTGGTGGAAGTCTTGACATCGATGTTCAATGGATCTCAGCCGTACCAAGTACAAGCCATCCATGCTCCTTCTCAAGCCCAGATATCCGATACGGCATGTGGTTAGGCTGTGGGTATTTCCAGGCGCCGGTCAACTGTCCCCAGTGAGATTTGGTGTAGTTTGATCCCATGACGGAAGCTAGAGAAGCCGTTACACGCCCCTGATCCGACTGGGACTCCATCGATTGGAGGGTGGGAGGCCCAAGGTCCAAGATAGGCAGGTGAAAATAGCTGACAAGATGATGTAACCGTATAGGGCGGAGTCCTCGAAGGATGTCAGCCTGATAGAGAAGTATTGCTTTGAATTCGGGTTCCCTGTTCATCCATCTGAAGTTGAACTGGCAGAATCTTCAAGTCGACCGAGATACGGAGTAACTACTGGGAAGAGTGAGAATAGTCGAGAAACATCGTCGATTCCATTGGATGATTAGTTACCCACTTTGAAGGATTGCATTCGCTACATAACTACAAATCTCAGCTTTATCTCCGCGATCTTCCTCCCAACCACGAAACATGTGGAGAACTTAGAAGCCACAGCCTCATTCCATCACTGTGGGGAGGGAGCCTGAAAAACATCGCCAAGGTGATCGACGGAAGGAATTGTGACGCTAAGGGCAAGACAGACTCATCAGATCGAATACTCTCATCCTGATGGATGGAGGACTTGATTTACCAAGCTCTAGGTACTTAACTAACTAGTTGTGCGCAACATTGGATGGCGACAAATACAAGGGAAGTAACAGTTACATTAAGTTACAGAAACTTCTGTCCCAACCATACCATCTTTGATATAGATTCAAAATCGGATTTCGTGATAACAATGTCGTGCTCGTTGGCATTGTTGGGTTTTCTTCCGGCGATCTTTTCGAATTGTATGGTCATGTCGCCTGTAATATCAGTGACATCATTATAATATCTTGCGTGGATAGCTTCTGTGACTTCTGCTGGCTGGTGCGAGGAACGAGTGGTTCTGTTTGGTGTTGATATGGAGTGTTCCCATTTTTTGAAATCGATTTGGGGGGAATGTCGATCGATTTTTATCGTTATAACAATTTTTGTTTCCGAGCTTGCGGACTCCAACCACCCTCTGGCATCCATTTTTAATTTAGTTTCGGACTCATATACTCCGGACTCTATCGCTAGGATCGGCCAGTCGTGATGTTGTAGCGTGAAGCTACCATCAGGTTCTTTCACAAAGGTGCTGCTTGTTGCTCGTCCTGCTCCCGAGGCAAGGATTTCATACTCCAGGTTCATCTTCTCGAGCTGTCTTTCGATACACATTTCTAGCATGCGAGCTGCGATCTCATGCGCCTTTGTGACCATGACTTCGATAACAAGGACTTTATCTTGTAGGTTGGCTAATATCCTTGGGCCTTTATCAGGGTAGATAGTATCAAAGTCTTGAAGGATTGTAGGTGGTATATTCACGACTATAATAAAAGGGCTTTGGGAATCGTCTAAACAACATAGTCTAACCCTTCTATCTACTAAGAAACTGATGTCCTCCATATTGGTATATTTAACTTGAGGTGTCCTATCAGGAAGTCCGATCAATAGCGGAGAGTCAACAGGCTCTGGTATATTTTTATTTAAATCAGCCATTGTAAATGCCTAGTATAGAAATGTATTGTGTGTTGTCTGGTATATAATAACACAATAAGAGAGCGATACAATCGTTGATTTATATAACTGACTAGTTGCTAGTTAATTAGCTTCGCGGGGCTGTGAGTTCTAACTACGACGTCATCGCTGTGGCGGTTTGGCGCAAAGCCACTGGGAGGGTAGAGCTGCTGGCGGGCTATATAAGCTGGTAAGGCCAATAAGTGATTTCGCCGCTGACGACATTACTGCCCCTTATAATCCTTGTCGTGCTCGATTTACAGCCTGAATCTGTCTATTAACCTGTATCATAGGGTCATTGCAGATATATTCCTCTTCCCCACGCCCATTCCACAACACCCAACTATACTTAAATATCGACAACAGCTCTGGGTCATTTCCCACGGAAATCCGAAAGTCGGAAGGTACCTGAGTGGGCCGTTGACAGTCTCCTGCTCGGTTCGTTGAAAAGTCAAATATATCTGCAACTAGCCACCCAAGGCTCCTAGCTAGGCCGGTGCCAAATTCGTCGCTGCTGTTGAAGAGTGCCTGTGCATCTGGCTGATTATCCAAACGGCCGGTCAACGACTCCTTAAGCCGGGCGGCGACGGATGCAGTATCGAAGCTTGGTTGTGGGAATGTCGTCTGACGCGCCATAGAGCCCGTAAAACAAGTTGCCATGTACTTATCAATAGATTCATCATTATCTCGTTTCGGCCAGAGCAAGGATATCATTTCCCCGGTTGTGGCGTGAGCTGAGCAAGCTGGTACGACAGAAGATACCAGGTAGCTCAGTAACAGGTCGTTTATCAAGCTGACCATGCAAGCTTTCCATTCCACGCAAATTGGCCGGCCTTTTGGTTCTAACTGCAAAATGGATTCAATATCTGATTCCTCCAGAATATATTCGGTCTGCTTGAACGGCCGGAAGCACTCTTCGGCCGGAGGTGGGAGATTCTAGTAACATGATGCGAGTAGATGTAGGGTATCCAGCCCCTCGAAATTGTAACCCTCACGGATTTGACGCTCAAATCTCTCTTCTGCTGTTTCCAGTTTTCGAAGGCTCTTGTGAACTCCAGTGAAGGTCGTGTTTGTAAAATGCGTCGCGCCAGTAAAGAAAAGAAAAGACTGGGCGGTGCGTCGCGTCGCGTCGAACCCAAACCTCCCAAACTTGTATTCTGCGTCGGGGATATGCATCCACGTCCCTCCTGGCGAAGGAAGACTGTCTCGCGTGCGGCTGGGAGCTGTTCGCCATTGAACGACCTGATCCTTTGCCCCTACAGAGTCTACCAGCCCTGCGCCTTCACTGGGATTGTGGAGGACGCGGCCGTCTGGGATATGTTCCCATTCCGCTACGTCCTCAAGCGCCCGCTCGTCGTAGCAGCCCCAGTCGTAGCGGTTTATCACGAGAATTCCATTATCGACAGTTTTCTCACAGTTCCGAGACGACCCGCTGTCAGGTTCGTACGGGGAGCCCGAGACATGGAGTATCCGATCGACTTCTGCCTGCGGATCGATTTCAACATGACACGCGAACCACGCCACAACTTCACTGCAGCTGTCGATGTCAACAAGCTGGTAGACGTTCCATGCTCCGTTTCGGGCGCCAATATTGAAGTTGACATCATGAACTATGACTGTCCCGGACACCTGCGGAGGAATGAAGTGTAAGCGCTCCATAGGGTCCGATATAGCTCCATGCCAGATGTTATGCAGGTCTCCGAAGCAGATGCCTCCCGACAAAATGGTGAATTGGCTATGGACGGTGGGAGAAGATGACATTTTGAAAGCTGGGAAGTCTACTCTTAACTAGGTAGTTATAGAGTTGTTTAAGACAGGGCAGTACCTAGGTAGCTAATGAAGCCGAAAGGTGAAGTAGCTCAATATTAAGTACAGCGACCTGGCTCATTCACGGACGCCGGTTCGAGTCAGCGTGTGTGTGGCCAGCGTAGTAGTGCTGAGCGATAGTTACGATAACTATCTACGCCCTGCAGCAATCTCACATAGATAATCAAGTGATATCCCAGCCAAGGGTGTAGGTGCACATGTAATGCTAAAGCTGATAACCACACCGCATGGTTATCACGTTTACACCGTCTCCTAATAGCTGGATTTACCCAATTTTTACCCATTGATCCTGTAACTTTCTCATATTAAATCACGACCCTACTTGATTACTATATGTACGCATTTTACGATCTACAAATATCTTTTTCTGCCATAACAGGCGCCTGGATAGGGATATTGTTCTAGAAAGTAAGCTAACCCTAAGCCATTCTCTTGCGTGATCCGTGTTCGGCAAGTATTATTGGACATTGAGCGTATACTAAAAGCAATCCAAGTTAGGTTTAAGGGGGCTGTTAAGGTTGTTGCTGTAAATGCGTACGACCTTAATCTCCAAGATAGTCACAGAGAGTTAACTGAGTTACAACAATGGCATGGGGATATCAACAAAGTAACTAATCACTTACGGACAAGATAACACTAACTATTAACATACGACTACGTCATGCAGCTTTCGATCCCCAGATCCGCAGAGTGTGATAATTGTAGACCAACTTTTGTGCATCTTTCCTCCAATTGAACAAACAGTAAGAAGCTCGAGCTTTGCGGGATCTTCCTGGAGACCTAATGACTACAGTATATGCATCCATGTAGTATTTACAGATAGTTGGGAGGTCATCCATTATCTGATGTCCGGAGCTGCAAGTGTGCTCCGTCGGCGTAGTGCTTTGCCATAGACCCAGATAGCGGCGACACCGGGGAGCCCGATACTCAGAGCACAGAATCCAAGAAGGCTTCCTGTCCATCCATAGCCTATTGTGTCAAACCTACATCTTTATCAGTATCAATATCGCAGAGTGGAGAGAGTTCTAGAAATACCTACACATAAGGAGCAAACAGAGGGAACCCAAATGCCGTCAGGCTTCTCAGCGTCCCAACTGCAGCCAACGCGCTTGCAGAGAACTTTCCATACGTGTCAATTATATACGCATTTGCAGAGATGCCACATATAACAGCCCCTGCGCAGAATATGCCGCTCCCAATATCGGGCATGATCCATTGGAGTTTGTACTGCGCGCTCCAGCCATACCAGAACAGCCCTCCAGCTATCAGCAGAGTCGCTGGTGCCATCGATGGCACACGGAACTCCGGCAGAGCCACCCCGTTATTCCTGGCCTTGAGCAAGGCAAAGATTCGATCATTAACAAGAGTGAAGCCCTCAGCCGCAATAACCATACCCACCCCCATAGCAATATAATGTAAACCCACCATTCCTTCTGTTTGATAGTAGATCTTGGTATATAGATCCGGAAAGGTGGTATACAGGACATAGATAATGCCATAAAGAAATGCATTATATACGGCAAATACCTGAACAATGGGCTGTGTAGTGAGAAGGAGGACCGCTCGCCCGAGATTAGCCTTTAACTGGGTAAGGAGTTCCTTTAATGCGTCCCTGGTCGTGGAGCGTAGCTGTTGATCTGATGTGGCTAACCGTAGTGAACGCATCTGCTTTTCGTAGAAGCACTGGGGCATATGTTTCCTCGAGAAGATAAAGTCCCAGAATCTGGATAACTGCATCTAATAGCGAGCTTATATAGAATGCCCAGCGCCATGATATGTGCTGGGAAATAAGGCCGCCGAAAATTGGACCGAAGATTGGTGAGAGCAAGGGGATAACGCTATAGATGGCAACTGCTTTACCGCGTTCCTCGGCTGTAAAGAGATCACCTAAGGTTCCACCACCAATCTAAATGTCAGAAATAATTAGCAAGATAGGTCAAATATCAAACCAGGATAAAAAGGAACATACACCGAGTGTAGCGCTTCCAAAAAAGCCTGCTAAGAATCTAAAGCTAAACATGGCTGACTTTGATCGTGCACTGCCACATGCAGTATTGAAGACAAGATATAGGAGATTCCAAGACTGGATTACTGGTACCCGCCCATATATTTCTGATAAAGGGCTTGCAATCAACGGGCCAAAGGCATAGGGGAGCACAAAGACAGAAAGCACCAACGCTTGCTCTGCAGGCCTGGTAATTGATAAATCTCTAGCAATACTCGGTAAGCTCGGTCCTACAATCGTTGAAGAAAGAGGGCTCATAAGAACAAAGAACGAAATGCCGAGCATAGCCTTCCATTTTCGAAGCATCGGCCATTGTTTAGGGTTCTCTTGGCCGTCGAGGTTGCAGAATTCAGCCTGTAGATAATCAACAGAATTATGCATCAGCCTATCGTTACAAAATCAATAACATATAAGGGCATCTGGCGATATGTATCAAAAGAAATGGGTGTACCAGTGCCGCATCTCCTTCATTAGGTATTTCCAGCTTCTGGTCCGTGTAGTGCGTAGAGGCAGAAGCCATAGGTAATTATGGCTTTAGTCGTACTTTGTGGTGGAGAGGAAGGCCACTAACGTAGATGGGATGGCCAAGCAGGCAGCTTTGGCAGGTTTCTGAATTTCAAGAAGTATTCTGTCCCTAGCTTTGACTTCCAGGTAAACATAAAAGGGGGGATCATCTCGTTATATAACAAAGACTATTGCCCGTACTCCGTGTTTTATTTCTAATTTCCATGACATAGCCGGAGGCAACCAATTGGTTCGTTGTTCTTAACTGTTGGATTGAGATGAGACTGCCGTTAGCGCGCCGTTAACTAGCCTCCGTTAGCCTCCGTTAGTTAGTTAGCCTCCGAGTTATTCCAGGCATCAGAGATGATTTCTTGGCACCAGAACTCCTCCACTTGCCGCGAGTTAGCAAATTCTCCACATGTTTGTTATATACTCCGCGTAGTTATTATGTGTAAGTGTACGTTTCAGCTCTCTATTTTGACTGCAAAGCGCCGGCTACACCAGCAAATTCTGTGAGCAACATCTGGGTTATCTAAGAGCTTGTCTCATCGGCCAAAAGCTGGCTAGGGACTCATTTTATAGCTAAGAAACTTTGTTGACACTATCTTGAAGGCTGCAGATGGAATACGTGACCAACGCGGAGCGGCGTTGCGCTTAGTTATATCCGATAGCTTAGGTACCTAGATACTTACGTTGGTCAAGTTGCAGCCTAGGCTACATATCCCACATGGGGGAAGGGGGAGGGCAGAGTAACGAAACAAAGAACGCATATATCGTATACCGACCACTCATCTCGGTGCTGTTCCGCATGACAGTCGCTCTCTTTATGCCTTCTGTTTCAGTCTTTGCAGAATCAATATAGGATATGGCACTTACAGTGGCACATCGCAGGTGGCTAGTGGCAGCGACATGTTTGATTGGAGCCTATTTCTTGTATGTGGGCTCTGTCTTCTTGACTTGAAGCATTAATGCTAGCGGTTAACACTTGCATGTAGGGCAGCGTATCTTAACCACCCAGAATCCAGGTACTCGTGGAATCGCATAATCAGTTATTGGCAACCCCCATCGATGCGCTTGGACGATGAGGCTGGGTGGGTAGCCTGCACTCTCGGGGAAAGGGGCCATTATGTGGACTACCCGTACTACCGCCTTGCCTTTATCCGAGACGGACTTGCTTTGGAGGCTCGCCCATCCATGAAGGCTGGCGGAGGTGTTTGGAAAAAAACTCCATGCCAACGCACCCGAGCTAGATTACATCGGCCTCCAGCGATTCGAGGAAATAGCTGTTGAGCAAGAGCCGGCAGATGAGGACGAGTTTGCCCGTAAAATCCGCCTAATAGGTGCAATCTGGCGGCCACCAGACAACAAGTACGGCTGTAGCTGCTATGAGGACTGTGAATATGGCTACGGTATTACCGAGCCCGGGGACGACGATGGGGTAGGGAGGAAATGGCTTGCATGGCCATCTTCTGGCGGGCTCTGGGCTTTCGAGGCTACCGAGCGTGAGTGTTGGATCAGCGACGATGTAAGAAGGTTCTCTGGTATGTGGAGGGTGGCTATCACGATGGACGAGGCGGCACAGCTTCTTAAGAATATGAGCCGCGCAGTCTTTTATGAGAATCCGGCAGACTATCCCCCCTTTGCTGATTTATTCGACTCGCACGGTACACACACAACTCATGGGGACTGCAATGGTGGGTCCAGTGGCAGCGAAGATACTCAACATACAATTCGGCCAAAAGACCATGCACAATGATGACGCTCCCATCATCTCTGGTTGTTGTACGGAGTATTCCTCGGTACTTGTGTCTATGATGATGTTGTTGTTATTCAAGCTGGCTGGGAGCCGAGGTCCCCAGGCCACTTGGGGATCAGGTGATGTAACTAGAACACCGTAACTGCGGATTTTCTCCTTGCCAACTTGCTCGCGCTGGTGGTTCCATCTCCTTCCTCCTTCCAATCCGTTGCTATCTTTGCATCTTCTCCTGTGCCGTTATGCTCTCAATCTTCTAGTTGTTATCCATATAGATGCAGTCCGCCCACCCTAGCGTTGCGACCCTGTCACCATGCAGTTTGATCATATCGCAGAGGAGCGGCCCCTGAACATCTTGCCGTGAAGCTGGCCGCGACTCACTTGCGCCGCCGAGCGACGCAAGCGTGTCAATGGAAGACCGGTGCCTTCAACGTGTGTTACCGTGTTCAGTTCCATGATGAAACTCCTGAGGTTATCGTTCGGTTCAGCTCCCTTGGACGGACAATCTTCCGTGCTGAAAAAGTTGCCAACGAAGTCGCCGTCCTGAGATACCTCCGGAAGCACACCTCGATCCCTGTCCCTGAGGTCTACGGCTCCGGGAAGACGTGGACGGGGCCGTATATCGTTCTAACCTATATCCACGGAACGCCTCTCGCCAGCATCCTCAAGGATCCGAAGGTGGAAGGGCAACCCGTTCTGAACCCGCATATCAGCCAGCGAGGGTTGCGGAGAGCCTACCAAGAGGTGGCCCAGCTTCTTCTTGAATTATCCAAGCCTGAGTTCCCCAGGATCGGCGCCCTGGCAGAAGAGCCGGATGGAGAATTCGGGGTATCGAGAAAGCCGTTTACATTCAATATCAACGAGCTATCTACTTCTGCAAATGTCCCGCCTTGCGTACTGCCAGATTCAAATGTCATCTTCGATTCAGCAGCCGACTACTTCAAGTCCCTCGCCACATAGCACATGTTGCATTTCCTTACTCAGCGGAACGACGCAGCCACTGACGAAGCTGACTGTCGCGGGAAATTCGTTGCTCGCTGCCTGTTTAGCAAAGTCGTCGAACGCATTCAGTTCCATGAAGGGGCATTTCAGCTCTACTGCGACGATTTCCGCCCCTCAAATATACTTGTGGACATCGAAAATATCCGCATTGCGGCAGCCATGGATTGGGAGTTTACCTATGTAGCCCCCGCCGAGTTTAGTTACGTGGCCCCATGGTGGCTTCTGCTTCAGTCCCCCGAGGACTGGGAATCAGACCTCACCGAGTTTCTGACTCGCTATACCCCTCGCTTTCATCTTTTCTTGGACGCCCTACGAGCTGCTGAGTCTGACATGGTGTCTACTGGTAGGCTGCAGGAATCTCAGAGGCTATCGCCGCGCATGGAGAATTCTTTGGATACTCAGTTATTCTGGGTGTGTCTAGCTGCACGGTACAGTTCCATGTTCGATGACATCTACTGGACGTTCATCGATGAAGTTTATCACGGCAAATTCACGTCTCTGGAAGACCGACTGCAATACCTGAGCCAGGAAGAGCGCACTAAGCTAGACACAATATACCACTTCAAGGTCAAACAGGCAGAGGATGGCACAATCGACCCCCATTACTCACTCGATGATACTATGGAGCTGTAACCGTGGTTTCCCCGGTAGCTAACTCGATCACTATGGCCCTTTTGCCTATGCCAGCATGGACAAGAGATGTGCCGCTTCTTATGACTGAGCATCTCCGCTTGATTATGCCAGACAGCGAGCTCGACTCTGAAGACAGGCTAGTACTGATCGATGAGGGGAAGAGTGAACTTTTCCGAAAGCAGAATATCATCGCAGTACAGATTCTACACTCTCTAATAATATATACTAATCATATAGCGGAGTTGGACTGCGATTGTTGTTTTTTTTTTTTTTGACTCACTTAGTTACACCAGGAATCGACAACAAGCTAATGGTTGGTTTAACTAGTCACCCATATCCCACTGTACAGCTCGCCCATGGCTATTATCCTCACCATTATGTGGCTGTTGAACAACGCCCTCGCCTTCTTAACTTCCCAAGCCGACCCGAATTAAGCGCTAGTCTCATCACGTGCTTAGACGTTAGTTATGTGGGTACGTAACTTCCACTTTCCAACGTCACGTTTGAACAACGCGACTTTCTCCTCCTTCGACATTCCAATATCAAGTCTCTATCCACTTCCAATCACGGTCTTAGCTAGACCACTCGCAGTAGGGACGGCCAAGTACACGCTATGGGCCTTTGGTCCTAACCCAGATGATACCCCTAGTAGTCCGAATATACTCCCTTGAGATTAGGCTGAATCTATTCCCTTTGATTTTGTCCCTTCCTCTCCTTGCTATATATCTTTGTCTGCCTGATGCCAGGCTTGATATCCAACCAATATATTCCCGTTAAAATATACACCAACTGTCCGAGGATATATCCTTTAACTGAAGGACGAATACGTCTAGCTCAGTATTAGCTATCGCCCTCCTTCATCTATACCCTTTAGCCATTCTAGAAAAATGAACCCGCGCCTAGACGAGTTTCCTTAGCGTATACCCTTGCTAATCTGAGGATTTCCCTCCAGGAAAGGCGTTAATCCGCAGACTTAAATATTAGCTGTTGCTCTCCTCAAAATATACCCTTAACTCAGCAAACGGAAGGGGATAACTTATCTAGGAACGTTGTCTATCTATCCCCCCTATTCCTCTACTTGCTGTTAACCCACCTCCCCCCTTAGCAATATACCAACTATCATCCTCTCGAGCCTTCAGACCTACACTGTTATTGATAGACCAATAATCTCGGCTAGGGAAGGGAGTCTACGGTAAGGATGAAGAAGAGCATGTCAGCTGCTTCTTTCTGAATTTCTCTGAATAAAATTTTTATTTATTTTCCCCGTAAAAAAAATTTAAAAAATAAAAAAAAAACAGGGGATAGGAAAGGAAAAAAAGAAGAAAAAAGAAAAAAAAAAAAGAAAAAAAGAAGAAAAAAAAAGAAGAAGAAAAAAAAAGAAGAAGAAGAAAAAGAAGAAGAAGAAGAAAAGAAAACTACTACAAAATAGAGTATCAGCTATTAGCACATCATATTTTGGACCAATATAGCGCTGATTTCGTTTCACTTACGTCACTTTTTCACAGATACAGGCTGACTACCCTTAATCTCCTTCTGGTCCGCCCATACCTCCTTTTGTACTTTTTCGGCCTCCGGCTCATTATCGGAGGGAAGCTCCTCTTCGGCGGCGGCGGCGGTGTTGGTGGTGGTGATGGTGGGAGAGGGGGAGACGGCGGTGGTGGTGGTGGTGGGAGTGCGGGAGGCGGCATTGTGGCGGTCTGCCCGTCGGCTTCTAATCGAACGTCAGCATCCTATCAGCTTTCTTTTTGGAGGGTTATAAATTACATTGCATATCCCACGGCTCTTGAAAGGTTTTGGGCCCACGGCCCGAAACACAATCCGACAGTGGCAATCATACCACATACCCCAACGGCCCCAATCTGGGCAATCGCCCCGAGGTCGGGGAGAAAGGGGGCGAGCCACCCCGCCGTTGTGTCCGCTCCGGAGGTGCAATTTTCGGCCATTGCTGCTGCTGCTGATGCTGCTGCTGATGCTGCTGCTGATACTGTTGTTGCTGCTGCTGCTGAGGACAAAAGAGAAAGGAAGAGGAACATCCAACGTGCGTTTCCTTCGTTTAAAGGCGACGCGTTTAGCCATCGCGGGTTCTGCTGCCACTCACCGCCCTCACCCCTCACTACGAAGGAGGACATACCCCCTTAAGACTAGGGATACCCATATGCTGGATGTAAGGATGGTACTCTATACCCAGCGGGCTATGCCGTTAGCTAGGGCTTTCATCTAGATAATTAGCTAACTATTGGACATTGATATCCAGACTCTACTAGTTGGATAGGGGACTGGGAGAACCGTTGGCAAGCTCGGTATATGCATGCTAGATATATGTCACTAGTATGACGGGTTTCTTATTATTGCTGTACGTGTATAGGGGGATTATTGCCTCCGAAACCAGTAGAGTGTCGGCCTTACTTCGTGCCTTTTCTGATAGATTACACATACAGGCAGCGAAACGGCTTTATCATTCGCATAGACTACTATGATCCCTAGTTGTGATAGTACAGGCAGAAGGCAAAGCTTTACCTTCCTCTCCAGTGATAGTTGGTGTGCTTGTCTCTGGATTTCTCTAGGTACAATATAATATGTATAAAAGGAGAGGGGAAAGTCTCTCTTGTCAGATTGGTACTCTACTTTTACAATTCGAGCTATACGGAGTACTTCAAGCTCTAACAGGGTTAAGTTATAGTCTTAGCACGACGCTGTTGGGTGGTTCTCTCAAAGGGACCCTTCCCTAGCATCGCAGGAAAATGGTCCGCCATCTTAGCCTCACCGGTGGCCGCCGTCCCAACATATGTAGTTGCAGTTGGAGAGACAACCGAGTCCAATACCAGGTGGACTACTGGTTCCTCGCACGAGCCGTCTTCTTTTAAGGCTAAGCTTGCCTACAATACTTTGAACCATCCAGAGCCTTCAATAGAGAAAGGCGTAGTTGAAACATCGGTGAGCCCTTCAATATCTTTGCCCTGTTCCTTATGTCGTACGAATCCTCGGCTGCGAACACAACATCCGCAGAATAGCGTGCAATGGGCGTAGTATAGTCTTTTATCTGGGTATTGCCCACGTGGTTTCATACAGCACTGGCATGCCCTCGCACAGCAACCACCTCGTGCCTCGCATGCCTCCACTAGATATCGCTGAGAAAGGTGTTTGGTCGGGTTATTTCGTAGGGTTTTATGAATCTGGGAGATACGAGCGTCACGTAGCCTTATCCCGGGGCCCTCAGGCTTGCGTTGATGAAGGTCATGCCATTCGTTCGTGAGAGCCCAGGCCTTACCTGCCTCATTCAACAACTTGTGTTGCCAGTTTCTAGGCCCCCAGTTATCCAGATCATGTATTTTGTCTAGTTTCCCTTGCATAGCGAATTCGATTATTGTTTCTCTAAGGAATATTTGTCGTTGCCTCCATTTATGGAGTCTCTGGACCAAATAGAGCCGTTCAATGAGCCATTGACAAGATTTCTCACGTTCATCCTTAGGCTGGACAGCTAGCTTTTTCAGCCGAATCTTGTTAGAAGTTCCATACATGTGTATACGGTCAAATAACTGTTCAAAATCCGCCCTGGTACTGAATAGCATCATAACGATAAGTATGATGCAGCCGCCAGCAAGGAGTAGAATGTGGTCGCGAGCAAAGCGTAACAGGCCTTCAATCTCCATTTTGGGGAGTTAAGGGAGATATGCCTAGGGTGTGAAGATTGAAGTATACGTGAAAGACAGTTGATATGTGAGGTATTGAAGAGTATATGGAACCTTTCGTAGGATATTACAATATATTCTTCTTAAATGTATCACTCAAGGAGAAGAAACAGTGCAGTTTATCCTTTTAAAATAGCCCTGGGATGAAAATCTTACGTCAGTGTATCGTCATATTCTTCTTATGTGGATGACGCAGAACGCTTTAAACACCCAACCACGGGCGGACCAACTGGCCTATGTCTGGAAGAAGTAAAGCTTCTTCATGGTTCCGTCTAATCCAGGAGGCGATAGACATAGAATCATCGTAACTTCCCTCTTGTGGTGGTATAGTGTGGTCGTATCTAACGTCAACGACGCTTCTGTGCCATGGGACGTAAAACCAACAGCGCCTAATAGGAAAAATGCCAATCGAGGTAGGGAGTAAGTCTTCACGCTTACCTCAACTTTGGCTTCCAAGCCACCGCGTCAGTAGGAAGAGCTCTATCGATTCCAATAAACTAAAGCGCCACTCCTTTTCCGTGAGCTCACTGTAGGAGGTCAATTCTTGGTCCAGGTAAGTTGTCATGGTCTATTAAAATCGATGTGATAGCTAGCTGTTAACTACTATTGGCGCACTAGTTATCATATTCCCCACCAAGATGTGTGTAGTAAAAGGACCATGTTTGTTAATTATATGCAGGCGATTTCTTTTACGATATACCTAAATATCTAACCAACGCTCGTCTTTATCCATACAGAGACTAATGCTCCAAGTCCCAGCATTCACATGATGAGGTCATCCTTGCAGCCCTATAGGATTAAGCTTTGCGGCGGAAAGTCTTAAGTCGGCTACTAAACTTTAAAACGACACCTGATCTTCTGGCGTGCCGGCGCTTCTTTCTTTCTTCTTCTTCTTGCTTCTCGCCTCTGCGGTTCCCTCTCTTCTTTTGCTTTTCCTTGCGTCTCTTATATTTGTCTACCAGCAGCTAAAGATGATATTTTGTTCATCTTAGCCTCGCTGAAACCGATTTTCACTACGTCCCAGATGCCGTTCAACATACCTTATCCGCCATCCCAGGCTGGATACTGGTCGCCTGTCACCTCGACGCTCAACTGGTGCGAAGAGGTAATACTTACCCACAACACGAGAGCTAGAGCCCGATAATAATGGACTGACTGTGATTTGCTAGGACTACTATGCCACTCGATATGCCGCTGAAGTCGTGAATGCCTTCACCAACGTCCTATTTCTATACCTGGGAGTGAAGGGCATCCGGAGTTGCCGGAAGAATGGGCATGACGCCATCTTTCAGGTCGCATTCCTTGGATATCTCCTGGTGGGGTTAGGGAGTTTTCTATTCCATTCGACGCTGAAATGTATGCTCACCACGACTCTCTTTACACTTCTGGCACACACTAGCTAACTAGTTGCTCTATGGAGTAACAGATCCTATGCAGCTCGTTGACGAGCTGTCAATGATTTACACGACATGTCTCATGTGCTATGCCACCTTCTCCTTTTCCAGGTCCCGATCCCAGTGTCTTATACTCGGAGCTGGTCTCCTGGGATTGTCGATCTTCATCACTCTCTACTATCACTACCTCCAGGATCCCGTCTTCCACCAAGTAGCATATGGAGTCCTTACTGCTATCGTGATATTCCGAAGTATGTGGGTGATGGAAGTTACCCTACGCCCATCTCTACAGCGATCGCGCAACCGCGCCAAGTCAAACGTCTCGGGACAGATCATGACTACCAGTGGGGAGACAGTAAACGACAGGGACCTCAGGATTCTAAACAGTATGTGGGTAATGGTTGCCTACGGTTTGTCGACTTTCCTTGGGGGTTTCTTTATATGGAATTTGGACAATACATATTGTTCAACACTGCGAATTTGGCGCCGTGAAATCGGACTTCCATGGGGCATCGTGCTGGAGGGACATGGTTGGTGGTAAGCTCGCACTCTTTATCATTTACCCCAAACCGGTCCATGTTATCCACTCGCTCACTCCGAGAATAGGCACCTACTCACAGGAATCGGCGCCTACATGTATATCATCTGGGGAATATGGCTGCGCCATTGTCTCCACGGCCATCAGGATGAATACACGTTAGATTGGCCCCGGTTCTATAACGCCGCTGATATTGTCCGTGTCCAAGATATACCTAAGCTCACAGCTCCTGAAGGCTATGCTGAGAAACTGAATTGAGGTTACTGAGATCGGCACTACATTCAACAGCATCCCGAAAAACATTCTATAGACAAGTTGATTCTAGAGTTTCAGGGATACCTCTTTTTCCAATTCCGTTTCAAATTGTCTGAAATGTGGCCTGAATCCATCATACTCATATAGAAGACCAGCACTATCTAGTTATGATCTAGTTAAGAAAATATCACTCTGGCTTGTGATTAACGGCCTAGCGCAAACATATTAAATTCACGAACGATTCTCAAATCTAGCTTTAAGACAACATGCCGTCGTTTATAGCTTCGTCCCAGTATTCCTTTTCTTGCCTATATTCCGTACCGAGAGTAGATCAACCCGTCTAACCCACTCCTGATCGATGGTCATTTTATCTGTCAAAAGTTTATTTTTCCACTCAGACATCAGTAGGTCCTCCTCCCTGCGCCAACGATGCATTTCCGCGTCTATTTGGCCAGCGCACAGTTCGGCCGCTTGGCTCACGGCTTCCATGGCAATCAAATGGCCCACATTCTTCATAACGATGCCCTTGACCTTCCCCTCAGCCGCACCACCGCTACCACCAACAGCGACACCAGTACGATCAATCTTTTCCCGATTTAACCCTGGGCCGCTGACTTCTGAGTGTTCTGCGAATATATATAAAACACTTGGTCGAACAAAGGGAAGTAGTTCAAATGTCCTAGCAACTTCGTGTCGGTAGAATGGAAATGTAGATTTATATATATTGGGGTCAAGATCCGGATGAGTGAGGCGATTCAATGTTTGGTCGTCTTCGGAAGTAGAACCGTAAGCAGCCCTAAAGAATGAAAATACTTCCTGGTGCCGAGTTGTAGTAAGTGTTACTGGCCTTTCACCTATTGGCTTCTTGATAGAGTTCTCATCTAACGGGTATATAGCAGTGGGTAGTTCACGGAGTCCATACTTGAAGAAGCGCCGGAGTACGCGAGGGTCCCAGTTTTGATAGAATTTGCTTCCTTCAAGGGCCTTCTCTGCATCTCTGCGAGACGGCCAAAGATCTCTCCTATACGTCGATGCAAGGGTCGCAACCGGTATTTTCACGTTGGTCGGTTTGGAGTATTCATTATCAAGAACCTCCACCTTGTTCATCACAGGGTCCAGGAGAATAAGCGAGGTAAGAAGTCGGGGATGCAGAATTGAAAGGGCTATTCTGAACGCCGTTACGGGCTCAATTAGTGTTGTCGTTGTATTTGTCTGTCTAGGGGAGCTCTTACAGATTGTTACCGCCCATGCTGTGGCCAATTCCAAAAACAGGTCGGGGCATTTCGATTCGCTTTTGGTTAATCAGGTTAAGAAGGTCTCGTGGATGATCGTACCATGACGCTAAGGAACTTGTCAATGGTGAGACGATGGATGATACTCAAGGTCAATACCCATAAAAACGTACGGTCGTTGCCTAGCGAGCTCTCGTTGAGCACACCACTTTGGCCCTGATGTGCAACATCTGCAATCCAGATACCCCGAATACGAAAACCAGCCTGTTTTGAACACGCATATATCTCCTCCCAGAGGGGTTCATATAGCTCCTAGTGGGCGGATAATAGTTAGATATACCAGATATATTTGAAGGGAGTTTCTATGAAGTACAGGGGTATAAATCCAGGATGGTCCTCACTTTCGGAAACCCATTAGCATGTGCACCTATTATGGTGACATCACCTGGTTGCGGGTTCGGGTTATCCACTGGTATATACTGCTTGACTGCTAAGCTGAGCGGCTCTTCTTGACTGGTAGCCGTCGCATGGGGGTATTCCCTGATATGCTGGCAGGGAACGACGTGCTCAACGACCCGAAAGCAGCCGGCCATCTTATTATATGGTTAACTGGGCGGCGGTGCCCTGACTTTTGCCCGTTCTGGTCTGATCCTCAAGTACTCTGGTGTCTCTCTATTCAGCCATAGGGTAAAACTCGAGACAATGGAATGTTGTTATTCTGATTAATCATTATGCGACAAATATCATCATCGTCTCTTTCGGTCCAGAGTCGAACCGGGGTGGGTGGCTTGCAAGGGCATCCACGGATCGGCCACTGGTTACCGGTGGGCCGAGGTTCCATGACACACCCCTGATCAGCTGCGACTTTGCAGGGCAAAAGGACTGCATATTCTTCTTCTTTTGTTTGTACTCTGTAGGGTATATACATCAGGGGTCCTAAGGGACTCTCTGCTCTGTACCTATCTATGTGTGAAAATCGATTACCCAGTAGCTACTCGAAAGCTACTCAAGGAGACGAAGAAAAACCAGGAACTTTTTCCTTTTTCCTTTTTCTAGTTTTATTTTTCGCGCAAAGACGTGACAGTTACTGAGTAAGACAGCCACGGGACTCTTTCTTGTCTATATATTACGATCACCTGATATTAGATGCTTGACCATTACTCTTCAAGGCGTAAAGTCAGCAATTATATCGATGACAAATGACATTACGGGTTAAAACAGATATAACAGGTCTCGGCCAATAAGAGAATGCGATGCCTCCTGTAATTTATTTCCAGTACAAGATTTGAGGCACGTGACTACGCATACATAAGCTTCGGGCAGACGCGTTTGCGAAAAAGCTAAAACTAGCGCGTTTCCCCCATGTTCTTTTTTTTTTAATGCAAAACGTCAGCCTTTTTGTGAGACTCGCTCAACTCAAGAAACAAAAAAGAGCTCAGCGCAAGGTGGTCAAAACAGATATACTGATTGCTAAGCTTTGTGAAATTGATACAGTATTAAGTCACCCAAAACGCCGGTATTGTCCTGCTGTGGGTGGCCATCAGTATGGCGGAAGAAGGGCTATTTAGCCAGGCGCGGATCTGTATTGTCTGCTCCCCTCAGATGACTGCGGAGCAGGCTGAAGAGGTAAGTAGACGGTCAGCTCACGGTTGCGGCCCAAGGGTAACCTGCTGATATTACCGCTGTTATTGGTGTCGCAATACTAGATATCGTCCGCTCTACGAGAAAATGGAGGCGAGGTGGTCATAAATGAACCGCAGACACCACTCCCACCCGTAACCGAGTTCAGTCACATAGTTTCCCCAACAATAGACTTCCAAGGCCATGATGCAGCATGCGATGCCCTTATTCCGGTTGTCAAGCCCCAATGGGTGCAGATGTCTATATCAAAGCAGAAGCTCGCCAATCCCCGGCAGTATAACCCGGATCCGCGGCTATTCATGAACGACGTTATCGTCACCTGCGAAGACATTCCTGAAGGCGACAAAGATGCGATTATTGGTGGAGTGTTGGCTATGGGAGGCCTTTATACGGCCCGCATCACCAGCAGCACGACACATCTCGTTACTTTGACAATGAGTGAGAAATGTACCGCTGCGAAGAAGAGGGGCCTCCATACCAAGATCGTGCTACCTCACTGGTAGGTGAATAAGACTAACCTAACCTCCTCTGCTGGCTTGCTATGTCTAACTACAGCAGGTTTGATGATTGCCTCAAGCTTGGGAGAAGAATCGATGAAAGACCCTATCTACTTCCCAACCCTGAGATTCTCCGACCAGAGTATCAGAAGCCCCTGCGTATTGGCCAGAATAAAGACGTTCTCGGAGCGTCGACTCCAGAGCCCAACGCGCTCCCAGATCGGACCTCTTCTCCTGGTGGCTCAAGAAAAGAATTAGACATATTCAAAGGGAAAACTGTGATGATATCTTCAGATTTGGGCATCGGGCTGCATATGGTTAGGTCAATTGAAGAGAGAATTCTCGAAGGCGGCGGTGAAATTACGAATGAAGTGTCAAAATGCGACATATTTATCTGTCGATACCGTGAAGGTGAAGACTACAAGTCCGCATCCAGATCTGGCAAGGAGGTCGGCAATCTCTCGTGGCTATTCCACCTTATCACGCACAATGCATGGACATCTCCGCTACGAAGGCTCCTCCACTACCCTATTGCACGGGGGGGAATTCCTGGCTTCAAAGAATTCAAAATAAGTCTCTCCAATTACGCAGGGGAAGCAAGGATTTACTTGGAAAATCTAATAGCTGCTGCTGGCGCCGAGTCAACAAAAACTTTGAAGCAGGATAATACCCATTTATTGACGGCCCATCAAAACAGTGAGAAGTGCACTGCTGCCAAAGAGTGGAACTTACATATTGTCAACCACCTTTGGCTTGAAGAGAGCTATGCTAAATGGCAGCAACAAAGCGTCACCGACCCTCGATATACCCACTTTCCTCGACGGACGAATTTAACTGAGGTTGTAGGTCAAACACGAATAGATAGATATACTGTCGAGGAGCACTTCTTCCCTCCTGAACCAGCTCCAAGCGTGAAGAAGCCGGGCCACCGTACCGCAGAAAGATAATAATGGTACTCTTAATAGGCCATCCACCGCATACAAAGACGCCGAAATCAGGAGACAAAGCTAGTATTGAGGGTGGAGTGATGCCAGGGGCCGAGCTTGACAGCACTACAAAGACAACAAAGAAACTGAGGGGAAAGCCCTTGCAGACACCGGTAACTCCTAGATTTGCGGACCTTGGAAAGGAAAATGAGACACCGTCTACCACCGGAAGCCGGAAATCAAAAGATCTCGCGGCTGCTAGATTACATAGTCTTGCTCCCGACATATCGCTATTCGAAAGGGAGTCAAAGCGAGTTGGTGGTGTTATATATGGAGGCCGAAGAAAAAGCACCGGCGAGCCGGATGCGGGCAGGAAGAGATCTGCTGAGCCTGGCAATGCGTCCGATTCAGAGAACGCCGTCGATACGAAGAGAATAAAGACGTCCCGGCCGCCAATAGCAATCCGTCTGGTTATTACTGGTTTCCACAGATGGGTTGAGAAACCCAACATGGAAGATTCGGAAATAGTAAGCCAGCCCCTCTGTCTAAGAAGGTTAGTATGGTAGGGCTAACTAGTATTTTCATCGTACAGTCTCAACTCAGAGACCTTGGGATCTTGGTTATCACTGATCCGTTAAGGTGCACTCATCTGGCAGCACCGTCTATCCTACGAACCCAGAAATTCCTCAATGCCCTAGCACACGCACCAGTTATTATAAACTCTGATTTCATTACAGATTGCCTTGACCAAAAACAGCTCCTAGATCCCAACGACTATATCCTTGAAGACAAGGCCTCTGAGAAAAAGTACAATTTCAAGCTGGAAAAAGCGAGGCGGAGAGCAGAAGAAAACAAACAAAGACTGCTAAGTGGACACACCATTTACTGTACGGACAAGGTCAAAGGTGGGCTTGAAGCTTTCCAGGCAATAATTGAGGCGAACGGAGGCCAATGTGTACCGTATCGAGGTCGTGCGGGGATGATGATCAGTAGCCGGCGTTTGGCAGCCGACGACCCTGACCAGGCCGGAGTGGACGATGTATTTTTGATCAGTGGCCCCGACAAGAGCTGTGCCAAACTGCGGAGCAAGTTCCGGACGATGGCTCGCAATGCCAAACGAGTGCCCAGGACTGTCAACACTGACTGGTTATTGGATATTGCCTTATCTCAGGAATGGCGGGGCGGTGATGCATATGAGTATCCTAGCGAAGATGCCTCGTAAGGGACATGCCCGAAGCCAGCTATATATGGAGGCTTTCAACTCACGATCCCTTCTAATGTTACATACTTTTTGCATTCACATAAGCGATCCATGGTTAATGAATTCTGAGGTACCGGGAGCAGGTAGGGTAGCAACAAGACCTCTCTTATCCCTTAATTCATGTTTCCAAGCACATTTACCGTGTGATGCGGTTATGATGCCTGCTGGTTGATGACATCTATGCTCAGGACCTAGAAGAACTTGACACCCTGCTGGTCTTCACTCCCAAACACCTGGGCTTTGCCCTGTTTGGCCAGGACCTGGAGAGCTTTCTGCATAACTTCGGGATCCATCTTATGGAATTCTAGGCAGCAGGTTAATGGTGGAGCGGAAAAGGCAAAGTAATAGAGTGCAGCTTGGAAGAGGCTGCTACGCACCCTGGGAAACTGTTGCTTCTCCCTCCATGAGCTCATAGAGCGTGAGGACTGTGTTTTTCTGAGCTGTTTCTTCAACCTGTAGGTAGGCGTCAGCAAGAGCTTGTATACTATATTCGATCCGCCTACCCAGCCCGCAAGCACACTGGCCCATTCCTCTGGCCGTTTCCACCATATCCATGCTATTGTCTTCTCACCTCCAATCCATTCTGCGCGTTTCCCCCCGCTTGTGCCAGCCATCCAGTCGACGATATTCACTGCGTCCGCCAGGCCCAGTCCCTTTTTCAGCTCCGCATTGTAGAACAGAGGCGCAGATATCGTATCTATTAGTGAAAGACGGTATATGCGGTGGTGTCGGCAGTACGCTTGGATAAAGGACGACCATTTCTGGAACTGTTTCTCGCGAGTTGTAAGGTTGGGTTGGATGGTGTAAAACGGCGGAAACGAGTAGTCTCGAGGGAAGACGAAATCGGTAGGGTCGTACATGTTCCTGGCATTTTCTAGGCTCCTGTTATTTGCCATCTCCGGAAAGACATGTAATATAGAAACGCTGGCTGGAGAGACGTTGAAGTCGAGGTTGTCCTCGTCGTGAGTTCAATTTAGACCTGATAAGATAAATATTCAATCAAACCTAAGATCGCGTGGGGCGGGAAAGGGAAGAAAAAGAAAGTAAAAAAAAAAAAAAAATGACATCCAAAAATCATCAAGCGGTTAGCAACTACGGCCATGTACAGCGAACCCGGCAGCAATCAGCATTTAGGCAACGCAATGGCGGCTCCGGATCGAGAGAGGCAACGGCGCTCAGAGCCACCGAAACCACCGAAGGAAAAAGCCGACGAGCATGGACAGATAAAGCTGCCGAAAAAGAAGCTCTACCGCCAACGAGCGCATGCAAATCCATTCTCTGACCACCAATTGGACTAGTATGTCTATTGCAAATGCCCATTGTGTTTCATTAGCCCTTGCTTCAAATAACTCAAGGCCAGGCTGTCGTGCTAACTGGCTTCCAGTCCTATCAGCCCAGACCATATGGATTGGTCCGACATGTTCCCTGCGTACATTAACCCGGAGCCAACGGCTGTCAACCTTTCGGGATTTAGGAAGCTGGTCAAAGATGTGGAAATAGCTGATATTGGCTGCGGGTTTGGAGGATTATTGGTAGCGCTGGCGCCGCTAATGCCCGACACCTTGATGGTTGGTATGCTGCATTTTTCCAGGCCATAGATCCTGTTAGGAAGCAGATTGATTGACTAGTTATTGGTAGGCATGGAAATTCGGTCCCAAGTGCTCGAGTATGTGACGGAGCGCATAAGGGCGCTTCGGTCCAGGCAGCCTCCTCCCGCGGCACCTGATGCCGCTGCCCATTCTGCCTTGGGAGATGGAGATGCGCTGGAATCAGTATCATCACCGTCAGCTCCATCAGATTTACCCGGACAGTCTAATTTTCAAAACATATCTGCCATCCGCTCGAACACTATGAAATTTCTACCGAATTTCTTCTCTCGCCATCAGCTTTCAAAAATATTCATATGTTTTCCTGACCCGCATTTTAAGGCAAGGAAACACAAGGCGCGGATTGTCTCGACATCCCTTAATGCCGAATACGCATATGTCCTACGGCCCGGCGGAATGCTATATACAATTACAGATGTGGAGGATTTACACTTGTGGATGGTTTCACACTTTGATAGCAAACCTGCAGACAACGATCTGAACTCCCATGGCATTGCCGAGCTGTGGGAACGTGTGAGTGATGAGGAGCTCGCCGCAGATGACTGTGTCCGAGTGATGAGGGAGGAAACAGAAGAAGGCAAAAAGGTGACAAGAAACAATGGGCAGAAATTTGTGGCAGTTTGGAGGAGGAAGGCCGACCCTGAGTGGCCATCCTAGCCAGGTCTTCCTTTCCTCAAAAAAGATACAAATGGTTAAAGGCCCAAAAAGATAATGATATTTCTGTCAAGCTATCGCCTACTCTGCTGCGCTATGGATCAAACCAAAATACAAATTCAATGAATATTCAATCCCAAGAGGAAGAAGAAAAAAAGAGACAAAAGGAAAAATCAAACAAACTGGAGGGATATGCAAAAATGGCTGCGCTTATGAAACTTATGCCTTCAATCGCCTCGATTCACACGCCTCGCAGACCGGCAGCTCAACCGGGCCGCCGATCTGTCTGCCTCTAGCATTTACCTTCGGCTTGCCCTGTCTCACAAAGAAACGTCCGTCTGGCCCGAACGATCCCTTGCATTCATCGCACCGGAAACACTCGTCGTGCCACTGCCCACCAAGCGCAGATACAACTACATCATCCAACACCGGCTTCTTACAAGCTTTACATTTGGACGCGGTACGCCGTGAATGGCACCGGACACACCATGCAAAGCCCTCCTTTTCAATGAATGGTGTTGTAGGAGTGAACGGGTCGCCACACTCTGCGCAGAAGAAATGCCCAGCATGCCAGGTTGAACCGCATGCAACGATGACCTCGCCTTCGATTGGGGTCTTGCAGCTTTTGCATCGAGGGCTGAAAAGTTCGTGGAAATCTAGGTGGCAGTAGAACCGCGGTGTGTCGAATGCTAGCCCCCGATGAGCATCTAGCTGTGACAGCCTTTCTCGGCGCTTTTCTTCTGGCTCTGGGTAAAAGGCGACACATTCAAGAGGAGTCCGGCAGTGGAAGCAGCTGAAACACTCTGGGTGTAGCCGGTAAGAGCTTGCGATGACTACACGCCCGGATATTGACAGACCACAAACAACGCAACTTGCTGTTGGTATCCCCGCTTTGGAAAGGGACTGGTACCTTTCAATTCCCATTGAACCTGAATGGCGGTTGGACTGATGCTGCCCAGGGCTCGGTAGTTCTCTTCTCTGCTGCACTTGACTTGCCTGTTCCATCTCAGATATGGTAGGACCTAAGGGCGAGACGCGAATCTCCGGTGCAGCAGGGGCTTCATTCTCGATACTGATGCTAGGAATTTTTGGAGCACTGACACTGACTTCTGGTATGGCTTGGGGAGCAGGGGTATTGTTATTGGAGTTTATGGATTGGCTTGGAGTGCCATTCCCGCTACTGGTGGGGGGTTCATTGCTCGATAAGCTAGCAGGCTCCTCTTGTTCCGTCTCCTTCCAGTGGGGGTCAAAACTGACAATTGGGCGACCCGGTCGATCACTCACAGCCGAAGGCATTGGAAGTTTTGTGCTTCGATCCTTCAGCTTCATGCTTGTGGCTGCACGAATTTCATCGTCACGTATTTCGATCCCATTTTTTGTCAGCGTGCTCTGTTCATTCTCCGACTCCGGTGTCTGTTCTCGTGGAGTGTAAGTGTTTGTAGTGTAAAGGGGGTTCCTGGTTTGAGACGGAGGGTTTTTATGTATATCAAATCGATTCAGTTTGCCACCAGCTGATGAACCACTCCATCTATTCGGGAACGGGCGAGCTCCCCGGAGAACAGAGTTGTGGGGTTTGGCGGTTAAAGCAGATGTTGGAGCAGTATTTTGAGCCGTGGTGGGCTCCTCGTGGGTACCAGTCTCCTCGGGTTCTTCATAAATAGAATCTTCAGGGTTCCTGAATATCCCCTTTGAAGAACCACCGCTGACAGACCTCCTTCGGCTCTGGCTATCTTCTTTCCTTTTCTCAGAGCTCACTTTAGGCACGGCAAAGTTGACCCTTCGTAGTGGCCGTACCATTCCGTCAGATGTTTTATCAGATGCCGATTGACCCCCGCTCGAGCACTCAGAGGATGATCGGATGCTGTCTGTTATGGACTGGCTCCGCACAGCAGTATCTCCTCCATACCCTAGACTTGAGGTCCTCGAGTGGCTGCCTTTCTCTAGATGCTGTCGTAGCCTGCTTATGGTCTTCAGGTCTGGGTTTCTGTACGCTGCATGGGTGTCCTTTTCTTTAAACCCATGAGTCTGGTGCTGCAAAACGAGCTCTGTTGCCTCCTCCTGGGCTGCCTCGAACAGTCTGTTCTCGTCATCCTGGACATCCATCTCTTCTAGTGCAGACCTTAAAGATCTAACTTCTTGTCTTTCCATCCATCTCTGGCCACGCTCTATGTACGGTATTGGTGTTGATGAAGTTGCTGATGACAGGCTGCTCCCACAATGAGAAACATTTCTTCCGCCGTTGAAAACCTCGCATTCGGGTATTGTTGGCGTTCCGCTGGAGCTACTAGTTGGTGTAGACACCTCGGAGGTTGTCCGTCGATGGGAGAAGGCACTGGACGAGCGGGGAATTATGTCCTTGGAGTTTGGTCGAGAATGCACAGTTTCGGACGGCCGCGTAGAAAACGACGAAGCCGGTCTTACCGGTATGTCCTTTAAATTGGGGAGTGCTGCTGGGCCCGACACCTTAGACGGGAGTGGCCGTGAGCCATTCGGGCGTGGTGGACGTGCTGTTCGAAGATCTCGCAGGTAGCTCCCTATTTGTTTGCAATCAAGACATCAGCTCTCTTTTCCGCTACCGGGCGCTAATAACAGGGCCAGAAAGAGCCACCTACCCAGCTCCTCATCGTTCATGAACGTAGGTCCTGGGGGAGAGACCTTCCTCGGGCTGCTCTTTAGCTTGACTCCGTGCATTGTTACCGTAGCTCTGGGGGCAAGCAGACGAAGAAGCCTGGCGTAGCAGCACCGCAACACCAAGCAAGCAGCCGTGTGTCCCTGTTTATATGGGCTAGCAGACAGGCAGAGATAAGAAGAGGACGCAGATCAAGGTCGTACATCCGTGGCGAGTTATATTCCAGGCAGCACGGAGCCAATGTTTGTTGCACTAGACGACCCGGGGGCGGCGCCTCGCTTCGTCCTCTTGTCAGGATAAGCGCGAGGTCTGGCTTGTTTTCGTCTCCGCGTATCAACAACCGCCAAGTCAGCCGGTTGCGAGGACAACACATTGCTGACTAAGCGTGTCTTAGCCGAGGCTAAGCTTTCAGTAGTCTGGATGACTCAGCACAACCCAACACCAACCCCAACACCGTGAGGAAGTCGTGAATACTTAACTCTTCACTACCGCGTACCCCGTACCCCAGACGCGTACGGCTCTCGATATGACACACGGCTTGTTGGCGGACAAGGAAGTACAGCAAGCAAGCTACAGCGGGAGGGCAGGCTTCACCGGTCGCTCTCCACCCAGTTTTATGCGGTGAGGTGATCGTTCATCTCTGGCCTTGTAGTTACCTGGGTACTCCCGTACCTACTGTAGCTGCAGCTCGCATCCTTGCTATTCTCGCCAAATCACTTATGAGAACGTATCTGCTCAGCATGTTGACAACCATTGCCCCTCTTCTACTCTCGTATCACGACCTGACCTTCTTCGAATCTGCGGGTTGGCATTGCTCTATCTTTCATAACTGACTCGTTAACTAGTTGACTAAGGTAACTAATATGGATAACGACCAAGAGGCCCGTCCATTAGGACAGGAAGCTAGTGCTACATCATCGGAGGACAGCCCACACCGCAGGGACCATTGTGATGACACAGGAGTTCGGCTCGGCAATAGGTATTTATTAAGTACTGGAACAGAACCTGATCTCGATGAGTCTATAGCGCGAATGCGAGAAGCGATTGATCCACTGTCACCAGACAACCAAACCCAGGCAAGGTACAAAAGCATTCTCGGTAAACTACTGATCGAAAAATTTTACCTCACAGGAGAAGCGTTTCCTCTTAACGATTCCATTAGCCTTGGACGTGAAGTGATTAATATAACACCACTAGGCCATCCAAATCGCGCAGAATATTTAAATACTCTAGCAATTACTCTCAATCTTCGGTTTTCCAAGTCAAATGCTACAGCCGACTTGGAAGGTGCAATCCAGCTAGGTCGGGAAACAATAACCATCACATCCCCAGGCGCTACAAACCGGGAAAAGTACCTAAATGACCTTGGAACTTGGCTTCATGACAGATACGTTAGAACAGGAGTGGTATCCGACCTCGAAGAAGCCATTCGGCTTGAAAGAGAGGCTGTTACTACAACTCCTAATGAGCTTGACACGGCTAAATACCTAAACATTTTGGGAAATCTCCTCATTGCAAAGTATGACAGAGCAGGAGACGGAGCAGATCTCGAAGAAGCTCTCGCAATTGGGCAGAAAGTTGTCAAGTTAACTCCAAAGGGCCACCCAAACTGGCCGGAACGTTTGAGCAACCTTGCAAGTACTCTCCGCCACAAATACTTAAGAACAAAGACCCTGCCTAATCTTGAACGAGCCTTCCGGATGGGAAAACTCGCTGTGGCTATTATGCCAGAGGGATATCAAGAGCAGGCAACCTGTTTAAGTGTTCTCGGAAATGTGCTCTATGACAAGTATCTCAGAACTGGCGCTATATCTGACCTCGAGGAAGCTATCCGGATTGGGCAGAAAGCTCTGGATTTGACCACAAAGCATCATCGTGACAGGGAATCATACCTGAGCAATCTTGCTATTATGTTCGACGTAAAATACCTTAGAATTGGGATGATATCTGACCTCGACGTTGCTATCCAGCTTGGACGCGAAGCTGTTGATACATCACCAGAAACCCATATATGCTATCCTGGGCGTTTAAATAACCTTGGAAACCGATATAGGGAAAAGTATTTAAGGCTAGCGCTGATGTCTGAGCTTGAAGAAGCCATCCGCCTTATACAGATGGCTGTGGATCTAACAGAAGACTGTCCAGATTATGCCATGTATTTGAGTAATTTATCAGCCACATTTGGTGACAAATACCTGAGAACCAGAGAAGACTGTGATATTGAGAATGCTATTCAGTTTGGACGTAAGGCCCTCGATATAAGTCCAGCAAGCTCTATTGACTGTGCAAGACGCTTAAACAACCTTGGGATCCTGTTCGGATACAGATATGAAAAGAGAGGAGCTATATCAGACCTCGAAGAGGCTATCCGGCTCGGGCGAGATGCTATCAATAAGATGCCAGAGGAGCTTCCAGAACGAGCAGGCGTTTTGAATGATCTTGGAATGCGACTTGGGAGAAAGTACATAAAAACAGAAGACAGGGTCCACTTACAGGATGCTCTTTCATGCCATCAATTGGCTCTGCGCCAACTTACTGCTTCAATAATGACACGGATAACGGCTGGGAGGGAGATTCTTCATCATTGTGCACTAATTTTAGACTGGGATGGAGCTTACGAGGCTGCTGAGGTTGCTCTTCGCCTAATTCCCACGCTTACCACGCGGTCTCTCACAAACGCTGATAAGCAGTATATACTTAGCCAAGTGGTGGGCCTTGCGTCCGATGCGGCAGCGGCATCGTTGAATGCAGGTAACGGACCATTCGTTACCCTTGGCCTGCTCGAACAAGGTCGAGATGTTCTCGCATCATCTCTCGAAGAAATACGGATAGACGTTTTGGAGCTACAGCAGAGGTACCCAGAACTGGCCCAACGGTTTTTGCAATTACAGAACGAGCTAGATTTACCCGATCCTGGCAGCTTTCCTTTTCAGGCAGACAGTGGGGAAACTCTTATGCAGAAGGCGAGTCGCCGATACGAGGCAGGAAAGGAATTTGACTCCCTTATTTGTGAAATCCGCGAGCAGCCTGGTTTCAAAGAGTTCTTGCTTCCACCTACCGACACAGAAATTTTAGCTACCGCGAAACATGGTCCCATTGTCGTTATAAATGTGAGTCAATATCGGTGCGACGCAATACTCATCGAGCATCATCAGATACGATCCCTAGGCTTGCCTCACCTCCGCAGCAAGGATGTCATTAAAAGGGCAGAAGCCGCGAACCTTGCAACCTTTGAACATTTGGTTTGGCTATGGGATAATGTTATGGACCCAATTCTAAATGCTCTAGGCTTTACGGAACCCCCGTCCGATGCGAATTGGCCCCGTGTATGGTGGATTCCCACTGGTACACTTAGCAAGTTTCCTGTCCACGCGGCTGGTCGTCATATCGAAGGTTCCTCGTCAACTGTGCTTGATAGAGTCATGTCCTCATACAGTCTATCCGTCAAAGGAATGATATCTGGCCGACGCCGTCAATTAGATATCTTGGCCCCATTTCAGGCGCTTCTTGTTGCTATGGATCATACACCTGGAAGTTCTAGACTTCCGTTTGCAATGAAGGAGGTGGAAGCATTGCGTGGCATTCTCGCTGAAATGGCGATCAACACTATTGAGCCAGGTCGAACCAAAGAGAGCATCACTTCCTATCTGCAGCAATGTAAGATATTCCATTTTGCTGGCCACGGCTACACAGATAGAATTAACCCATCTAGAAGTTATCTACTTCTAGATGATGGGAAGGAAAACCCGCTCACAGTTGCCTCACTCTTGGAAATGAATTTGAGAGAGCACTCACCATTTCTTGCTTATCTCTCCGCCTGTGGTACCGGACGGATCAAAAACGAGAAATTTACTGACCAGGGCATTCATCTCATTTCTGCATTCCAACTTGCGGGGTTTCGACATGTAATTGGCACGCTGTGGGAAGTTAACGATGCAGTGTGTGTGGACATTGCAAGAATTGTATACGAAGCACTGAGAGATGGTGTGAGAGCGATCACAGATAAGACTGTGTGTCAAGGGCTTCATAATGCAAGCCGAGTACTTCGGGACCGTTGTTTAACCATGCCAATAACCGCAACTATCACCAGGGCAGTAGGAGAGCCTAGTTTAGATGCCGACCTCCGCGATATTGTTTTATGTGATGACGACGACGATGACGACAACAACGGTCAAACATTGACACTGCCTTGGGTTGCGTATGTTCACTATGGTGTTTGATAGCTGTAAAATCTCACGACTGATGATATGCCTCTACTTCAACGCAACTCACTTCACCCAATAGTATATCCAATGGATTCAACAGCCCGAGGGGTTTTTTTTATGCCTAACAATGTCACGTTCATAATCTAATACAATCCCTCCTTGAGCCCTTGAACAGGGTCAGGCTTAGATTTATAGAATTTGAACACTAAGATTTAGTTAAACGAAGCAACAGGGGAGGACGAATTGTGCGAGGAAAGGAAAGACTGTAGTTATCTTTACCCCGCCCCCTGCTAATACATAGATCTCATTTGATCTCATCGGTTTTGCATGCAAACTCCTCTTCAGAGACTATGCTCTGTTTCCTAATCTTATCCTTTGAAAGGTCCAGTCGTCTTCTCTAATCGTGGCTCTTGGTGGTAACTCTTTCGCACCATGGCTACACCAACAGACGTTTCAGTGCATTGGGCAATCTTGGTAGGAGTGAATTTCTATAGAAATCACCGTTGTCTTGAAGGAGCCGTCCGGGATGTCAGGCGCATCAAAGAGTATTTGGAGTCTGGGCAAAATCCAGTCCGAGTGCGTACGCTCACAGCAGATAGTCCCGGTGAATCAGACAGAAATAGCCCTGCTGGAGATGAGTTATCCTGGCCAACCAGTGATAATCTGAAGTTGAGCTTCAGAGAGGTCCTGGATAACGCGAAGCCGGGAGATTATCTGTATATTCACTACTCAGGACACGGTGCATTGACTCCCCCCACTAGACCGCCGAATGGAAACGAGGATACCGGTGACGTAGCACTGGTTTTATTCGACAATTTCTGTGGGAGTAGCTTATTCAGAGGCTACCTATTAGCTAAATGGATGAGCAAATTCGTGGATAACCAGATAAATGTGACTCTCGTCCTAGACTGCTGTTTTTCAGGGAGTGTAGTGCGAAACAGCTATCCCCCTGATTCTGGAATTCGATGCATTGACGTTTGCTCCGCAATGGAAAGGACTGATGAGACGAACTAGACTACTCCTGAGCAAGCTGAAACCCATATAGGAACAAGGTCTGCCTGGCGTGATACCTACGCATTGCCGGATTGGCTAATCAACCCAGATGGTTATACGATTCTCAGTGCCTGTGGCCCACATGAAGTCGCTAAGGAACTCAGGCTTGGTGATGATAAAGACGGACGCAGGGAGAAATACGGGGCATTATCCTTCTTCCTGATCGATGCCCTTACTACACTAAGGAAGCACGGCGTAGTGCCTTCCCATTATTCCCTCTACCAACAGCTATGCGTTACATTTCATGCTGCCTGGCCTAGTCAACATCCTATGCGATATGGAGCGAAAAATTTTGGTTTCTTCGAGAAACTGGGCTCGAAGGAACGGGGATTCTATTCAATTTTACAGGAGAATAACCGTTTGTGGCTGATGGCAGGACGCGCCCATGGTGTACATCTGGGCGACGAGTACGCTTTGTACCCCCCTTACGTGCGAGAAGACAGCTTCATGGATACCTCACAAGCATCGGCCAGAGCACGGATAAGCGTCGTTCATGGCCTTCGATCAGAGCTTGAGGAACGGACCGGATCGCCTTCCCATTCCCACAAAGCGGATACTGGATGGAAGGCAAAGCCACTCCCGAGGATGATCTCCCGAAACGTAAATGTTAATGTGCAGGTAACAGCGGATATCCTTAATGGCAACTCTAAATGTGGGGCAAAAAACGATCGGGGGGACCTGTTACAGCTCTCCGCAGAGGAGGACGAAAGCCAACCCTATATGTTTTATGTCGCCAGAGACGAAGGCAATTACCAAATCCTAGGTTCCTCGTACCAAGTGGTTCTCGGCATCCCCCCCGTGTCCTTTGATAATGAAAGGGCAATAGAAATCATCATGGGGTATTTAGAACACCTCGCGGCATTCAAATATTTTGAAGGAATAGAAAACCATAATGTGAATACAGCATTTACCCAGTCCTTTTCTCTGGATCTCCTTAACACAGCCAGTGAGAATGTGTCATCGCGAGCCCAAGTCAAACATAAAGATCAATTGACCCTTAGGATCAATAACTTTAGCGACATACCACTGTATATTGCGATATTTGCCATGGGGCCCTCCTGGGATATACAAAATCTCCTTCAACAGTCGGGAATGGAGTATATTGTGGTCCAGCCGAAAGGTAGTAAAAAGAAAAGCTTTATAGCGAGCGTGCCATCATATTTTCAGGCCCAAGGCTGGTTAAACTGCGAGGATATAATCAAAGTCTTTGTGACTGTTCAGCCCACTTCATTTGAGCCGCATATCTTACGAAAAATATATGAGACTGAGGAAAGCATGAGGCTCCCTTCCTCTGGGCTTACATCCTCAGACTTTCTATCTTCACTTATGCAATTTAGGGAATCTGACTTCGATGACTGCTGGGTAACAAAAAATTTTATTATACACACTGCTTCTAAATGATGTAGTTGGTTTGGAAGATAGTGTCATTGTTATATTAAGCCTAACTCAATGGATCAAAGTTATCGAACAATGATCAGAGGTCGTCATCGGCAAGTTTCAGGTCTTTCTCTTCTATAGGCATTCCTTCCTTCACCAGCTGTCCATTTTTGTGGCATAGCTTATACTTTTTCAAGCTGGGCGTCGAGGAAACTAAATATGGGCCTTCGCGGACTTTCGTCGTAGGGTCGGTATAATATACCTCGTCTCCAGGCATAAACTTATTTTCCTATAATAACTTATTAGCAGACTATCATCATCACAAAAAATAAGAAGCCATGCTTACCGCTGAATATGCAACTATCTTAGCACGGCCATCATCCTCCTCGATTGTAATGTTTGATCTGTTTCCAAAAATATCAGCACTATCATTTTATGGAGATTTCTCGCCAACAAACCCGTTGATATTCATTTTTCGGGTCCTTTGATCGCAGTTTGGGTACTTTTATGTTTCTATAGCTTGTGGCAGTCAGCAAGTTTATTATTATGCCACTACGTTGAAGAAGATAGTATTTAAGAAGTTGCAGGCTGCCCTCCGCTGCTACCCATCAGGAGTGAACCCCAGGTGCTTGTCATTTTAAGTACCTCCTTGGGTCTGGTTTTACTGTTTGGTGCAATAACATATGTTCAGCCGCAATTGATCAACTCAAAAGGATTTATGAGAACCTTTCCCTGCATTCCTATTGAAAGCCTCGCATGCAAGGTAGTATATCAAAATTTTACTAACCCCTGCAACCTCAGGCATAGAAACGTCTTGGATGATATTTGGGGCCTTTCCTGACCCATGAAAGAACATAACCAAACCATCGGTCATTGTTTACAAAGACATTCGACATATCCTAGTCTAGAGTAAATATTGAATACCAAAGAAGCATCTGGCCCAAGTATGGCAGTATGGAAAGATAAAAACAATGTTCTACCCAGGTTTTTTGCGGTTGGGCACAAGAATACGGCCACATGTGACTTGTATACGTTGGGTACGCACGCAGCACCACAGCCCCTTATGCAAAGGGTAACGTGGACACATTCCGATAGAATCCGTGAAGGCTAGGGCTTGATGCAGGAAGATTAATCAATGGATGTCACTCTGGATGCCGATTAGGCCATATTAGAGATGAATACAACCAATACGGTAGCATACCTACACATGTGTTTCGCTGTCAGTATATAATGCATTGAAATGTTCCTGTCAATGATTGGAAACGTACGTTGAGCCTGCGACAAATAGCTCTATTGACCTTGCCCTAGTCAAGGTTGAGAGAGTCGCGATGAAAAACGTCGTGGAAATCGCAACGATTACGGCTCGTGAGGTTATGGATTCGACAGCCAAGCATATAAGCATAGGAACCAACAGGATAAAAGTGACAATGAGTAGCAATATGACTTGTGACATAGCTGCTAGTAGGCGATTTGAATATATAAATACGTTTGGATCGCTCGAAATACTGGGGTATGGTCGCTATATGAAGGTGTGAGCTGAGAGCCGGGTATCGAAGCTGGTTTCTGATCAGACCTTATCAAATGCCGCTGAAAATCGGACGAGATTATCTTCAATCCAAGCCTCCAGCTGTGATATAGACTTATCTTCGGTGCAATATATGCAAAGCAACTCGTTCTCCTTCTGTAAATAGGCGATCTCGCTCCTTGATACGCAAGCATTCCCGCGGAGCCAGTTTCGAAGACTCTGTACATCTCGCGATTTCGCTGGTTCATAGCGGAATATTCGTCGAGTCCTTTCGATGAATGCGTCTGAATATAACTGTCAGTGATTAAGTATTCAAAGAATGCAGGCGCGTACTTGAATTTTACCATAATCAGCTAAAGCAGCATTGATATTAGAGATGACGGATTGTCGTTCCTGGTTGACGTCATGCCTCCGACTCCCAAGGAACAAGTCTGAATTCTCCTCCTTATCGATTTTCTCAAGCCGCTTTTCAAGCACCGATAGTTCGTCTTGCTTGAAAAGGAGGAGGCGAGCCCGTAGATTAGCAAACCGGCGGCATATATGAAAGGACGGCTGTGCGGCAACTAGAGCAGAGAACCGGGGGTATCCAGCTGGATGTTCCTCGACTGCTTTGAATTAGGGCTGGTCTCTTCCATAATGTGAACTATGCTATACCTTGCTCCATTTGGCTTTCACAATCCCCCCTTTTGGGTCTATATTTTGGAAGCCAAGGATGCATATATTTGAGCTGCTTCCCAGAGGGTATCGAAAATAGGCCTTAAGTAGTCCCTTGATGATAGATAACTGGCACCTAGATATTCAAGCTAAAGCGAGCTCCAGAGTATAGATAGCAGTTTAGTACAATATTGTCAGAAAAGAGTACCTATCCTCATCATCCGCTGCCGTTAACAAAGCAGTTAATTCCCAAGGCCACATATCAGCCGCAAGGCTGAAGCCCAGATTAGTTAAACGAGATTTAAAAAAAAAAAAAAAAAAAGACTCAATGGGCCAATGATAACTAGGTAACTAGTTCACTAGTTAGTTAGCTAGTTGGTTGACTCTAGCAAACCGAGAAGGGGTCGCAACCTCGGCAACCTAATAGATATTGAATACGGAGTATATGGCTCATAAATGCTCGGCTTTGGTTATCAGTATTGTGACTGTGCATTGATCTATAAAATCCTGTTAACTAATTTACTAGTTATGGTAACATAAAACGACCGGTTCATCAACATCAAGCAGGCTAATGACCAGGGATTGTGTTTCCCTCGGCACAAATGACTGTTTCCGACATTCATCAAGCATGAACCGCATCAACTAACTACCTACCAATGATCGGTGCATTGAGCAATTTCGCAGTGTTAACTATTATTTAATATAATGGCCATAATGGTCCTATCCTGGCAGTGTAGGGCGTGTTGGCCTGGCCAATTCAATCCCCCTCCTCTTAGTTGGTTGATCAGCTTGCGATAACTAGCAGCCAGGAGGATGAATACGAAACTGCCCCCACTGTTCCGCTTAAACGGCACTGAAGGCCCTTTTTCGGGCTTTGGCATTGCCGGACAGTCATCCCGGGACGAGTAGCAAAGGAAATATGACTGCTTTTTATACTGAGCTGATGGCCGCATCTCGGGAAAGGGTTCATACCTCCCCTAACAATTCGTCATATACGTCTACGGAGTAGTTATAACTTCTGCAGTTTCTCGCCTCTGGCCCGACAAGGAACCGAGAAAAGAGGACCCTGGCCTCGATCAAGACTTTCGGCTAACAGGGCTCCCAAAGCCGTTTGCCTGAGGATGGTGGATAGTTCGGAAGCCCATCAAAGTAGCGGAAATGCTTCCCATCAGGTAGAAGTTAGTACACCTCAGCCAGGAGAAAAAAGACCAGGCTGCAATTCCATCACCAGATCAGATGAAGGCCTAAGCGAAAAGGTAGCAGGTGATATTCCCCCAGAGGGAGGATATGGATGGGTCTGTGTTGCCTGCGCTGGTCTGATCAACGCCAACACTTGGGGCGTGAATAGTGTAAGCTCCTCTCCACTCGTTATACACTCCCCAAGGCGTCGGGTATACTGACTTTTCACACAGTCGTATGGGGTCTTTCTCTCGTATTACCTAGAGAACGATATATTCCCAAATACAAGCCCAATAGAATATGCCTTCACTGGCGGCTTGAGCATGTCATGCTGCCTGCTCATCTCCCCCCTTGTCACTCATATGGTGCATTTATATGGCAACCGAGCGGTCCTTAACTTCGGTGTCATACTTCAGACGCTTTCGTTCATCGGAGCGTCGTTCGCAACACAAAAATGGCACATATTTCTCTCACAGGGTGTATGCTTTGGTCTTGGAATAGGTGTTATCTTCGTCACATCAGTGAGCATAATACCTCAGTGGTTCCGGCGCAAAAGAAGCATTGCCAATTCCATCGCTGCTGCTGGCTCCGGCATAGGAGGCCTTGCGTATTCCCTTGCGGCGGGCTCACTCATTCCTAAGGTAGGGCTAGGGTGGACTTTTCGTGTATTGGGGCTATGCTCATTCGCAATAAACTTGGTTGCCTCCAACCTGATGCGCGATCGGAATAAAGCTGTGGGCAGCAGGTACCGTGCCTTTCACTTCCCACTGCTAAAACGGCCGGAGTTCCTCTTTCTTCAGGCATGGGGTATGCTCTCGCTGCTGGGATATGTTGTTGTCCTTTTCAGTTTACCAAACTTTGCTCTTTCGATTGGCCTATCCCAAAAGCAAGGCAGCATTGCTGGTGCCCTGCTGAACTTGGGTCAAGCCATCGGGCGTCCCATTGTTGGCCTTTTCAGCGACAGGTACGGCCGACTCAACATGGCTGTCCTGTTTACCATCTTTTGTGGCCTTCTCTGCCTAGCTGTCTGGATACCGGCATCGAATATGGGTGTGCTTTCCTTCTTTGCCGTCATAGTAGGCACCGTGGCCGGCACCTTTTGGACAACTATTGTCCCGGTCTGTGCAGAAGTAGTCGGTATGCGAGAACTCCCCGGCGGCTTAAGCATTACCTGGGTCGCTATGGTGCCTGCGACTACTGTGGCCGAGCCCATTGCTCTCGTTCTCAGAAGCGGATCCGGCTCGACGGGCTCTTATACATATGCACAGGTTTTTGCTGGGCTTGTATATGTTGCTGCAGGGCTATTTTTGCTGGTCGTTCGGGGCTGGAAGATTGGAGATAACGAGCAGATCGAAAAGGCTGCGGCAGTCAAGATGAAGACGCCTAGCAATGCGGCATCAAGTCAAGTTCTCACAACTCTTCAGAGCGCTAAGATGGATGATCCTCTCACTGACAGTGCAACTGTTGAATGCAGGATGAGCCATCCAGAAAACAACACTAACCGTCTACCTACCAGCGTGGATGAGAAAATTTGGTCGCTTCTGCCACTTACTCGGAGAATGGTGGCTTGGAAAGTGGTGTAAACATAAAAAGAAAGTAGAGCTTTTTATCCTACATATCGGTTTTTTTCAGTGAATGGCTTAAAAAAAAAGGCTTGCACGGCGTACTCCGTATATATCTATTCTATTTTGACCGCGTCCGACCTTATTTTATGACGTGTAACTGATGAATGATAGAATGAATGGCCGATAATTCAATTGCATCAAAAGCTGTGGTAAATTGGCAGGGCAGTCCGACACAATGAAAGCAAGACACATCACACTTTCTCTAGGATCAACACTCGTACTCTTCTTTTGCCTGCTCCACGCCCCTTTTCTTCCTTGACGGACCTAACGTTTACCTTGACCTTATCAAACAACTCGACACCCATGCTGTTGGAGCTTGGTTGTGACGGTGTCTTTTCATCTCCGTCAGCTCCTTTGTCCCATACCTTGAGAGAATATTGTTCATTGTCAAACTCGCTTTCTCTCCGGGCGGCAATTTGCTTGCTTGCGCTTGGATCAAAGGCCTTTGCCTGTTGGCCATCCAGAACAAAATCTTCCAACCGGACAACCCCTTCAATACCGAACCGTGGAATAAAGACAACAACGCCATTATCAAATACACGCATCACGTAGCCCTCTTCATCGACACCAGGAGCGACTTCGGACCCAAGGCGCCTAGCTTCTATCTCACCCCTTGCTTTAAGCGCTTGACCAACATAGTACTCTATACTGGCTCGACCGGCAAACTGGGCATTCCGATGTCTATGGTTGATATTTTTGCAAATGTCATCTAGTTTACTTCGGGTAGTTAGTCCCTCACCGGCAGAGGCTCCTGGGCCCTCATAGCCGATGGCGGCAGCCAGTTGTCGATGAACAACAAGATCAGCATAACGTCGAATTGGCGATGTGAAATGGGTATATATCGGCGATGCAAGCCCGTAATGCCTGAATTCGGACTCTGAATGTGCCCCAGCGCAGAAATATTCGGCAGAAGTCATGCACCGCGTGGCTAGAATACGAATGAGAGTGTTGAAGAAAGGGTTTCTCTCGTCAACGCATTTGTCTAGGGAGTTGGCTAGAGCCAGCGAGCTGGATACATCTAGTGTGAGGTTGCGCTTTTTCGAGAGTTGAGTTATCAGTTCCTCGAAATTTGAAGGTGGTGGCGTAGCATGTCTCCGCAGAAGCGCGGTCTGGGGGAATGATTCGTAGATTCTGGCAGCAACCGAAATATTGGCGAGTAGCATGAACTCCTCAACCAGGCTGTTTGTGTCCAAAAGAGCCTTTGTCTTGACATCCGCAACAGGGTCGGAGAGTTCTGAGTCTGTTTCAATTCGGACCTCCGGAGACGCAAGGTTCAATGCTCCTGCATCCATTCTCTTCTGTCGAAGAAGTTTAGACAGCCGGAGGAGAGTGCGCATGCTTGCTGTCAAATCGTCTGTTTTCGACTGATCATCAATGCGCAGTTGAGCCTGCTCGTAGCTGAAAGCTTCGCGAGAAAAAATGACAGACTTGGTAAAACTAGAAGACACAATCTCAGCCTCAGGAGTTATTTCCCACAATACAGAGAATGCGTAGCGTTCAACATGAGGTTTAAGAGAGCAGAGATCAGTTCCAAGTAGCATTGGAAGCATGTCGATCCGCTTGTCCACTAGATAGACTGTTGTTCCTCGCATGCTAGCCTCCGTATCCATGGCGTTATTCGGCCTTACAAAGTTGGAAACGTCTGCAATATGAACACCAACTTCAAAGTTACCGTTCGTTAACGGCCGTGAATGAAGGGCATCATCAATATCCTGGCAACCGGGCGGGTCGATACTGCAGACAAGTAGCTCTCTTAAGTCTTTTCTATCTTTCCATCCAGGGTCGGACTTGTCCGCTGGAACTTTCCAATCGTGGCCTTCCGGCGGCAGGCAATCCAAAACAGTCTGGGGAAACGGTTTATATTGCACATCGTACTCTAACAATAGCGCCTCTGTCTCGGCGCCTTTGGTTTCTACTTCTCCTAGGGAGCGCACAAAATGACCCACAGGGTATCGAGAATCCCTATCCCAGGAGTCTATTGTGATTAATATTCTCTGTCCCATAAGCTCATTTCCTTGTCGCGTTCGTATCCTTATCTTTGGCACTCGTTTGTCCATGGGAATGACGAAGACTGTCTGCTGACGTCGACCAGCCGACGAAGCATGTGAGCTAGATGATCCGTCGATGTGCCCAACGTATTGTCGCCAATTCCTTTTGATGATACCAACCACCTTTGCAGTTGGTTGCGGACGGCTTTCAGTTACTGTTCCATGAGCTTTTCGGACTTCTTCCTGTAGAGCTTTTCTCTCGCGCTCCGTCACTACGGCCTCGTTTTCTTCTGCCTCCGGATTGTCATCTTTTGTTAAAGCTTCCTCGTCGATAATTTTCGAGGAAGGCGTTTTCCACTGGTCCTTGGGCAACACTTCCACGACGACAATATCACCAGAAATTGCCCGGTTGCTATTATCCCGTCCGAGAATTAGGAGTGATTTCTCAAAAGCAGGGACATTCACGCTTCCCTCAAGATAGTTGTAAGGAGAGACATTGAATATCCCTTGGTGAAGGGTACCAGCTCTTATCATCGTCATAATCTTTGACATGGAATAATAGGCAGAGTACAACATCTCTCCCTTCTTTGGCTTAGATTCATGTGCCAATTTTGACTCGTTGACCATGTCCAGTAGTCTGTCTGCATCTTCAAGTCCAGATATATAGTCTGTCAACGACAGTGCGGTCACGCCTTCTTCGTCTGCCTTGGCGGCGTTCCCCTTATCATCTGTAAGCACCACGATAGCAGGGATATTTTGTTCCTTCTGGCCAGCCCTTTTGGCCTCTTGGAGGTGATTGGTGTACCACTTCGCAGCTGTTCTGACAGCCCGGTCGTTGCGGTCATTTATACTCTCGTGTGCACCCCTTCTGACATGAGTTTCCAGCCGAAATTCGTTAAAAAACAGATAGTACCGTTTCTCTTCGCTCCGTATCAGGGATATCAACCTGTTGTATAGGGGTAAAGACTGGTTCTTGAGCTCCTCTAACACAGTCTGCAGAATTATGACATCGTAGAAAGCGCTTGTCTGTTCAAAGAGATCCATCGCATTGAGTAATGCATTCGTGTCAGGAAGCAAGTAATGGCCCTTTGGGAACCGTTTTGTACCAGCGGGCTTCTCCGAGAGAACGAATGGTGTAACTAGATAAAAATTCAGTCAATAAATTGGCACTTGACGCCGGCAGCTGAGCAATCTTACCAAAACCATTAGCATCTGTCGGGGCGTATGAGAGGCATGCGGTGCATAATCTTGACGAGCACGGGATATCTTGTCTGAGGTATAGCTCGCGCACTATTTTCTGGACTTTGCCGCTCTTTGTGGAGCGTACAAAGATCTTGCTGGAGACATTCGAGGCATGAGGATTCGAGGAATGGTTTCTTCGTAGACTCTTCATTTTGGCCGTGTAGCTAGGTGGTCTCTGATATCAAAAATCAAGGGCCCAAGTGGCATGAATTTCGTATCTGTGAAATTAGCTACACAGGGAAATCACACCGAGCTATCGCTAAGACTTGGACATACCGACATAAATTGGTTATATCCTACTCCGCGCTCACCCTTCAAGCTAATTGAAATGCTTGACAAAAGAGCTCTGAGATGGTTGATAGCCGATTTTTTGTTATCGTACATCACGTGATATGGGTTAGGTCGGGCCGGCCCAGCTAATGAGGAGTCTGATATCGCTGTCCCTTATTAAATGTAGAGCATAGATATAAACAGACAGATGTGCTGCAGGAGGCTAATGAATCTAGCTATGCGAGTAGAGTGGCTTCCCATTAGCCTGTCTATATAAGGAAGAAGTATCAAAACAGTAGAAAGGATAATGTGGATGCTCTGTTCCAGGCAAAAAGAAAGGACGATTAGACAGGATAGTATTTCCCAGTGCATGGAGAAACCGAAAGATAATAGAAAAGTAGATAAGTGAAAAGAGGATGGGGAGGGGGCGTCTAGTTCCGTTCTAAAACTCTTGAAGCCATCATCTGGTGTACCGTGTTTTCCTCGAGGCCTTTTCTCGCTTTCGACTGTTTCACTACTCCCAACCAACTTTGTGCTGACGAACGACGCGCAAATTCCACTTTCCTCCATGACAAAGAAACAGGCATATATACAGCAAGAGTAGTAGCAGCAACAACAACAACAATAACAACAACGACAATCGAACAAAGTCTAGAAGCAGGAAGATTCATATCCGGTGTGGAGGGAGAGAATCATTGTTTCTGGACTTTGTCGGGATCTTCTAGGATGCCTTCTTTTTCAAGTCTTCTTCGTGCCTCTTCAAGAGCCCATGTTTGTATCCTAAAGATCAATTGGTGTTAGTAACGTTGGCTAAGGAAAGGGATGTAAGAGTTTGTAGGTGGGCATACGAGGTATCTGGCTTGAAGACGTAGGCAATGCCGGCAACGAGGAAGCTTCCGAAGAAACCATAGTAGAAGATGGTCTCCCAGCCTTCCTTGACGTATTTGTGACCTGGCTTAACACCAAAGAGCCATCCAGTCGGTGGATCGTAGTGACCTCCAGCACCAAGCAGAGACGTCCGGGTTGAGAACCGAGCATGTTGTGGAGTCCGGAAGAGGCACCGCGAACGGACGGGAAGGGAGAGGGCACGCGCAGACATGATCGTCGCCTTTGATTGTCTGTGCAATGTTGGGTAGATGACCTTATCACGATGCAACGGGCTGCAAAAAAGCCTGGGCGAGGTAAGCGGCCAGTAGTGGGGAGTAGCTAGTTTAGATGAGGTCGGGATTTTGACGCCGATTTTTTATCCCCCGTTCGGGCCCAATTGATGGACGCCAGGTAGCGAGCCGATGCCGTTTTGGAACAGAGCAGCCTTTAAGAGACCATCCAAGGGGGAAAGAGGTTGAAATATAGCTGCGACGTCAGCTTGCTTGTGGACCGAAAGTTGATGATTGCAGGCAAAACAACGAAATATATCGAAATGAATTGTTGGACGTTGTCGCTTTTTTGCGCTTTTCCTTTTCTGGCGGATTTGCTTGGCGGGCAGTCGGAACGGGGAATAGATAATCCGGGGAAATAAGCAGCCCTGGAGGGAAGGTAGAGCGCGGCCAAGGGGCATTGACGCGGAAGGTTAGCCGATATCAGATCATCAACCTTGAGACCAGCAGTAACAGCAGCAAAAGCAACAGCAGTAATAAAGATAAGAAAGACGTGATTGTTAACTGCAGGCAACCCGTATCCCTATATCCCTATATTCTGTGTATACGATTCCGCTGTAGAAAATCTGCCTGCTCTCTGCTCCGTACACCCTAAGTGTGTAAACCAACGCGGCGGAGATCTGACGAACGTCATGCATGCGAAGCTCGGTGCAGGGAAGAAGCTCGTGACGAAGAAGCAGCTATGGGAGGCTTCCTTGCGCCTAAAATCTCGCCGGGCGGCCTCTTCCTTGCGTCCGTCCCCTGCAGGCGGCTTCAGTCGTTCGCTCCTCGATGAAAGAAAAAGAAATATAGGGGGGGCGCTTACGCTTAGATAAGCCACTCTCTACCTCGGCATCTTTTTTTTTTCTCTTCCTGGAGCTTCCGCTTATCGTGAAATCCCAAAGACTCGCTCTGGAGACGCAGAAGAAAAGCCGACATCTTGTGATCAAAAAGGCGTTGCTCGTCTCTTATCTGTAGTTCTTATATCTGGCTCATCCCCCGGTTTCTCCTTTCTGTGTACTCCAGCTCCCCAGCTTTTCCCTCACTCCCTCCGCTCAGCCCCCTTCGCCGTTTGTACTCCTTATTATCTTATTATTATCATATATATCTTGTCACCATGGTCTCTTCTCCGGATTGGGTGAAGAAGCTGGTCCCCTCCGGGCCTCAGGGCTCAGAGCTTCTCAAGCATGAACGGGATCAGTCCAATGTCTCGGTTGATAAGCTGGCGGAGCTACTGCATACCAAAGAAGTGCTAGAGAGACAGGACCGTATCCTCTCCCTCATCCAGCATGAAGAAGTCTTTGATAAGTCCCAGAACCACTCGCTCGGCCGCGTTGAACGGGTTCAGAGATCGCTTGCAAAGGCAAAGCGTCTGGAACAGCTGAAGAAGCAGCATAACTGGTCCGAGGATGACTTTCTCATGGCCAACAACTTGATCAGCGAACCAACTCCATACGGCCTCCATGCCACCATGTTCTTGGTAAGAGGATATCAATTACTTATGTGCATCCCTACTGTCAAGTGTGCATTTCTAACTGCATGTATAGGTCACTCTCAGAAATCAAGGCACTCCAGAGCAGCACAAGCTCTTCCTAGAGCCAGCTGAGAGATATGAGATCATTGGATGCTATGCTCAGACGGAGCTCGGCCATGGCTCGAATGTCAGAGGTCTCGAGACCACCGCTACTTGGAATCCGGAGGACAAGACCTTCACTATACACTCCCCATCCCTGACTGCATCCAAGTGGTGGATTGGCTCTCTCGGAAGAACCGCTAACCACGCCGTTGTCATGGCCCAGCTTTATCTCAACGGGAAGAACTACGGGCCTCACCCATTCGTGGTCCAAATCAGGAACCTCAAAACTCACAAGCCTCTTGAGAACGTCCATGTTGGTGACATTGGTCCCAAGTTCGGCTATAAGTGAGTATACTTTTCTTTCTTGCCACCGTACGTTCCTGGCTGGGCTAACCTTTCCCAGCACCATGGACAATGGATTCCTGCTCTTCAACAAGGTCAAGATTCCTCACGCCAATATGTTGGCTCGCTTCTCTGGCGTTGACCCTAACACCAACAAATACGTCCGACCTGCCTCCCCATCTCTGATCTACGGTACCCTCACCTGGGTTCGATCGACCATCGTCCTCCAATCTGGCGGCGTACTTGCCCGCGGCGTCACCATTGCTACTAGATACTGTGCTGTCCGAAGACAGTTCCAGGACCGTGATGCTCCTGCTAACGAACCTGGCGAGAACCAGGTCCTTAACTACAAGATGGTGCAGATTCGCCTTCTCCCCTTGCTCGCCGCCACTTTCGCTCTGCACTTCACTGGCCGTGGCATGATGGCGCTATACGACCACAACCAGGCCATCATGAAGAAGTCTGCCAGCAAACAGGCAAGTAGCAGGGGTGCTGGTCCCGAGGAGCTAAACCCTGGTGCCGATCTCTTGGCTGACCTCCATGCTACTTCATGCGGTCTTAAGGCTCTGGGAAGCACAATCGCCGCCGAAGGACTGGAAGTGTGCCGTCGTGCTTGTGGCGGTCATGGCTACAGCAGCTATAGTGGAATTGGTCCCTGGTACTCTGATTACCTGCCCACCACCACCTGGGAAGGTGACAACTATATGTTGACCCAGCAGGTTGCCCGATATGTGAGTTACTTCTTACACTGTTGTTGAATCTAGACCCAAATAGCTAACGTCTACATAGCTCCTTAAATCTGCTCGATCCGTCTTTGTCGGCAAACCAGCCAACAACGATACCTGCACTATCCTTCAATCCTACCTCTCTCGCCGTGAGACTGGTGCTGCCTTCGATATCCTTGAAAACGACGCTGACATCGTTGCCGCGTTTGCCTGGAGAACAGCATACCTGACTTTCGAGGCTCTCAAGCACCGTGACGTCGAGAAGCGATCATGGAACAGCCTCCTCGTCGACTTCTGGAGACTATCCACCGCTCACTCCCAGTACCTCGTTGTCAAGAACTTTTACGAAGCTGTCTTCCCATCTGGCTCTTCTGCCGAGGCTGCTGCCTCTCTAGGAATCGACGAGCCGACCCTCGACGTCCTTCGAAAGCTCTTCCGGCTTCACTCTCTGCACACCCTCGAGCGTGAGTCGGCTGACTTCTTTACCTCTGGAGCCGTTACTACGAGACAGATCATCCTTACCCGCACTAAGGCTGTCATGAGGCTACTCGATGAGATCCGCCCTCATGCCATCCGTCTTGTTGATTCATGGAAGTTCCCTGACTGGCAACTTGACAGCTCTCTCGGCAAATATGACGGAAAAGTCTACGAAGACCTGTTCCTCCGTGCAAGTGAGCAAAACCCTCTTAACGAGTTAACCTTTGATCCTTACCCATGGAGCAACACCCTTGTGAAGAATGACAAGAGCAAGCTTTGATTGTCTTGCGAAAAGTTACTCCTCTGCTCTCAACTTCTCTATTTTTCTCTTCTCGGTTATTATACTTTTATATATATTATGGGCCTGGTGTTGTATTTGAAGTTCATTCTTTTGTTTGCGCAGCACTTGAGGGTGTTTAGAATCTTCATGATAGACAAACCCTTGTCATAGAGTTGGGGGCGGCCACTTTAGATTTGATAGAAGATACGTTCTAGATAGTGTTTCGTTCATTTTACTGTTACCTGTTACTTCAGATATGTCAAATTTATTCCTATAAGTTTGTGTAGTCCATTGTCATTCTCGTCATGGCATCTCTGGGCGCGTACATTCGTATAAGCATAATGTCGAAGTAAAATGTGCGAATATAAAAAGGCCAACTCCGAAATCCTAGCCAAGTAAACAAAATAATATGTCAAGTCCTCGTTAGATGTCCACCCACAGCAAAAAGCCAAAGATCATCAGGCCTATATTCCATGCATACATCATCGGCGCAAGCCGATTACCAGAATTACCTGGCTGCGCTTTACCGATCACTGCAGTCCCAATGTTTGTAGCCGATGCAGTGCAGCTAACCTGGCCGCATTGATATCCATTCGGGCAACACCCTCCACTATCACTTGGTGCGCAACTCATCCATCCCTCCGCACACCTCCGGGTGGGCGTAGCAGGGGCTGAGGTAGGGGTAGTTTCAACGGGAATCACAACAGTGACTCCATTGCTTTCAACTGTGGTCAGAGATGCAGTAACCGGACAAGAGGTTGTTTCGCAGTTCCGCCCTGTTTGGCAACATCCACCGCCATATACAGCACTACATGCATAAAACCCAATGGGACATAGATCCGGGATGCTAGCGGTAGAAGTCGATGGGTTCGAAGTGGGACGGCCAGGCGGCAAAATTGTCGGTGCTGTTGCAGTTGGCGACGGAGGCGGTACTGGTGGAGCAACAGTAGTTTGGCTGATAGTTGATACCGTCGTTATCGTGGATGATGACAGCGTAACTATAATCGTAGTAGTTGAGACGAGCAGACAACCTTCAGCCACACAGGTATATCCCGGTGTGCAACAACCACCGCCCAGGTTGGCCGGACAAGTAGCGTATCCCTTAGGACATGAGATTAGTTGACCTGAACAGTCCTGGCCCTTGGGACAGCAGCCAACATCGCCTAATCCAGTGTCCTTTACGATTAGACAGACATCTCCCGTTTGACAACAGCTCTTTGGTCGGTTTATTGATGTACACGGAGCACTTCCGGCCGGACACTCAAAGCCTCGTTTCCCAAGCACTGATCGCCCAACTCCAGGTAGCGGATGATGACGCAGGAGAAGAGGCGATCTAGCATTCAACGATGTCCCGTCTGTGGAATGTTCCGCCTCTTCACCTGAAGAAACGATGTTGCTGTCCGAGTTACCCAGCCGCCAGTAATGAGCGAAGAACTTCTGTCCAGGGTTGTCTGACATCTTTCGCACCAAGAAAGGGTATTCCCCATCGTTGTCACCATGCCTCGCTGGTATCAAGCCATCGGCTGCTGAGCAGTTGTTGCTGTTGAAAACCCGGTCATCAAGGCTGTTCCCAGCCACCGCTGCTTGCGTCGAAGGAAAAGAAACAAAAACAACGAAAATAACCAAGAGATGCGATATATCAAACATATGGCCTAATATCGATAAACTAATTCGTCTTCTCTGTGCGACGCAGCTGCTGAGTCTCTGCATACTGAGTGTGATGTGGTTTTAACTCGACTGTGACACCGTAAATCGACCAAAATGCATGGTTTCTTCCGTTCGTTAGTTACGGTGCTTGGTGACGAAGGCCAGGGCAACAGCAAAAAAACGCCACCAAGGCCTAGCTCGCCTTTAATAAAACATCTACTTATTTAGCTGGCCAACCAGCTTTTTAAAAAGGGACCTTTTACTCGCTGTAGACGAGTTGGATGAAACAGCAGTGCGGAGATGGATGAACCCTTGTTCAAATCCCTAAATAGTTAGTGAAGCCTAATTTGACAGCTTCTTGGCCGTTAGTAAAGAGTGACGTCAGACGAATCTTAGTATTTACATCATCTTAGGCAGCCAAAAACTATTTGCGAACAATATCTACCAAAAGGTGAATAAGTATATATGCAGAAAAGGGCCGGTTGTGAGTAAATAAGCAAGGAGGGTTAATTAATCGCTTCCCCTTTCGAGGGCCGCCAATACGACAATTAATTATCCAGACCAGAATTTCCAAAGCGAAGCGACATGTATATCAACGAAGAAAAACAAGTATAAATGAAGAAAAGCAAGCAAACAGTAAAAGATGAAATTGGGTATCGGGCATGGGCACAGAATCGTCTCGTAAAGATAAACACGTACAATATGATAAACATGCGAGGAATTGTGGTTTAGAGCATATATAATCGGTAGGAAGAAGGACAGGAAATGAGTGCGGGTTGGTGAGTGAATGAGTGAATGAATGAATGAATCAATCAATCAATCAATCATCAGGCTGAAGAAAGATGGAGAAGAACTAGAGCAAAAAGAGAGAAATCCAACGGGACGATGGTACCCCTGATATATGTATGGGAGAGAGGCGTGGGTGCGTTGCTGGCTAAGTGTATGTTGTGGGTTAACAAACAAAAGGAACAGCGAGGTCAAGCGACGGCCGGGCGTAAAGGTGAATTCATGGATGGATGGATGGATGAAAGGTGGAGGGTGGAGGATGCAGATGGTTTAGGAGGAGAAGATGGCCGTGAGCCATGACGAGCGCTTTTTTCCTGGTGAAACTGAAGTCGTACAACAAAATTATATCAGAAACATAGCACTGTATATAGAACAACGAAGAGAGATACCGTATTGCTTTGTCTTCTTTGATTGGTTATGCAGTTTGATCCGACATACCAGGTGTATCGGATGATCGATGGCCTGAGGACCGTCTATCAGACTGATTGCCCGTGGAGTCACGGTTGCCGCCAGCATCAGCATTAGCGCCTGGCGCATCTTTGTCCTCTTCGGTGTCACGGCCGGGCGAGGTAGGCTGGTCGTCTGCAGAGTTGGCTTCGAGGTGCTCATCTTCTTGGTCTTCGCCGTTGGTGGGTAGCATCTCTGGCTCAGCTGGGAGGAGGCCCTGCATGCGCTCCCAGACCTCTCTTCGGATGCTTTCTTCTTTTTCCTTGCGGACACGTTCGAGCTCTTCAAAGCCGCCGGTATTCTTAAGCTTATTGGCGCCTACGAAACTGCTCAGTTCCTTTTGAAACTCGCCTCCTCGCCGGCTCTCCAGCTCCCTCTGGCGTGCCTTTTCGGCTCGCTCAATGGCCTCCAGGCGCGACTCGTGGTTGGGCTGCAAGGCACGGACTTCACCTAGCACGCTGTCCTTTGCATCGGCCGGGTCGATGTTCGGGTTATGAGTGCGAGATACATTCCGTACCGCGATGTTGTTGGGGTTAGCTCCCACACTTTCAAGGGCCTGCTGTTTGGTAGCCTGTTCAACGAGGGCAAAAGTCTGCGTGGCCTTCTCGAGGTCGTCTTCCAGGTCGACGGCTAGATCCTCCTGCATGGTCAACTGGTCTCGCTCTTCACAGACGAGCTGGAGTTCCTTCTCCCAGATCTTAGTCCAGATGGGCTTCTCGCGTTTCAGGAAGTCTTGCATCTTCTTGAGTTCCTTGGTCACGGCACTGATGTCTCGACCGACGGCCTCGAGCTGGCGTGGTAGCGGTCTAACTCCACGAGTGACGACATCCTTGCGTAGGTCTTCGACCAAGTCCTGCAGGTCATCCACACGAGCGACCAGTTTCTCGGATTCGTCAGCGAGCTCTTTCTTGCCTGCTTGGACACGAGCGTGGCCGGCGCCGGAACCACCTTCGAAGGATGGGACAACGGCGTCTACAGCTGCAGACTTGACCTGTTTGGCTTTGGCTCGGATATTGGCCATGGATGAGGCGATGTCTGACGAGAAGGCTGAGTAGGTCTGGCGAAGGGAGGCGAGGTCTTCACGCAGGCCCTGCATCTCAGCGGTCTTGCCTCCCGCGCCGACAACAGACGGTCTCGAGCCAGAGAGGGCGCCGCCAGAAATGCCTCCGGGACCAACAGCGGCTAGGCGTGATATCTCCTTTGATGTTTCCTGCTGGCGGTCGATGAGGCGTTGGATGGAGGTTCCATGTCCGTCGATGACATCCCTGACACTCTCGACAACACTCCGAATGCCTCCAACACTCTCGTCAAAATGCTTTCTGACTTCGTCCAAGACTTCAACATTAAGCACAAGGACAGATCTATCTTTGACATCCCGCAGGTCTTCGAGTTCATGGCGGATACCGGAGACGGGATCTTGTATATATATCTCGGGCAGGTCTGCACCGTTGCTATGTGTGTTCCAAGCGAATTTCTCGATAAAGGCGAGCTGGAGGCGAGCTATGGTCAGGCCGGAGTATCCCTCGGGGAGAACGTACTTTTTTATTTTGCTCTTGTACTGCAGGAACAGGGTGAGATCCTTGGTTGGAGGCGGAGAGTGTTCAGGAGTGTAGTCCGGTCTGTGAGACTGCAGTGGCGTGGAGGGAGACGGGAGCGGCTTATCGAGGTGGCTTCGAGGTATGGAGGAGGAAGCATGGCCACCATCGGGCTTCCTGCTGTGCTCAATCGATGCCGCCGACTCCTGCTCTGCAATCTGTGGCAGTCCTCCTCCCGGCAACGAAGAACCTGGAGGAGCATCAAACTCTCTTTGGGAGGACCGAAGCTTATCCGTTGGCGTCCTTGCTAAGGGGCTACTACTGGACGCCACAGAATCAGCCGCATTTGGATCTAGTTTACTTAGTGCTGCGGCATCGTGGCTGGTTGGTGATGCTGCAGTCTTGTCCGACGATGCGGCAGCGGCGGCGGCGCCAGCGCCAGCGACCCGGTTCCTCGATCTCTGGCGTTCATGCAGGTGGGGTCCTCGTAGACGGACGGCGTTCATGGACTCACGGACATCCTGGCCGCGGTTGGGGATGGGAGAGTTCTGGGCTGGAGGGAGGACGGGGATGCCGCTGGGAGAGCCGCCGAGGTGTTTCTGGATCTGGTAGGCAGAGAACCTGCGAGACGCTCTCCTTTCGAGCTCGCCGCTTCGCTGCAGCATGCCTATGGCGTCGTTTTGCTTGGAAGTGGGAGGCAAGGGAGGCGGCGGGTGGGGGAAGTTATGAGCATTGTAAGAAGGGGACTCTGGTCGTTTTTGGTGGTGCTGGTGGTGCTGCAAGTCTGAGTCGCCATGTGGAGGCACAACGGGCATGTTCTGCATTGTGAAGCTGGAGAGTGAAGAAGAAGTAGTGGCTGAGGACTGGACGAGTGACCGTTGGGCCTCCTGTCTGCTGGCTTCACGCTCCGAGAAGCTGGCACCTCCCGCATTGCGGTCACCACCTGGCCAGGGAGATGGAGACTTTGTCCTCGACGAGACGGAGGCCTGGTCTTCATCGTAGGACGACCCTCCAACCTGACGCTGGCTGCCTATGGACCGTTTCTGGGGTGACTGCGTGGTGGTAGAAGGGGTATGCTCTAGGCTTTGTTGTTGTTGTTGAGAGGCTCCGTCACCGAGCTCGAAGCTGCCAGAGCTCCCCTGACGCGGCGGCATGACTTTCCCTTCCTTTGCCTGTCTCGACCGCAGCTTAGCCTGCTTCCTCTTGAGGCCGTGGAGGAGGTTGATGATGATGTCTCTGATCCGGGGCAGGTATCGGTCTAGGCTCTGCGGCGAGGCATCCTGGCTGAGGGTGTCCTCGAGGATGGTGCGTAGCAGGTCCGGCACGGGTCCCAGGTCCGCGGTGTCCATGCCAATGGCGCTGAAGGCGCGACAGGCGAGGTTGAACTCGTACCCGAGGCGCACGTAGACGTCTGAGACTTCGGTCTCCTTGGCCTGCTTGCGCGACCACTGGGTCAGCATCTCGAGCAGCTGCTTCGTCGCGACCAGGAGATGCGTCACGCTTTTTTCTATCTGCGAGAGCTGCTTGTCCGCCTGCATAACACCAGTCAGTCAGCCACTCTGTCTGCCACTCTATCTGCCACTCTTCACTGCAGCAACCTGTTCCCAGCCACCTAGCGAGAACTTACATTGCTTCTGCTGGTCGACGAGGCCTTAGACGCCGACGAGACTCTGGCGCCCACGGCCTGGCTGGCAGCCTCTCCCGAAGCCATGACAGAGCCGGTCGACGAAGGCGAGGTCTTGGGGTAGTGGTGGCCCTGCTCCGAGCCGGGCGAGCGTCTGGGAGTAGCTCCTCGAGCCATGGCGGAGGAGTATGTGTCCATCTCTCGGGGGGGGGGGGAGAGCGAGGAGAGGGAGGCGGGAAAGGCGATGTCGCTATATAAGCGGGAGCGACAAGGGGAGGCTGGGGGAGGACGAGGGGCCTGTCTATGATGGACTCATGGGACCGTCAAGCGCAGGACTCCCGTGGACGGCTGTGAAAGGCCTCTCGGTGATGCTGTTGGATTGTGATGTCCGCCGCAGTTGGTCGGTGGTGATGCTGGCCCGGGGAGAGTTGGCGATGGTCGGTGGTGATGGATATGGATGGACAAGTCAGGCCGCAAAGAGAAGTCAGGAATGGTTACAACTAGTCAAGATCTAGCCTTGGGCTGGTGCAAAAAGCAACAAGCACGACAAGAAGTGCTCCGTAAGGCTGCTTCAGCTTCGGCTCCAGCTCGTCGCCCTCGTCACTCGCTCTTCTTCTATTATTTATTCCTCTTCTCTTCCTCTTCCTTTTCTTCTTCTTCCTTCTTCTTCTTCTTCTTCGCTTGTTTTTTAGCAAAGTTGAAGATGAAAATTATGTAAGAGATTATATAATATATCACATGATGTGTAACATGACGGTATCAAAGTTACGCCATTTTAAGGAGAAGCTGAAGCAGACATGCGAGGACAAAATAGGGAAAGGAGCATGGCGGGCAGTGGCCACTTGACTGCTGGCTCCTGCTAGTGATCGTGATGGCACAAAAGGTTTATAAAAAACTACGGTTTACATAGTGGTCAATAAACGGACAGGCCCGTAGCTATCCACTAACTAGTATATTCTGCGCCGTAGTTAACTAGTTATAAACTGCGTATAACCATACACTGGAATGTCATTTTATATACTCAAACTCCTTCACTCCTTGACAGGAAATCAAATAGAACATTAACGATCAGACTTTGTAACCAAACTAAGGAACGGAATGGCTTACTGGCTTGCTTCAATGACCTCTGCTGAAGAAGCCTCCTCTCTTGGGTTTCTTGTCCTTGTCATCCCCTTGGTTTTCGTCGTGGGAAGCGCCTTGCCCATACCATCCCTTGCCACCATCTTCAGGCTCATAATCGAAGGCGACTCTTCCTTTCCCCTTGAACTTCTGCTCACTCCCGCGCCCAAAGTCGGAAGCTTTGCCTTTATCCGTTGCTTTGGCCGGGCGGTAAGGGATCCCCTGCTGCTGAGAGAGCTGGTAGGCGGGATCGGATGCCTTGGCCTTGCCTTTGGACGGGCTATCGTCAGAGTATGCCCCTTGGGATGATGAGGACATAGTTGGATCTTCCCATTCCTGGCCGATACCACGGGCCTGGTCTCTTCTCGCTGCACGTAGGCTTCGGTCTGTAATCTGACCTTCGCCAGCAACCCTTTCAAGCTTCTCTTGTAGAGCGTTCGGTTGCTTCCTAGTGTGGCCCCCGAGTATGGGTCTGGTTCCAGTACTGGGATCATGGGTCCGTGGCTGCTGGAGGCCGTAAGCAGAAGCTGTTAGAGCCGGGAGTGCTGATCTACCACCGACATCCTTCTTGGAGCTATCTCTAACATCGTCACCCTTGTGTCGTTTGATATTAACCCTTACTTGCTGGTCATCGAGTAGAACACATAGTCCCTTGCGCGTGTCAATGATATCGTCTAGGTTGAATTGAAGAATCGCCGTGTAGACTTCCATGTGAGGGTAGGAATGCAAGTCAATCGACCCTGAGGTAGAAGCCACTCTTGCCACTGCGGGGCTCATATGTTTGACAACCTGCTCTGGAGTGTCAAGTCGGCTAGAAAAGGGCGTGTTAGGGTTGTTGCCCGGCTTTGGAGCCGTGCTAGTTACCCACCCGGCCCGTGAATACGTATTGTCGGCGATATAACTGTCGGGGTTTCTGGCGACGTATAGGAGGTAGTAGAGGCATTGGCGAACAGAAACAACGCCGCGGCTAGCATCTGCAGAGGTACAGTCGAGAATAGGGCTGCTGACGTACAAAACAGAGCCAGAATCTAATATCGATTGCATTAGAAATATGGTATAATCATAGGTTGTGAGGAAGCCATATTTCATGCTAAATCGATGCATGTATTCCGCAATTTATCCTTAAAAATGCAAGTCAGCCAAGGTATCCTATGCCTAGAAAGGAAACAAGGTATCCTATGCCTAGAAAGGAAATAAAAGGTAATGTAAAGACCTACCAAGAGCATGCCGAAGAGGGCCTTCCTTTTTCTTTTTACCAAAACAATCCTTATATACCGCAAACAGATTATGTTTCCAAGGCGTCTTTGCTTCCCCGACTATCTTCAGATTAGGGGTTTCGGTGAGCCCTTTTAGACCTTCAAGGTCCAAGGCCGAACATGACACCCCGACAAAGTCTGGAATGAGAGATTTTTCTTTTCTTGCTTCATCACAGACTTTGAAATCGCCGAATCGGGTTTGGATGCCGTTCAAAAACGCAACTGCAGTCGCAGGGCCAAGCGCATTTTGCGCAAATCTTCCACAGACCGATTGTTCATCGCCACAAAGGTATTGCTCGCGATGTAAACTGTACGGATGCCGTGGGGTTTCGGATTCCTGGGAAAATATTCGGTGTTGATTTTCTCGGGATCTCGAAGCCGCACGCAGGACGTCCTTTTCGAAATTCCATTTGGCCAACCCCCCTTTATAGAAGACCTTATGGTAGGCAGAGGAGTTTGTTTGATAATACCTCCGAGTAAGAACAGGAGGCAGTGGTTTCGCGAGAACATCGAAACCTGTCAGGGGTTCCATTGAGAAGGAACGTAAAGTAGGGTAATAATCTGATAATAAGAAGGATGATATAAAGTATAAAGGTAGGGCTAACAGGAAACTATACAGAGAGCAGTATTGTAACGCAAAGGTAAAATAGAGATTCGTAAGGAGAAGAGTGAGGGAAAATAACAAGGCAATACGAAGGGCAGAATGGGAGGTGTGGCCGATAGTGGAAAGGTGAATATAGTCAAAAGAACCAAGTGAAGACAATGGAGAGATCAAGCCCATCTTTATAACCTTTAGTGACGCGCCTTCAATATCTCGGGTATATGGTAATCGTGGATGCCGGCGCGTATCAATTGGGCAAAAGGCACTCGGGTAGATTTTGAGACCGAATGCTCCATCGCATGAACGGCGTAGCGCCCTCCTTTCTAAGGGCGGGCGGTAAAGAGTCCAAAAATAAAACCGGCAGAGCCAGTCATCTTGCATTAACAGGGTATTGTTTGAAACACATTGCATCAAATTATCAATTTCGCCCCCAGGAAATGCTAGGGAAAGATGCCCCTGCTCCAACGCTAGCTAAGACAGCCATCCAAGCATTTTGTTATGGCCAATTGAACGAGAGATGTTGGTTGTGGAAAACGAGGGAAGGCCCTTCTGTTAGCTACAAGCACCACCACCACTTCTTTCTACATGAGCACAGCTCACAGTGGATAGATAAACGGTGAAAACAAATGGTAACTGTCGGATTTGAATGGGCTTTTTATCTGATGTCTTGATAAACTCATGGCGTCTAGGGGCTATACCGGAGAGATGAAGTTGCATAGAGTTTCATGTGTGCGGGAATAATGGAAAGTTACTTAAGCGCCGGCGCTAGTTAGCAAACTCTATATGTAACTAGTCCTAGCACTAAGGAGTTAACTCGTTACCCGCCTTACGTAGCCTGCTAACAAACACCGTTCTAACTGGTTGGCGCTAAAGCTCCCAAATAAATAAACCGCTCGTGTCGGCCTGTGCCATCTACCATCTGCCATCCTGCCATCTTCTCTGCTATTACCCACTTCTAACTCTCCACGTCGCTCTTTTACTACTCAAGTTCTTTAAATTATATGCATGCGCCATGGGTCGCCGCAACCACTATAGGCCGGAACCTTGGATAGGTGATTAATGCGAGAACTGGAAGATGACCTGCCCCGATGGAAGCATATGGAGCTTTGGCAAGAAGATCAAGGAGAGTTCATTTTTGCTTGATTATGACGAAGATGAGCCAAGTGTTGCTGAATCCAAAGCGGTATACCACTGCCACCAGGTCAAGGGACCGAATGTTGGTATGGAAGCCATCGCCAAGGTCCGCATGCAGTAAGCTTGCACCGTGCCTTGAAGAAAAGAAGAATATACATATACACTTGCGGTCGGGACTCTAATAACCAATAATGTATGATAATTAGGGTCCCAACCACATATCCAGCAAGCCCTATCCCTCAGGTCCGAGCCTGTGAGGCCTTTATGGACAAGGTCGCATATCCAACAGCTCAGGAGATACAGGTCAACATGCATCTCAACGAAAAGAACTGCACCGTGGCCCCTCGCCTTCTACATTACCTGAAGCATACGCAGACCAATCCATCAATGCCTGTCCCAGGAGGCTACATCGTTATTCTAATCATGGAGAAGTGTCCTGGAGTACCCCTGATCGACTTTTGGCAGTACGACGAAGCGAAAAAAAGAGAAGATACGGAAAGCGTTTCGTAGGGATTTGACGTATGATTCATCTCTTTTCGTTCCTTTTGCAAAGCCCAAGTTAACTAACTCTTACTTGGAAGTAAATTTTTATCATGCTTCGTCGACCCGGAAGACCCAGGTCTGCAGAATATTATCTATGATGAGCAGGAGGATAAATGGTGAGTGTTTGCATGCGCCATAGAAGATACCTACTCCATACTCCGTACTAATAATAACGGATAGCTGGTTCATCGACCACGAGCAGACGTTCATAACAGAAAGCAAGTATCCAACCGAGTTCCGTGAAAGCTACTTCAGGATGTGGGGGCTTAAGGATTAGTTATCAGTCTGGTGCAAATCTGGTAAATGAATATAGCGTAGTAGTTCAGGGGAGTCTACTGGCTCCAGCAAGCTTGTATTGTAATACTTAGTACATTCATGTAGCTATGGCGTATATTTCTATAAAGAAGACTAATATTAAGGGTTGAACCCTAGGTTAACCTCGGGCCTCTAGCCCTTAGTGTTGTATTAACTGCGTGATAGTATAATATCAAAGCCTTAGCGTAGAGCTCTAGCTTCTCCTTCTCCTTGAAGTAAGCTCTACTCCCTTCCCCCGTCCTCCCCTTCTTCCCTTCTATCTCTAAGAATCTTCCAGAGTCCATCATCTAGTGCAATTTACATCGGTTTGGAACCCTAACAACTAATAAGTTACGAGTTATCTCGATGATTAGGCTATATGGTTAGAATCAGCTGGAAATTCGAGACATCCTTGGCTGACTACCTGCTTATAGGTATTCTAGAGGAGTATTCGGTCTAGTAGTTATCATATGTATCAAGCAAAAATTTTACTATTCCAAAAATAGGCCCTTACTTTCCTTGCCACGGCGCTGATAGTCAACCTACTTTGTCACATCATGCACCTAGTTACATGTAACAGGCAGATCTCTATTGAGAATTTCTCTCCTGTCTACGGTTTTCAAGCCAAACAAAGAGAAATATATCATGCGAGGTATAGTAATCAGACGTACAACCCCTGCCTGGTATCCGTGGCGCGTATGGATTGGTGCGTCCAAACAGCCTGCATGGGATAACTGACCATGGCTTAGTACTTACGCTATTTATATAGCATGCTTGATGTAAAGGATATTCTTATATCTCCAACATCGCTCAGACTCATGCTCTGCATGCTATACTCCTGTTTCTCACTCAAATTCAACGCAAGTAGAAGAAAAATGGCAGCTCCAGAGTTTCTCTGCGCAAACTGGCCCTCCGACTGCACTGATTGCAAGAGAGGGGGCAAGTATACTTGCAAGGGCTGTCTGCTCGTCACTGTAAGTTTATCCGCGCTCTGAACCCATAACTATTTATGTGGAGGATATGATTCGAGAGGTTAATCTGAAATATATGGTAACTACATAGTACTGCAGCGCAACATGCCAAAAGTCTCACTGGCCTCAACACAAGTCTGAATGTAGGTCTCCTTTAGGTAAAAAGACATGGCAGCCTGCCTGGATCCTGGAGAACCGAACTCCATCCTTTATCGGAAATGGGATAGGAGAACAGTTTGGAGCTCCAAAGTACCTCTGGGGTAATGTTCCTGCCGTCGATGTCCTTCGACTTGGATCAAACGAGGGAGATGGATACCAAGAAGACCTGCACATCTTGTTCGCTGGTATGTAACTACTTGGCTCAGTGAACTCGTAGTTAAGTTTGACGATTATAGTTAATCCTATTGACATACCTTCTCCTATAGCCTCAGGGGATCTTCGAAATGTTATCAAGACGGTCGCCCAACTTCCGAGCAGCTATAGCCGCTCCCTCCACGTCATAATAAATGACCGGGATTTTGATAACGTGGCTCGCAATTTTACCCTGCTTCTTATTGCCCTAGTAGTTGAGGACGCTAACAAGGCAACCGACCACATTGTTCATCTCTGGTACTCGGCTCTCGTACGCGAGTCAGACATCGACCTCCTCCATCAGCGGATCAGTCCCCTCATCGAAGAAATTTGTGGAAAGATCAAAGACAAGGCCCCTAAAAGCCTTTTAGGAAAGACATGGACATTTGGGAAGCGCTCTCTCCGTATTGTCCTCGAAAAGTCCTCGTGGGACCGTCTTTTGTCCTTTGTCACTGCGCCTGTTACCCTGACAGCTGAACGAGCACACGAGATTCGCGCAGCTGTCACTCTAGCCGAGTCAAGGAAGGACTACCGTGACCGATACATGTATTGCCTGTCTCCTGCCCATCGAGTTGCGTTTAACAAGTTCCGGGGAGACGGCCTCCTACTTCCATTTGGGTCCACGCGACAGGAATTTCGAGTACCAAACCCGTGAGTCGGTAGTTATCATTTAGTTAAATATCTGCAATCGCAACAACTAGTTGACTAGTTATTAACAGGACTTTCTTTCAGGCTGAAGATACCTGGCCAATGAAGGATAGTGCTGATCCTCTTCAGGGGTGGTCTTCAGAGGATGTTGCCAATACATCAAGCGGAGCCGCAGCAGCTGATATCTATGGCAAGCTCTTCTACCACATCCGTGGAATGCTTCGATCGTTTCTCAGTCAGCTCTCAAGGCGATGTCTCTCTTTTGAACTCCTTCACGTTGACGCTGCTTTGCTTCCTGACTTTCTTGAGGAAAACACTTTTAGTAGAATCGAGGTGAGAAATTCTAACTACCTTAACCGCAAGTTCCTACCTTATCGGGGTCTTCCCGATCCGTATAACGTTTAACTATAGTGGATTCCAAAGTTCTTAGCTTGCAATAGGGGTAATCCAGAACAGAATACTAATCAATCACTCCAACTTAGGTGTCCAACATCTCGGATGGTGGATGGCTGGGGATACATCGAACACTAGGATCGATGGTGCCCTTGCTACAAACTCCCCTCGAGAACCCACATGCATGCCTGATTACCCTTTTCCTTAACGCCGTTGACGAGACCTTAACCGACCAAGACAAACTACGTGACATGACTGTAGATAGTCCAACAACCAAAGCCCTCTTGAAATATCTTCCCCCCACGAGAAAACTATCCTCCACATTTGATCCCGAGCTTATTAAGTTTAATTCTGGCCGGAATTTTCTCACTCCTTTTGACCACATATTCGATCGGTGAGTAGAAACATAGTTAATCAAATAATAACGGGATTTAGTATACCTAAGTGAGGATTTATGCTAACGCTGAAAGTTTAGATATTCGAAGGAGCTCGGGTTCTGTGAGGTTGCTGACCTTCTGGGCGCTGCGATGAAAGATAACCACTCTATTATCGAAAAGTGGCCCTTCAGATTGAAGCTCCGGCCTGGCCAGCCGGGAGCACAGGAAGAATTTGACCGGTCCGTTAGCGGAGGGATGTCAGGGAAGGAGCGCTACGTCGAGTGGAAGAGAATTTAACAGGGTATATGATATGAAGAGAGGCCATAATAATGAAAATGTACGGCATTTTTAACTTCTACCAAAGAAAGCCCATGCTGAGACCATTACTTCGTAAACTCGTTAGAGCGGAACTTATTCTAGGTTAGTTACGTAGTTAACTAACTAATCTGGTGAGAGTAACTTGTAACTAAGCTTTCTAAAACGATTGAAGACATAGTTAACCCTTGGAAAATCTCCCAGAACACAGTAGTTACTGTAGATTGACCAACCCACTGAACGATGGCACAGAGCCGTCATTTAAACCTATACAGTGAAATATTAATATATATATATATAGCATTATATGAATCAAAAAGGTGACAAGATGCGATTGCGAGGCGAGTTCGAAGTAGAAATGGATGACTAATAACAACAAATCACATAAGCAATTACAAAATATATCACATGATGTGTATTATTACGGTACCATAATTACACCGCCTTAAAGATAGAAGATAGAAGTAGGTAGACAGGATAAGAGATAGGCAGTAAGTGGTAAGTGGATGGTAGAAAGGGGAGAGGGGAGATCTCCAGGGAGGAACAGGGAAAGATACATGGCAAGCAGCGGCCACTTGACGGCAGATTTCCTCTTGTGTATGTATGTAGGCACCTAGGTAACTACGGGATGACGGCGACGACCTGCAAAAGTGTATGTAACGTAGAGCGTATGGTACTGTCACGCCCTCTCTCTCCTTCTTGTCTTTTTACACCAACTTCTTTTCTTCTTCCTCCTCGTCTTCCTCAACCTCCAGAAAAAAAAAACACACACACGAAACAAGCAAAAAGGACAGCGGAAGAAGAAGAAGAAGACTGCAGAAGCAGAAGAAGCCTGCATACACACATCTCCTTCGCACTCGCAAGCTGGCCTCGTCGGACCCTGACTGGCTGACTGGGGCTGTTCTGCTTGCTGCCAACCGTCCTGAGACCCGCAGGACCGCAGACCCTACAACGACCACCCCATACATCTAACGACGGACGACGGACGACGGACAGACGACAGACGATATTGAAGACATAGAAGGAGACACGGGAAGAGACACAGGAGACATCGTGTGGGTGTCTGCCTTCTCCGCGCAGGCCGCTGTGCCTTTCTCCAGCTGCTGCTGGTGCTGCTTTGCCGCTGGCTTCGTCCCTGTCTTTGCTGTGCGCTTCCTCCTCTCTCCCTTTTGAGGCATGGCGTCCACCGTCAACCTCAACGCCAACAACAGTAATGTCAACAACAGCAGCTCCCTGGCCTCGAACGGAGCTACTGCGTCTGCTCCTGCGCCCCTAAACTCCGCCGTCTCTCCCAATACCATGGCCTCGAGGGCGGCCGGGCGTTCCTCAGCCAATATCAAGGGGGGTCACGACCTCGGTCGTCGCCAGTCTGGCAGTCCCGTCGATGGCGGTCAAAGGTGTGTCTTTCTTTCTTCCCCTTTTGATTTATTATTTTTGTTTATTCACCTCATTATTCGTTTTATTTATTTTAAGATATTCGCTTGTGATCAGTGTTTAGTGCATGGCTAACTTTGTGATTTCCATAGACGCCCCAGTTCGCAGAAAGCCTGGACGCAGAACATCAATCCAGCTACTCAGAAACAGCCCAACACATATACACAGCAAAACGGAGCCGCCTCGGGGAGGAAGTCCGTCATCTCTCCCAGCCCGGCCTCCAAGGAGTCCTCCACTCCCGACCAGCACGCACACGACCGTCTCATCTTCCTCCTTACGGCCGCCATCGTACGTGACCTTTTTCCTTGTTTATGTATTTGACCACGCTAACAGAGAAAGTAGGGGAGCAATGTATCCCTTACCATGAAAGATGGCGAAAAGTTCGCTGGCATCTTCTCCGGCTCAACCCTAGAGTCCAATGAAACCATACTAATCCTCAAGATGGCCCGCCACCCGCCCTCAGTGTCAGATTCCTCTTCTTCTCCTTCTACCGCTGCTACTACACAATCGAACGGCGTCAGCCAAAGTGAATCTCCCTACGTTGGCTCCGGCCCAGACCACCAATTTTCCGTCATGTCCAGGATATCACCTGTTTGGACATCCAATCCCTATCAACGGCCGGAGTGGCAGCCAAGGACCAGAAATGGTGAGTAAACAAGATGCCTCTTTTCAAAGCTTGTCATTAGCTTTTTAAATTAATAAGATACAGGTGCATCCTCTGGATTCCGTACAGATACAGACATCTCCGGCAACCAGCCAGGCCGTGAGAGACAGCTGCAACGCTGGGAACCAAGTGGCTCTGATGCAACCCTCGACTGGGCTCCAGAGAGCTCTGGAACGGCTGGCTGGGACCAGTTCGAGACCAATGCTCGACTCTTCGGGGCCACCTCTAGCTACGACGAAAACATCTATACCACTCGCATCGACCGTTCAGATCCATCCTACAAGCGCAAGGAAGCCGAAGCCGCCAGAATCGCCCGTGAGATCGAATCCACCGACACCGATAACGCCCACATGCGCGAGGAGCGAGGCCATACCCACCAACACGATGACGCCGATGAAGAAGCAAAGTACTCCGGTGTCAGACGTGACGTCGTTGCTCCCTTGCCCACCGGACAGCCCAACAAGTACATGCCTCCCGCTCGACGACCTCCTACCGGCCAGCCAACGGTTCCCAGTGCTCCCGTCGACCCTGCCATCATCTCCGCCCAGCTTGCTCGCCCGGACAGCCATGCCAAAGCTTCTACCCCTGCTTCTCAGCCAAAGGAGGCTCCCTCAGGCAAGGCTGCCGCCCAGCCGGAGAAAGAAAAGGAGAAGGCGTCCACAGCTGTCCCCAAGGCTACTGCTGAGGCTCTCAAGACCGTTGCAAGTAACGGCGCAATTGAGGCTGAGCGCAAGGCCGCCGCGGCTGCGGGCGCTTCTTCTCAGCCGTCTGCCGCCTCATCCACTCCACGCACCGGCGCCGAGAATGCTGCCTCCAACGTTGAAACTGAAGTACTCGATCATTTCCGGCGATTTGCCAACGACGAAAAGATGAAACTTCAAGAACGGCGACGCAACCAGGCATCATACGACCGAACGATCAAACTCAACGAACTAATGAAATTTTCCAAGAACTTCAAGCTGGGCACCCCCGTCCCCAAGGATTTGGTTCCCATCCTTGCCAAGGATCCTAGCAAACAGGAGGAGATCATCGAGCGCGCAAAGAGACAACACGAAGAAAAGAATGCTGCCATGCCAAACAAACCGTCCACTGCCACCCCCGCTACCTCGTCCGTCTCCAGTAACGCTACCGCAGATGCAAAGCCAGCTACCCGCAACTCCGCAACTCCTCGTTACGAAGGCGGCAACGGTCTCCCTGGAGCTGCTCCTGACCGTCAAGGAGGTTACGGCCGTGGTGGCCGTCAGGGTTACCCTCCCATGGGCCCCCACGCCGGACGCCAGCTTCAGCACCCAGGAGGCCACCCAGGACGCGGCGGACCAGGTTTGCTCAGCCATCGTTTGGTCGAGATCCAGCAGCAGCGCAAAGGCGCAAACATGGGGCCTTCCCCGGCACCGTTGCCCACCCAAGACGCCCGCATGCAACAGCACCACCAGCAACAACCACAACAACCATCATCACAGCATCAACAACCACCAGCTAGCTCTGCAGGTGACCAAGGACCAAGCAACGGCCCTCCAAAGGCTGCCACTCATACCCCTACATCTTCCTCTGCATCAACCAAATTCAACGTTCGTGCTATGGAGTTCAAGCCCAACCCAGCCGCAAGTACCTTCACCCCTGCTAGTGCCGCAGGTAGCTCGTCCGCCGCTACGCCTGTAAACACCCGTCCCCAGTCTGTCCCCAGAGCAACGAGCCCCACGGCCTTTTTTGGCTCCAAGAAGCCTCTCCCAGCGTCTGAACGGCCCCTGATTGTCAACGGCTTCAACCCTGTAAAGCGCATGAAGAAAGAAGCCACTGATGCCGGATCTAAGGATTACGCCTTTAACGGAGGTATTCCGCCAGCTTACAGAACTGCTCCCACCTGGGACGTCTCCGCCATCAACGAAAAGAAGACATATGCGGACATGTTCAAGCCTCCAGTAGTCGCTGCATCTGCCTCTCCGCAATCCCGAGCATTGAATGCTCAGATCCCTCACCAGCAGCAACTGCCGTACCATATCCAGCATGCAGGCCATAACATGCCGCCACAAAATGCTCCACCAACTCATCTTATCCCTCCACAGCAGCCTCCTATGCATTATGACGACCACCATCGCATGCAAATGTCTGCATCTTCTTCTCAAGTGTTCCCTTCCCCGCGACTGCAACACAGCACCCCCATGGCATACCAGCACTCTGTTGGCCCACATAATCAAATGGCCATGCATGGTGTACCCCCGTACTACCCTCAGCCCGGCCATGTGCGTCATTACCCCAACGGACCGCAATTCTCGAACCCGCCCACCGCTGCTCCCATGATGGCCCAGACTTCAAACGGACCGTATATGAATATGCCACCGCAGAGCATGACCCCGTACAACCCTCCTATGCAGATGTTCTCCCCAAACCCAAGCCACGTCTACCCACAGCATGCTCCTCCAATGCAAACACATAGCGGGTACCCAAGCCCTAGCCGTGGCGCGCCCATGATGATGCACCAGGGCTCTCAGCAAGGACCTCCTCCCCAGCCTATGATGGCCATGAACGGACAGCAAGGGCAAGGCTATTACCCCCCCCAACAACCCGGCCATATGCCACCAATGCGTCCCGGTCACCACCAGCAGCACCCTCACTTTGCCTCTAGCCCGCATCAAGCACACAACTACCCGCACCACCAATACCGCAATCAAGCCCAAAACAATAATAACAATAACAACAACTTCAATCAAATGCCCCATGGGCCTCCACCACCCATGCAACCACAAGGCGGTCCACCTCCCGCCGCTACCCCAAGTACCCACCCAACCGAAGCACCCGAAGAGGTGAAGTGAAAAGTCTAACGGTTCTCCACCACGCTACCTTCTTCTTATGTCGAGGCTTGAAACCTGACGCTGTAACACACGATATGTGTTCGTTAAACTTCCATGACTCTCTAATTCCGGACAAACTCTGGCTTGTGACAAGTGAAAATATGAACCACTTGATTTCTATCCCTTTTTTACATACATACGCCTTACATATGTGTATGGTCATTCAATCTGTCGCACCACCCATCATCCGACTAGCCGCGGTCGCTTGCCGCCTGTTTGTACCGCGCGGTACTGCACATATCGCAATTTTACTATCGCAATACCGCCTACTTGAATAGGCGTCTTATTCGCTTGTTGGGGCTCACACAATCGACTTCATAGGTATGCCTTCCATCTCTCCGCCTTCAGCAACCTAATCTTTATACTAACGGGCTTATAGGTATCTGTGGTCAATTCTACATTTATCATGTATGAAGAGAGATCGTCGGATACAACCACTCGGACTTTACTTTGTGTCTGATACGCATACATTGACCAAACTTTTGTCACGAAGCAGCCCAGTATGCTACAGCAACCATTATATGTATGAGTTACATCAATATTGCAATACCTGAAAATATGGAAGACAACCGAAGCACCAGTATAATGGCTTAGCTACAGCCTCAATCTTTTACCAGCTACCACGCCAGGTAATAAGAAATCAGTCATACGACCAGCGAAGGACAATGAAGAAAAGCTGAAGATGGTGAGGGATGTGGAGGATAAAAGTTTCACGGGAGGAAGGGAAGTTGATAAACAATATTCCCCATGCTTTTCTTTTTTCATTTTCCTTTTTTTCTACTTCTTTTTTTCATTATTTCTTTAGTAACATGACCTTGACGTTTTTCGGAAGAGAGGAGGTAAGATGATGTGAATGTGAATGTGAAATTTGAGAGGCTCTCGAGCGAAGGGATGAGGTTGAAGTTAAAGGAGATGAAGCAGACGTAGCGAGTCCACCAGTTTGATTTTGGGATTATTCATATTCTCATGGATGCCATGATTTGACGGTGACTGAATGAAGAGAACGGTAGTTTCTTGAATGGTCATGGTTTCTTTTGTCTATCTACTATCCATAAGTGATCATCATCCTCACAATTGTAAACCCGTGCTTCCGATGGAAAGTAAAGAGTAAATCCCTGTCGAATAAGTCTGTCAGCGACTTGATTGAGAATAGGAGAAAATGTGAAATAAGGATAAGAATCTCCTCAGGTCTTTTCAGTTATAAGTGCACATCACTCTTGCAAAGACATAGCTATCACCTCCCAGTGAAACCCTCCAGAACTGTGAATACAAACGCAAGCCAGGCTGCAAGGGGCCATCTCAAACCAACGCGTTTCTCCTTCTAGACACGCCCTCCACTGTCCCAGGTATCCGAGGGCAGCAAGCTGTATCGGAGACAAGCTAAGGGCCAAAGTCCGGTTGCATGAGCATATGTCGGATTTTTTTCTAGAGAATGAATAAATCCTCTGTGTCAACCGCTGCCATTAGCTCCTATATCCTCACGGCGGAAAAGCGGACTAGGAACTCCAGATAGCGGTAATTTATTTATGTATGCTATATTTCAAGCACCGTACTCAGGAAGGGGAATCTTTGGATTACAGCTAAGGATAGCAGGTTGCGCAGCCTCCCTCATTTGGACTAATTTGCCAGGATATCAGGGATGAGAGGGTGCGGGGGACGTGTCTGAGATACAGCTGCTTGGTATTAAGTTGGTTTCCAGTCTGGTTGTTCGCAAACACGTTTCCAGAGGCCGCCGGAAGCTGACAACGCGTCTGCCTTTGTTGTTCAAGTCTGACCTTTTACCAGGTTCGCATCATAGGAGGTTGGGTCGTATATATAGTATGAAGATGAATGTATTAAGGGGTATGGGTGTGTGGGTGGTGATCTTACCTGGATGACCTCATATCAACGTGACATCGCCTTCGTGTTAGGGTTGTCTGCATAGTTAACAAAGGCGTATATTTCATAAAAGGGAAGACTAATATCTCATAGTCCCTTTGAGTAGACATCGGTCTCGCCGTAGGTACGATCCTCTGAAGTTGTTTGAAGCTGGTGAGAAGTTGAAGTTGAAGTTGAAGTTATTTTAGACAAACACGCTAGACCGAGTTGGGAAGGGCACCGGATAACTACCTAAACTATCAAATCTTGGGAGGTTTTTAAGTGAGGACAACGGAACTTCTAGATAACGATCAATAGAACAGCTCACGGCACGGTCTTGAGGCGTCCTGGGTAGTTTTGCTGGCTACTGCTAGTATCACTCTGGCCTAGTTACCACCCCTCCATTTTCTCACTATTCTCTGTGCGAGGGGTTGGTTGTTTCGCTAGTTCTCTTATCGCGGTTCCTTCACCCCTTGAACAGCGCGTCAGAGAAAAGATACGGTACAATATCAGGCTGCATATTGACCAGAAACAATGGATTTCCTAAAATCCGCGGTGGCCTCCGCGATTGCGAAGAGCAGCTCATTCCCTTACACTATCGGAGACAGGGTCGACAATGGCGATTCGATCTGGAGCCTTCACAACGGCACGAAGAAGGTACCTGGACAATTCCTACCTCCTTAGGCACTTGACGGATTATTTACTGATTGTTATTTATTACAATATAGGAAGATGGCTCTGCGTGTAGTATCTTCACTTTCGAAATCGCTCAGAATAAATCATATTTCCCCCTTGCAAAGAATGCGCTGCGGAAGTTACGGACATTAAGACATCCGGGTGTGATAAAAGTTCTGGAAACCATCGAGGTACGATACATTGTTTGACAGCATCCCTTCCTGGATGTTGATGCTGGGTTGTGTCCGAATTGACATGGGCAACAGACGGAAACACAAATCTACATCGTTGTAGAGCGAGTTATCCCCTTATCATGGCCAGTTAAGAGGCGGAGTATGTCAGAGGAAACGATAAAATGGGGACTATACACTATTGCCGTGAGTACCGGTCTTACCTATGGACCGTTTTGGAAACATTTCTCATGCGGTTGTTCTAGTCTACTCTTAAATTTATAAACGAAGACGCCTCGTCTGTCCATGGTGCCATTAGAGTATCATCTATATATACTGGCGAGAGCGGGGAATGGAAATTAGCCGGCTTTGATATATTAAGCTCGCTGAAGGAGGACTCCCCGGTGATATATGTATGACCCCCTTTCCTCTCATAGAATTTTTCAGGTTGTACGTTTGCTAACTTTTATATAGACATATGGCAGTATACTGCCAGAGTCACGGCGGTACAATCCTCCAGAAATACTAAAAAGTGGATGGGATGTCATCAAAAGCAACCCACTCTTTGCTGTAGATGCATACAATTTCGGAGTACTTATTTTTGAGGCTTCAATGGGTCTTTTCATGGCCCTGAACAGGCAGGCCAGACTTCGAACATTCCTCCCAGCATGCGGCCGAGCTATAAGAAACTAATGAACACTAACCCAAAACTACGACTAAGCGTAGCGCATTTTCTTGATCAAGGGAAACGCTCAGGAGGGTTCTTCCAAACACCATTAATCCGTCTGTCTCAAGATATCGAAAGTTTAGGCCTTAAGAGTAACGAGGAAAGAGAACAATTCATTAAGTAAGTTTTTTGAAACTGTGCCACCCCTTTTATCTAATAGTACTAATCCGAACAGTGAACTTGATGAACTTTCCGATGACTACCCAGAAGAGTTCTTTAAAATGAAGGTCTTGCCCGAACTCCTCAAATCCGTTGAATTTGGTGGAGGAGGCCCAAAAGTTCTCTCAACTATTTTGAAAGTTGGAGCCAAACTTAGCGATGATGAATACACCCAGAAGCTTACACCTGTCATCGTTCGGTTATTTGCAAATCCAGACCGAGCCATACGTGTGTGTTTACTCGACAATCTTCATCTCATGATCGACAGGCTTCCTCAGAGAACTGTGAATGACAAGATATTCCCTCAAATGGTCACGGGATTCACAGATCTTGCGCCGGTAGTTCGAGAACAGACGGTCAAAGCTGTTCTACCAATTATAGGGAAACTATCTGATCGCACTATTAACGGCGAACTGGTTCGATACCTTGCAAAAACTGCCAATGATGAACAGCCTGGGATCCGTACAAATACCACCATATGTCTAGGTAAAATTGCTAAGAACTTGTCCGCAAGCGTAAGTGTGATGCGTGTTATCTGTAATCGCTAGCATTCATTAACTTTTGGACAATAGTCCCGGCCAAAAATCCTTGTTGCAGCCTTTTCTCGATCGCTAAGGGATCCCTTTGTCCATGCACGAAATGCTGGTCTTCTTGCTTTGGCGGCAACGTTTGACCTCTTTTCTGAAGAGGATTGTGCCGTCAAAGTCCTACCCGTAATTACCCCAGCGCTCATAGACAAGGAGAAGTATGTTACAGCGCCGCCTTACCAAAAAAAGTGAATACCAAGATGGACTAACAGAACTTTCTAGGCTTGTTCGTGACCAGGCAAATAAATGTGTAGACATATACTTGCAACGGATTCGTAAATTTTCTTCAACCATGGCAGAAACAGCGCTCCCACCCCAAGAACGAGCAGACTCGTCTGTAGCAGCGGCCAGACTACCTAGCCCAGGGAACACAGCAGCATCCTGGGCCGGATGGGCCATCTCCTCATTTGCGAGCAAAGCAGGAGAAACCAAAGGGGTTATTGAACCAATTCAACCAGCCCTGTCAAAGTCCAACGGGAGGCCAGTCGACAATTCTCTACCACCGTCACGAGCCAGTACCGCAACTCCTACTCTTGCACAAAATGTTGCACAGTTCTCACAGCCACCGACCGGTGCTGTTAGTCAAGGTGTTCCTGACTTGCTAGAAGACGAGGAGAGCAATGCTTTTGACGATTGGGGCGCCATGGATGAAGCCATTGATGATGAACCTGACACGCAGGGCCAAGAACCTATTGTCTTTGAAAAAGCAGCGTCTCCTAGTCCAGCCTTATCTCCACGCCCTCAGGCGTTTGCGGATGATGGGGAGCCTGATTTTGCAGGATGGCTAGCCAGTCAATCAAAGTCCAAGGCAAAGAATCCATTACCAAAGGGACTGAAGAAATCCTCCACATCAGGGAGCTCCAGCACCATACAAACTAAACGGACAGAGGTCAAATCTAAGGCCCCTATCAAACCAGCAAAGAAAATCGATACAAAACCTAAAGATGAGCCGCTAGATGATGACGGATGGGGAGACGCTTGGGACTAGATTTTTTTGATGAGCTTCATATTGCTATCTATACCCAGTCTCTTTTATACATTGATAATGTTTTAGGCAAAAAGTTAGCTACCACGGTGTTGTCATGGTTTACTGAGCATTGGCGTTTTTGGCTGGGGATTTATAATGTAGATGAGCTCCTCAGCACGCTACTTTTGTGTGCAATCTCTCTATTGATGGTGTATCTATGCGATTTTTCTTACTGCTAGTTGAGACCAACTAGCAACTCCACTCGACCAGTATCTAATATCTTAACCAGCAGCTGCTATCTATGGAATACTCTTTCCAAAACGCGTACACAGAACAATACCGCCTTTAACAGCCTTGTGAACCCGATAGCAGCAATTCTGACTTGCACACATACTCTTCGATCACTGGAACCCAGTGTTATGACAGATAGTTCCATAGGTTTGCCCGTTCTAGCTACATCTTGTATCTCTGGGATACTGAACTAATATAATATCTTAACACAAAGAATTAGGCAGCCATTTGCAGGAAACTTAGCCTCGACATGATTCCTATTTCTATTCAATTAATTTTTTCTGGAACCTTACTTATCACGTAGGCTGAGAAATTGCCAGCCTGTCCAGCATTAACTAGCGCGAGCCTCTCATCCACAGGCAAGAGCGCCTATATGGCGACAAAAGGCGTATTTGAGGTAATGACTTCGATATTGGCCCGAGAGGCAAAGGCCGGAACATGCTCTTCGCTGTTAATGATCATTTATGAGGAAAAGTGCAGAAATAATAGTATAAAACTCCTGATATCGATAACTATTAACGCCGAGGACAGGAACAAACACGGGGAGTATAGACATCCCGCCTTTTACGGGCGAGAAGGCTGAAGTCAGTCTGCTCCGCCGCAGGTGGTGGCTGGTATCCTTAGGAGTGTTACTCAGGCCAACAGACGCACGCGAACGAGCCCCATGAAATCCAGGCAACAGCATTAATATGCACGCTAACTGCGGGCTAGATTGGGTGTGGCTGAAGAATGCTGGTGCCTTCAGCGAGCCTCGTATTTGGACGGACTAACATGTTCTATTTAAATATCGGGCACAACTAGTGATTCCTTAAAATGACCCCTCGTCCCTTTGTTGCTGCCTTTGACGAGTTATTCTCTTGAAAACTATAACTGCCCTTTACGGAGTACGGAGTACAGCTTGATATTCAATTACCGGAGTCAGAGTCGGGTTTGGTTGAACTAGTTTGAGTATCGACCGCCAGCATGTCGCTCACACATATGCATCCGGAGGACGATGCACCTCCACCTTACACTCCAACCGACCCTCTGACTCCAGCTTCCACGATCAATGACGCCGCAAGCCAGGTGTCAGCAGAGAACGTTCCATCATATACCCATGCCGTAGAGGCCCCAAATTTTGTTTCTGCAGTACCATATTTTAGCGAGCGCGGCCTGCCGTCGAATGTGCAGCCTGGCGCCCAAATCCTGGAGCATGCGCTAGTTTTCTACAAACGAAGCCAGGCCAAAGACTTTTCGAGATATCCTCGCTGCTGGCGCCCCAAGACCGAAGATATCACTCAGCATGACTGGGATACGTTTCTAAACTACCTTCTACCGCCGCATCTTGGGCCGGCGTCGAATCACCCTCAGTTGCCGCAAAAGCTGCGGGCTGAGATCGAACGTGATCGTAAAGACAGGCCGCAGGAGACAGAGGACGAGCGGCAATGGAGGATTACTGCGGTTGTTACAGAATGGAATGTCAACTTTTTCCAGCCTCGCGGAGCCATGGTAGTCTATTGTTTTGTTCGTGAAGATGGAACCCAGCCCGAGTCTCCGTTATGTCCGTCGTGCTATCCAAACACTACCTCATCCAGATCTCGCAATGATAACCCCCAGCCTGTGGCTGAAGTGCCTACGGGCACTGCCTCGAGAGAAGTACATGAGCTACCTCAGCCACCGACTATGGTACCAAGTGGCCAGCAGAACGTGCAGACGACGGAAATCCCAGCAGCAGCAGCAGCAGCTACAGCAGCAAGCGGAGGGAGCTCGGATAATCAATATCAATATAGATCCGGACATGCAGGGGGCCCAGGAGTGTGGATTTTTAACCCTGGTGCGGCAGTGAATAACATTGCCTCGATGATTTCAGACCAAGTTCAACGATATAGCCAGTATGTATCAGAGCAAGCCATGGAGCACAGCAGAAAGGTGAGCGAGCAGGTCCAAGCAGCTAGCCGGGAAGTGGAAAGAAATGCTCAGACACATGCATTTTATGTTCAGCAGCAGGCTGTGGATGCTAGAAACAAGGCTATCAACAACTTTACCACTTACAGGGACCAAGCTCAGTCATCATGGAGTGGTCACCATGGACCCCACGGCTGGTTTGGGGCCCATGGTCACTGTCAACCTCACCATGGCGGATGGGGAGGAAGAGGTTACGGGGGGTGGGGGCAAGGTAGAAGCACTTGGGGTCCGGGAGGATGTCAACCAGGGAGTTCTGGCTGGGGATTTTGGCAGCAGAAAGCCGAGCCAGCAGGCCAGCGAGGACGCGAATGGGGCCACATTGAACAGAAAGGGAGAAGAGCGAGAAGTGCTTCTGTCTCCTCGTCATCATCATCGTCCTCTTCGTCAAGCAGCTCCTCTGAGTCACTGGATTCTGCTTCATCCGACTCCGATTTGAAAAAGAGTGAACTTGCCGCTCTTAAAACCGCGCTCCGCAATCTCAAAGAGCAACAGGAGCAAAGAAAGCTCTCTACAGCCGACTACAGGGCACGCAGAAAGGAGCTACGGCGAGACTGTAGAGCGTTGAGATCAGCTCGAAGGGAATTCCGCTCGGCTGGGCGGCGATGCCGTGGTACAAGCTCCAGCGGCCACGGCGGCTGCGGCCCTCGTGCAGGCGGCCAACCGCCTGCTGCTCGAGGAGAGTTCAGCTCTGACATTGACGAGATCAAGAAGGATATGCAGGAGATCAAGGACCACTATGTTAATTTGATTCGCAGCCTGCAAGGTGAGAAACGAGAGCTGAAGCAAGCGGAGAAGAACCACAAACGAGAAGAGAAACTGGCCAGAAAGGAGGAGAAACTGGCCAGGAAACATGAGAAGGCAGCGAGGAAGGAAGAGAAGAGGAGAGCCAAAGAGAAGGGCAAGGGGAAAGCCAAAGGTTCGTTTACTTGTTGATTAACCCCCTGTTTTCTTCCGTCGGATGGAGTGGTGCTAACTAGCATAACTATTGGTAGCAGAGTCGGATGCTCCCCTAGAGAGACAGATGGAGAATATTAATGTATCGAGTACGCCTCTTCCAGAGTACCCTCAGACTCCCCAGATGGCCGGAACGGTGGTGAAAGATGTCAAGCAGTAAATGCTGAACATGGCACACACCAAAAAGGCAGGGCTCGCTGCTTATTTCTTGTATTGTATACTGATAATAATAGTTATCTAATTTGAACCCTACTCCAATGAATGGTGATTTTTTATTATTATTCTTTTCTCCAGAGTAGTTATAGGTGCTATGATTGGTAGCTACTCCCTAGAAGCAAGCATACCATCAGATAGCCAGAGCTTCATTTTTACTTATTTACTTATTTCTTCCTTCTTTTCGTGAAATCTACCGCCTGGCGGCAACCGATCTTAAGCCTGCGCTCGACTCTCGTTCCGCTCCACGAGGTCACCTACGCCCAAGCTTCGGCCGACCTTGACTCTGATCTTCTTCTCTTCGTTGTCGGCCTCGTCACCAGCCTTGCCCACGTCACCCACTTCGTCGCCCTCGTCGACATCTTCATCCGTATTCTTGACTGACTTGCCATCGAGACCGACGCTGAATCCCTCGTCGTCCTTTAACCAAAGGCCGGTCAGGTCCATCTTCATGGCGTATGCGTTCTCTCCGTCAGCATAGTATTTGGGCTCGATCTTCTCGACTTCAAAGCCTAGCGTGTCACGATAGAGGCGGAGAGCAGCTGTGTTGGAGACGCGGACGTGGAGGGAGACGTAGTGCGCTTTGTGAGACTCTGCCATTGCTCGTTCTGTTGTTCACATTGTAGTTATTAGCGTGGATTGATCGTTTATTCCGCTTTCTGGGAGACGTACGACTCATGCGCATCAGACGCTCAGCGATGCCCAGCCGTCTGTGTGTCCTCATGACGCTTAAGCTTGTAATATGGCCGTGTGGCAGCCCGTCCGAGGGCTCTTCCTCCATCTTCGCCAGCACATATCCGACGACCTTGGGGTTTGCGGCGGGCGCGAAGGGATCCTTGGACTTGCTGGAGCGGTCTCGGACGACGGCGACGAAGCTCAGCTGCGGCCACGAGAGGGCATGGTAGAGATAGTACTTGAGGAAGTAGTTCTCGGGGAGGTTGGTGATGTTGCAGGTCTGCACCGCGGGCAGCAGCGAGATGTAGGACGGGTATGAGCAGAGCGGGACGATGTCCACCATTGTGATTCAGATCGGCGTCAGTTATGTACGATGCAAAGCTGCGTCTTGGAGAAATTCTTTATCCTCCTCCTTCTGCTTCTGCTTCTTCCTGTCGCTGTCTCGCAGTTGTCCTGTAGCTGTAGTTATTTAGTTGTAGTTGGCGATGTTTTTTTATTTTGGTCTGTGGTGGGAACCAAAAACGGACAAAGCGAAGTTTCGACTTTCAACGTCGACCTTTGGCTTTTTCTTTGGCCAGCAGCAATTCAGCGGCTCAACGGGACAATAGACGATAGACAATAGGAGGAGACAACAAAGGACGCGCAGACGACAATAAGGAAGCGGGAGAAAGCTGCCTGGGGTGTGACCATGCGCCAGGCAAGCGGCCGCCGCCGGTCTGGACGCCATTGACGGTGCCCTCGTTACCGAGTACAAGCTACGAGACGGCTTCAACGGCGGCACAGAAGCCAGCAGGGACGGGCCACGGAGCGCGACAGTGTTACGGGAACTACGGGCGGATAAGACGATGTCTCAGTGATCGAGGGAATCCACCTGCCAGGGACACCAGAGTCAGGAGGCTGGCTTGATCACCAGGCTGTGCAGGCAGGCATCAAAACAAGCAAGCGGGCAAGCGAAGAAGAAAGCAAAGGCACAGGCAGATGACCGGCAGAGACGGTGGCCAGACAGAGAGACAGCAAGAAGAGCCTCCAGCTTCACCCTCAGCTTCTACTCTCTTACCAGGGACAGACGGTGATCCTCTGTTCTCCACCGGTTACGTTGCTCGGCGCGCTGTTGGTAGCTGAAAACGAACAAGTACGGAGTAGTTAAAGAAATAAATAGTTACGGAGAGAGAGAGAGAGAGAGAGAGACACGGCTAGAGATAGCACCGGTTCTCTGTTTGTTCCAGCATGGAGGCCCTTCTGCTCGTTCTTTGCGCCGTGGTGGCTGGCCTGCTTTGCCCTGCGAGGACGGCGGCAGAGCCCACCACCACCCTGACAGGCTCAGATATCCCTACGTCCATCTCGATACACACTGGAACACCCACCGGTTCGAGTGTGCCGTCCCTGTCGAGCTTCTCGAGCAGCTCGGCGAACTCGTCGGACAGCTTCTATACCACTACCTCGGACAGCTACACCTTGCTGGTCGGCAGCCACACCACGAGCACCGTGACTGCAAACGAGACCACGCTCTCTGGAAACGCTACGGCGACAGAGACGTCGAGAGAGCCCCAGCCGACGAACACTCGGCCGTGCAACGGGTATGCAGAGTTCTGTGCCCGCAGCTACGGCAACATCACCCAGGTGGTTGCTCACAACAGCCCCTTTGTGCGGCCGGGCAACATCGCCAGCAACCAGGAGCTGGACGTCGTCACCCAGCTCAACGATGGGATCCGGATGCGTACGTTTTTATCTTTTTCTTCTTCTTCTCCCTTTTCCTTGTCCTTTACCGATGATGCTGGCTAACTTCTACCAGTCCAGTTCCAGACGCACATGTTGAATGGGACCCTCTATCTCTGCCACAGCTCGTGCGATCTGCTCAACGCCGGCACCCTGGAGAGCTACCTGAAAAAAGTGACAGACTGGCTCAAAGCCAACCCTTACGATGTAGTCTCCCTTCTCATCGGCAACGGGGACTTCGTCAAGGTGACAGACTTCACCAAACCGATCCAGAGCTCAGGCCTGATAGACCTTGTCTACACGCCCAAGCAGCCATCCCCAGACCGGGACGACTGGCCTACGCTGTCCGAGATCATCCTGTCCGGTAAGAGGGCGGTGGTCTTTATGGACTACGAAGCCAACCATAACGAGGTCCCTTATATCCTGGACGAGTTCACGTACATCTGGGAGACCCCCTTCTCGCCGACAGACCGGAATTTCCCCTGCGTGGTCCAACGGCCGCCCGGCCTCAACGAAGCTGACGCCAGAAAACGCATGTACATGGCCAACCACAACCTCAATCTCGAGATCAGTATTGCCGGGGCCACCATCCTCGTGCCCAACACTGTCCTCCTGAACGAGACCAACGCTGTCTCTGGCTACGGCAGCCTGGGAGCCATGGCCGGTAACTGCACAGGTATGCCTTTCTTTCCCTCCGTTCTGCTTCTTCTTCCTACCACTACTGCTGCTGCTGCTGCTGCTGCTGTCTAACATCCTCTAGAGAAATGGGATCGTCCGCCCAACTTCCTCCTGGTCGACTATTACAACGTAGGCAACGTCAACGGCTCCGTCTTGCAGGTCGCTGCCGAGCTCAACAACGTTACGTACAACGGCAAGTGCTGCGGCCGAGCCACGTCTCTCGCCTCGGGGTCTCTCCTTGCTCGTCTATCTGGCAGCCTCGAGACGATGTACGCGGTGATCATGATCAACATCCTCGTCATGGCGATACTATGAGCTCCACTCCACTCCGTACTCTTCTGCAGCTTCCATGTAACGAGCTCTTCAGCAGGCTCTTAAATCATTAACACAAATAGTTAGCTAATAGCGAATAGAAACCACTGTAATGGCCTTCTTTTTTCTCACCCTTTCTCTCGTTTTGTCAAGCCAAGTCAGGCAGTTGTCCGTAAGACGAGCAGCAAGAGCGACAGCGTAACACGCAAGCAGCTCCGTCCAAGCCACTTTTTCCTGCTCCACCGCAAGGCGATCCTTGTCTCGAGACCCAGAGCTACAGCCATGGCAGCTCCAGCGCCAGCTCCATCGCCAGCTTGAGACGGGGAAACCAGTCAGTCGGCGGTTTGTTTGCCTGCACCGCGTGATGGCGTCACCAGAAGCTGGTTCTGCGTCCGCTGATGATATACAAACCTACCACCTACAGCTCCGTACAGCCACACCCACCCACCCGCCTCCTGCTATCCAGCTCCCCATGGCTGTCAAACCTCCAGAAGGGCGTCTCACTGTCTGTTCTCGGCCTCCCTCGTTTGTCCCTTCACTCTATTGACCAGGCAGGCTCGTCGGTCTCGCCCTGTGAATCGGGTCTAGCCAGTCTCTGGGCAAATGACCTGCGGGCTCAGGAGGATCGTCTCTTGATCCTCTGCCCGTCCCTGGGGGGAGGCCGCTGAAACGTTGCTGTGATGGTCCAACGCCCTGCAGCTTCATTATATCCTTGTTCTCCAGCCCGGGATCCGTCTTGCTCGTGGAAAGCTGTTGCTGTTGGTACCGCCGCATAACTAACAGAACATCACTACCCGCGAAGTACACAGAGAATAAAGCCACGGCGATATCAACATGTCGCCTCCCATTCTTTCAAAGCTGTGGCCAGGTCCTCCGGAGTCGAGCGAGAAGGCTCCCGGCCAGGGCTTCCTGGCTCGCCGGCCAGCTATACCGCACCGTATCATGCACTCGCTCATATACTTGGTTGCGTTTGTTATGCTGCTGCTCGTGCAGATAGGCAATCTATCAGACCGACTTGTCCTGCGCGACATCTACTTTCTCAAGATTGATCTCTCCAATATCATTCCTTTGACCGTGCCTAACGCCGTCCTCATCAACAGTATTGCTCGAACCATAGGACTGCACGATTTCTACCAGGTTGGCCTCTGGGGATTCTGCGAAGGGTACGAAGACGGCTCTGGCATCACTCGCTGCTCCAAGCCAAAGGCGATGTATGCCTTTAACCCAGTCGAGATTATCACCAGCGAGCTACTCGCCGGCGCCACAAGTAAGCATACCAGCATACAAAACTACTACTTTATTTATCCTTATAATGCACACCCCTGTAGCTACTTCTTTACTCAGACACCATGCTAACAATCCTAGTTGTCCTACCTAGTGGAATCACCCGTGCCTTGAACATCGCCCGAGTAGCTTCAAACTGGATGTTTGGCTTCTTCATCACCGCTACCATCCTCACGTTCCTCTGCATGATCCTTACTCCCTTCTCCATACCCTCATCGGCAACCATCCTATCGGCACCAAACTATTCCTCCTACTACCGCGCAAAGAGAAGAGCTGCCCCGAGCAAGATAGCTATCCCCATTGCCATCCTTGCGTGGGGCGCCTGGTTCACTGCCTCTGCCGGAGCCGCCGTTGCAACAGTCATGTTCGTCATCTTCCAGATCGTCTTCGAGAATAACGCCGCAGACCTTAACATTCATGCCGAGCTGGGCATCGTCATGATGGCGCTCATGTGGATCCCCGTTGCGCTCGTTACTATTGGATTTCTCCTACAACTTCGCAAGCTGGTTGGCTCATGTCGCAACTGCTGCTTTTACTGCTGCTGTTGCTGTCTTTTCCCGTCTGCCAGGAAAGCCCATCAAGAAGCGAAGTTCACGAGGTAGTTAGTGGAACTGGCTGTCTATTTGAAACTACGAAGTTTTGAACTGCCTCCTGCATAGTTATAAGAAAGCTACGGCGATTGCCCCAGGTGCCTGCCACCCGGTACAAGGCATAGAAATATTCTCTGCCATCCCAGCGTCGCTATTGCTGCCCGTCACTCCTTGGCTCCAACATATGGGTCAACCTGTCCGCTTGAGGGTTTCCCAGGAGGATTCATCTTATAGAAGGAAGCGAAAGGAGTTATCTGCGGATAAACGGAAAAAGCAAGTCTGGGGTAAGTTGAATCTTGCTTATAGATACTCCTTAGACGACACCTAGACGCAAATCTATATAACCATACTTATCCCTCACCAGCTCTTATTTTCTTGTACCTTCTTTGCACTGCCTGGGTAGCAAGTTGTACGTAAGAGCTACATTACTAGCCATTGAACCAAGCTACTTTATGGCTTAGGCAAATGGTAGGACACACGCAATAGTGCATCGTACACGAAAATGTCATCCCACCTGCCAATAACTAGTGTTTGCTGCCTGTTGAACACAATGAATGGGATAACGATCGCTAGTTATAAACCTTGTGTTCTGCGCCTCCTCGGGCCGTGCCGTCGCTAGTTGAACCTTAGGGCCAGAAGTAGTGAAAAGCCATCCACGAGTTCAAGAAAATCTGCTTAGGGGCCTTATTGGTGAGAGATGAGGAATGCAATGAAGAGATATAATATGGGTAGTTACAGAAGCTTGCGGTCCCGCGTCATAATATGCTGACGGGTTAACTAACCATGCAAGTGTCATTAGTTATTAGTTAATATGGTCAGCATTGAAATCTACCTTGCCTCAAACGATAACATCTTTCATAACATTTCCTCACAGCCTTGCACCCCTCGCCCAGGTAGTTAAACCTTCGGTCGACGTTTATTGTCCATATACTCCGTACCTATTATCGTGAAAATGGATGCCTCTACCCTTATAGTTGCTGGCTTCAATTTCACTCGGGCAGAGACCTTCGGCACCGCGGTTTATCGGTTTGTAGCCGACCGTTCCTTGGTCGTATACGGAATAGACAAGTTCGCCTGGTGCCAGAGTCAGTGGTGTACGTCAATCTTGGAGTGGCTTTTACGTCCTGGTACGGGTTTCCTTCGAATCCTTCTACAATCCTTCTATTTCGAGAGTTATATCTAAGTTTAGACTCTTAGATGTCCTCGCGGTCATCACCGCATGGTGGATAACCTTCGCCATCATCACGACGCTCCTACTGACGATTGGGTTTGGGCCGGCTGGGATAGGGTTAGGTAGCTATGGCTCTTGATCCCAACCTTTCAACTCCTCTGCAAGTTTAAACAACTAAGCTCTCCATCGTCAAGGTACCGCCGCGGCCGCATTCCAATCGTATATGTACGGCGGGTTTACTCCAGCTGGCGGGATATTCGCTACCTTAACAAGCATGGCGATGCTGGGTACCTTTGCTTTACCGGTCGTGCTGTTTGCTTCGATATGTGCAACTGGTGTGGCATGCCTTGTATGGAGCCTTGGAGTTGGAATATAGTTAAAGACCAGGATGAAATCTTGGACATTCGCTTAATATCCCCTCCTTATCTGAGATACGATACAAGATACTAGGTGGGATCTGGTCGGTTAGGTGGATTTGAGTAGAAAGAAAAAATCAGAACGTTATTTAGATAACTAATGCAGTGAATATGTGGTTCTACTCTGGCTTGATGTAGTACTCGCTATCAACATCGCACTGAACATGGGTGTCCGGCAATACACCTCTCTGCAAGAAGTTCCTAATATGTTTTGTCGCGCAGGCTGACTGGACCGCCTGGGAACAGTGTCCATATCCCTTTACCTCGACTAGCCTTGATCCCCTGAAGGATTGAGTAGCAACCTTGGCCGATGCAAGCGGACAGACAGGGTCAAAAGTCATTGAAAGCACCAGCAGAGGGTGGGCAGTTTCGACATCATCGCGTGGGGTAAACTTGTGAGTTCGAGGGATACGCCATTGCTGCTTTGCGTAGTATAACTTGTTCTGTGAAAAGGCAAACGAGCTGTTCGCATACCAGGGAAGAAGCTGGTCGAGCAGTTCTGTACGCTCTTGCGGCCAGTGCTTTTCTCCCGATAGCCCATCGTTAAGGTGGATGACGATGTCTCCGTCGCCGGTGCGCATAAAGGGGTCTCCGAACCCGTATGCCAGGAATGCCTCGGTGGCATCTCCTTGCATCAGCTTTGCCAGGCGATCGGCAAAGGAATACCACCCACTTGGCCTATATAGAGCCCTGTACACCCCATTGAACCACAGGCTATGGTAGTCAAGAACGCCATACAGGGTGTTATTGACGTACACGCTCCTCGGCTCGGCCTTGATCTCCTTCACGGTGTCCATAAACTTTTGGTACAGATCTTGCGAACTATCTGCGAGAGCGGCTAACGGACATTTGGAGCCAGCTTTGATACATTCATCGAAGATGCCAAAAAGGACATTTTCAGAGTCGATAAAGTCTTTATCCTCAATTAACGCATTGTACCAGTCGAAATGGTTGGCGATGCCGTCGATGATAACCCGCTTGGACCGATCAGGGAACATTGTCGCATAGGTCTGGCCGAGGATGCTACCGTAGCTAAACCCCCAGTATACCATATCATCCTGTCCAACCGCATCCAAAATACTATTCATGTCGGCCGCCGTTTGGGGAGTGTTGATATATTTACCCATATCGCCCATCGTGTCAGAGCAGGCACGGGCGAAGTTCGTCGTCCAGGCATAGACATCTGGGCTATCTGCAGAAGGATCTGTCGCTCTGACCTCTGACAGATGCTTCCGGGTTTCCTGGTCCGGGTAGCAGGTCGCTAGGGGCTGCGATGAATTGACGCCTCGCGGGTCGAAGGAGAGGAGATGATGGCTTTCGTCAATTACAGCCATGAGACTTATAGCATCACCATATATGAAGGCAAACCCGCTGCCGCCAGGCCCACCGGGGTTAACAAGCAGATTCTGGGTCGCATTCTTCCCACGCATTCGAACTAAGGGAATGCTGAACGTCTCGTTGTTGTTGGCATTGTTCGTATTGAAATGTTCCTTTGGAACAGTGATGGAACTGCATTCTAGTGGACGGTCCTCAACTTGGCCACATGGCTCCCACTTGACCTTCTCGCCAGGGTATGTGAGCTTGTCACCCTTCGAAGGCTGTCTCGACTGGATAATCGAAGCCTGTCCTTGCCCAAAAACGAAACCGGTAGTTTCTATTAGAAACCCGCAGAAAATCGTAGTCCCTACAACGAGAAGTGCATAGTAAACGCTCCGGCTTGATTGCCGATGATGTGTTAATTCATGCATACCGTGCTGCTGCATGTCTCCATAAAGTGGCTGAGAAAAAGTTCCAATCGTTGCCCACAAGCTGGCCTGGAGGGTGATGGTTGATTGGCGTGGTTTCCAGCCACATCATATTTATAAACTGCGATTTCTCTGCTGCGTCATGCTGCTGCCTGGTATAATAATAATTGAGTTGAGTTGAGTTGATACGGGAGACAAGACTTGACCTTGCAAGTGACCGCAATCAAACAATGTGGGGAGCCGCGGGTATAGTGCGCACATCACCGTATCTATACGAGATGTAGCCTGGAGGAGGTTGGAGCAAGCTGTCAAGACGCTTATAGACGGGCCGGTCCGGTATCCTTAGGTATCATTAGGAGCCATGTAGTGAAACATGCATACTTACAGAATCGATGTCCACGATGGAAATGCAAGAATCTCCCGCAACATCTGCCTCATAGTATCAACATATATACCTAACCTGTTCCTCAGCCATATTCACAAATACTTAAATGCCCCAAACACGTAGTCAAATAACTAGCTTCATTCCTGTTCCGCTTGCCGAGCAAAATACCCGTCTTCGGCAACAGTATTCTTTCGCCCCAGGGCCGAATTCCTGCCTGGATACCTTCCGAACAGTTCCATGAAGTAGATATTCTCACGTACAATCTCAACGCCCATATCAGCCCACTTCTTCTCTTCCTCAGTCACACATCGTTTTCTCAGTCTTTCAAACAGGCAGCGCGCAGCTAGCAGCGAGACCAGGCTCTCGTTGTGTAGGAGCGGCAGATAGAAAGCCGACGCCTGGATGACAGGAAGATCTGTATCAAACCCACGTATGATTGCTCTTGTCGCTATCTCATGGGCCTTTGAGTCGGCACTAAATGCATCAGGCGAGCCGCGGAATAGGTTGCGGGAGAACTGGTCAAGCAAGACAAGGAGGGCAAGACAGCGTTCGGAGTTTGCTGTCCAGTGGTCGAGCTTATTTTGACGGGCTTTGAGGACGAGGTCGCCAAAGTCGGATTTTATCTCCTCATCGATACCTGCAGGAGCATCGATCCATTCAAAGGGAGAGCGGCTGAACCAGAAGGCATTGATACGCTTGACGTCTGCGTCCGCGCTCATGGCAAGTTGTCTCGGGTTTTTTCTTTGCTTGGAGCCTATCTCTGGTCGATGGATGGTCTGCCGCAGCGGAAAGTGGTTGATATTCGATGTTCGATATCAATTGATAGTTGGTAGTTGGTAATTGATAACTTGTGTTACTAGGGGTAGTGGATGGCTTCTCTGATAGTTAGTTCCATACTGAGATTTGGTAGGATTATTCAACCGCTAATTTACTCTCTGCGAGTCCCAAGACTTCGAATTTCAACTAGTATTAATGACTAAGCAATCATAGCCAATGGCTGTGTATTCTAATTTTTATAAGAGCCTATTGGCTAGTCTTCATCCACTTTCTTATAGATAAGTACTTAACGCGCCTGTCCTAACGCGTTATTCAATATTAATAATCATGTTACTTATAATTAGATCTGACCCACAAATTTCCTAATCAGTTTTAAAATACAGTTTAAACGTAAGAATACAAAAAAGACAAGCTCTGGCTAATAATATTGTGTTCTTTCGTGCTTAACTGGTACCAGCTTAAAGTTTAAAAGGTCTTGGGTCTCATATTGCTAGACGAGGAGATAATAATTATATAGAAGTGCACATGCTCGCCCTAAAATTTCGATCGCATGGAGCGATTACGATTCTTCGACTGCCATGCACCCAGCTGCGGGAATGACATATGACATACGAGGGTACACGCAGAACTCTCTGTATCTGCATATCTGATAACTAGTGGTTTCATGAAAACGTGTTATGCCGCAATCTCTACCCGTGGGGGCCAATATGTTGGGGTAAACCCAATTCCCGTCCGCGCATACTCCGTATACGCGTCGCAACATCAAGGCGGGCAGAGTCAAAACTAGTATACCCTGTTTACACCTGAGCCAAATGCACCTAGTAGGGACATGCTATTTAATCAGAACTCGCTGGTTGGGATGGGACCCATGGATCTAAGCTAAGCCTAGCTATAGGTCAGTTGAGTAGGAGGGAGTATCTGTATGTGTATGTAATACTCCGTATAGAGTAGCTACAATGCAATGGGTGCTTGTAGGCAGGATGTCGCGTTCCTCTTTACTCACAGGAGCCAAGGCTCTATTTTGACGGGCTTGGCGACCCACTAACTCTCGGGATGAGCCTTGCGGCCTGCGCGGATCCACGAGGTTGGAACTTAACTTAATCTCCGAATTTTATCCGGGTTTCAGAGGCCGCTCTCTCCCTTTCCCCATTGCAGTGACATATACTGATAAGTACCGTAGTACTCCGTACGGATATACATATTACACATTGGACGGCGCTGAGGATAAAGGTCTTCATCAGGATCAAGCGCCCGCTCACCACGATACAGATAGCCCACCTCTTCGTCTCCTCACCGTCTGTCCCCGACAAGACCACCGTCTGCGGACGTTCTTCCTTTTAGGGCTAGCGGACAGACCAATATGCAGCATATATACATCGAATCTGTGAAAGTGAGGGGTCTACTGGGATATTTATGCTAGTTCTTCTTTTCTGGGCCTGGCTGTTGCTATAAAGGCTCGAGAAGGGGCCGTTCTGTTAGGGAAATAACAGGTCGAGTCGCCAATCTCTCTTGTCAATCTCTCTTGTGAGAAGTTGGGCTACGGTTTGTGCGGGCGGCTAACTAGTTATCTATCACAACCTAACCCTTTGCATCCTCCGACTTTTAAGCTTCTATTACATCTGGCTAACGACCTAGCTAACTATATGGAGAGGCTCTCCACAGCTCCATCGCGCCGACGTCGTAGGCCGACGTTAGCATGCGAGCCATGCCGACGCAAAAAGGTCCGGTGAGTAGAAGCCCAAAGCGAACTGAATACCAATGAGATGAATGTGAAGAGGAAAGTCCCTAAGTTAATGTCTAGCAGATGTAATCGGAATCTTCCCTGCGAGCAATGTTCTCGCTCCAAGACGGAGTTATGCACTTATTTGACCGACGATGACTCTCTTGCTGAAGGGTTTGGCCACAGCCGTGTGACGAGCCGCATGACGCCGCCACGCTTACCTGCCGCAGGTTCTACGAGCAGAAGTCATTCCACAGCCCCCCATGAGACATCGGACCAGATCTCTATTCTCAACTCCCAAGACACCAGGCCGGCAGCTCGTGTGCCTACGAGTGGCTTTGCTTTACCTACCCTCAGCGCTTCCGACCCGATATCTAGATTTCCCACCCACTCGTTCCCTGTGAAAGACTCAGCTATCAGTCCTGATATCGGTCAAACTTTAACCTTAGATGTTGATTTTTACACTGCCCCTAAAGCTTTAAATACTGGGGCAACCTCGTCATCAACAGCCTACGATGAGAGTGCCGTAGTTCGAGGAATCTTCTCAAAGACAAGATTCTTTGGTCAGAGCCATTGGATGAACAGTATATATCAGGTACGTAACTAATCTACTAGCAGTATTTCTTCCACTGCCAATGCAATCTGGAAGGATCCCACAGGTGGTGCATCTGCCTGGGACCCGTCCAATCCATCACCTCAACTTCAAGCAATAAATACTCATTACCACAAGTTCTCTCAAGTGTACGAAGTGATCCAAAAGTTCGAACTAGACGAGACCTCCGAAGCTCGCACAGTTTACGATAAATGCAAAGGCCTGGCCAGGGCTATCAAGGCCCAAGAAATCGCCAAACAACCCCCCATTGCGGATATCCTGGATCATGTTCCTCCCAGAAATATCGCCGAACCACTTGTGCAGGCATATCTCCAAACCTTTGAGTCTATATTCCGGATCTTACACGTGCCATCATTCTTACGTGATTTTAATAACCACTGGGTTAATCCCAGCTCGTCAGGTCCGGATTTTATCATTAAGCTACTGCTTGTAATGTCCATTGGCTCTATATTTTCTCCGGATCGCAATATATCGGCCTCCAACTATTCCAGTGCATCCCGATGGATATACACAGCGCAATCATGGTTAAATTCTCCGTTTGAGAAAGGCCGAATCAATATTTCCGGGATCCAGATTTATTGTCTTCTACTCCTAGCACGCCAGGCGAATGGTGTTGAGGGAGACCTAGTTTGGATCTCAGCGGGCTCTTTACTAAGGGCTGCAATGCACATCGGACTTCACATTGGCCCGTCACGCTTGGCTGGGGTGACTTTCTTTAATCAAGAAATCCGAAGAAGGTTATGGGCGACCGTCCTTGAGATTGTAGTGCAGTCCAGCATGGATGCTGGTGGCCTTCCCCTGGTCCCTATACAAGATATAGATTATGAGCCGCCTTCTAATATTGATGACGAGCAACTGGAGGACGCCAATGAGGATATAGCTACGACACACGTGAAACCTTTAAAGGAATATACCATGACCTCCGTTCAGATTGCATTAATGAAATCATACCCCTTAAGGCTGGAGATCGCGCAATATCTAAATAACTTCCGCTCAAAACCTTTATACGAAAAAACACTCCATCTCGCTTCTCGCCTATCTTCCTTCTGTCGAGACAGTTATATCCTTTTCAATTCCTTCCCTACTAATATGCCCCATCCCACTCCGTTCCAGGTAAACATGCTGGACCTGCTATCATATCGGTTCCTACTCGCGCTTCACCACCCTTTTGCAATAAAGGCAAAAGCGAATCCTACCCTATACTTTTCTCGCAAAGTAAGTATAGAGGTAGCTGTTTCTCTTCTGTCCCGCTCCCCCCAATCGTCTGATGATAACTACACGCATCTTAAAATTACTGGTACTGGTTTATTTCGTGATGTGCCTGTGATAGCTATTAGCACAATATGCGAGGAACTTATCCACCAACTTGAAGAGGAAAAGTCCTCATTTATGCCTGTTTCGAGCTCATTTTCGCGCCAGGACCTGCGGAAAATTATCGAAGAATATGTCAACCTCCTTGATATGAGAATAAAACATCGCGAAACAAATATTAGAGGCCATATACTGTTTTCATGTGTACTCGAGCATATTAATGCTATCCAAACCGGCCTGCCAGTCAATCAATCCATTGCCGCTGCTCTAAAGAGGAGCTTGGATCAGTGTTATGGTACGCTAAAAGCCAGGGCGAAGGCATGCGAAATTGATACGCCATCAGATACCCAACCAGATAACATACTGGGAATGAATGGGGCGCATGATTGGCTTTTTGATGATGAAATGGTAAGTTTTTTACTCTCCCTGCTCTGTTGTACAAGTGAATTAACATCTCAACTCAGTTTCAGGATGCCGGGACGGATTTTGATCCTTGGCTCTCATGACCCTTACACGGAGACCTTGCAACACTGTGATCATGTTTTGGGCAACACTGAATCATTCGGCTATAACTAGTTACATGACGGAAAGCAAGATGAGAGGAAAGGAAAGAACTCTGATGCTCAGAAGTAGAGGCAACAAGAAGCCTAAAGGCACAGTTATCGATTGGACCATCTCAATTTTTCGAAAAGATTCCTTTGCCGGTCGAATACTTGGCAAGAACCACCAGAAGAGTTGCCAAAAAATTCACTGATCCACTGAAGTATGCCATTGAGGCAAACCCCCGGTCGCTAAGGAGTGCTCCGTTAATAGGGGGCCCCACGAGTGCCGATATAGCCGCGATCCCCATACCCATACCCATATATGTACCTATATTCCTGGGGTCTTTAGGGATAGAGGTAAAAGCGACTGCCATTCCCGTGGTGACTGCACCGGAGCAAAAGCCAAAGAAGCAAGCGAATATAATTAGCTCAGCTTTGGTATAGACCTCCGGCCAGCAAAATGTAAGGAGACCACTAGTAATAGTGGAAGCAAAAAACATATTAAAGCGGCCCAGTTTGTCGGCAAGGATGCCAGGGATAACTCGACCCACAAATGATGCTGCATTAAAAATAGCCGCAAGATAAAAAGCCAAAGAGACGCCCACGCCTTGGGTATAGGCATAGATAGGCAAGTAGAATAACGGTGTAAACACACCGAGAAAGCTAAAGAAGCCCGCGGCGACGAGATAGAGATATGAGGGTTCTGTAAATGATGACCAGAGGAAGAATTGTTTTTTACGCGGTGGGAGGCGAGCCTTAATAGCAATGCAGGATGGAAGAAGAAGCCCTAGACTTACGAATCCCACAATGCGTATTGTCCACCCAAAGCCTAGCTTTGTTTCATTTAGCATCTTATTAAGGGCGATGGGCCAGACGATGCCTCCTAGGGAAGACCCTGCTATCCCTATTCCCATGGCGGCGGCACGCCTCTTGTTGAAATATTGGGGTCCTGCAGACATCGCCGGGAACATAGACATGCCATTAGAGAGCCCACCAAGAATGCCTTGAGCCAGCACAAACTGATAATACTCCTTGCAGACGCTGGTCAACATAATGCTCGCAATATAGAGAGATGCCGCCGGCCAAATAACCTAACATCCTAAGATCAGCCTTATCGTCGTTTAATGGGTATACTTCAATACCACCTACCTTGGCTCCATAGAGGTCAAATAAGGGTCCTCCAATCACACCTCCCCCAAACACGAAAAAGGCCTGCGTGGACCCAATCCATGATATTTCTGATGCAGTGCGGTCCTGTAGCTGATTAACCTGGTACCAGCCCTGGAGGACTCTATAGAATGCGCTTAGTACGATGCCCCCCTAAACAGCTTAAATGGCATGATTGAACGGGGCACTCACCCAAACGAATTGATGACACCCAAGGTGCAGAACGCTATCCCAGCCGTGCCAATGGCAACGGCCCATGCTCGAGTGCCTCCTTCAGGGAAATCATCAAGGATGTGGTCATCATCTTTGCCGGCTTCGTCTGACTGATTGGGATTAACCACCTTCTCGCAATCTTCTTCGGAGTTTCTGCGGGAAAGCTCCGGCTCGGAGGGTGCCTGGGTGTGTTCGGCCATTTTGTGATATTGTAGGTTGACATTTTGAACAGACTGGAAGAGTGAGCCTTTCCGTCATTTAAAAGGATCTAATAAGGAATTGAATTGCCGGTCCAGATCTTGCAACATAAAAGTCATACCCGGAGATAATGACTCAGCCGGGCATCGGAACTGTCCGCTCGGGGATAAGGGTCCACAGCTGGACATCGAGGCTTGGCAGGGCGTGACATCTCCGGGCGGCGGAGCGGAGCGGAGCGGGAATAAACGGACTGCTCTTGTTCTCTTAGCCATACCCATTTCTTCGCTGCGCGGTGGGAGTCCTGCCTGGTCAACACAAGCGGAACATGGGCAGGCTTGAAACACAACAAAAATACTTTCGACATTCAGTGCCACACTACTCCCTCTTGTGGGTGGTTAACTCTAGTTATTGGAGAGCCTGTATAAACTGTGCTCTCGCAACACTGTGTCATCCAGTATCGTCCGGTTTCTAAGGGAGCTTGGATCAAACCACTATCATGTTGCACCTGTCAGGAGTATGTATTCAATCGAGAGAGTTCCTGCTCTGTCGGAACTGTTGGCGTGGTGGGATAAGATGGAAGAAATTGTCCAACAGCGCCTACATCTGATCGCCGCATGCGGTGCTTTGTTCTCTGTGGCTCTGGTCTTCCACCAATTGAGCAGCCATGCAGAGGCATGCATTTTTTTCGCATTCGATCACCTCCAGGCACTTGTGTGATATAGCTATCGCACCTAATCAGCCGAAAAATATCAGTAGTTTAGAAATGCAAAGGGTCAAAGGATTAAAGTACACCTCGAAACAAGACACATTCCTGCACTACCTTGTACTTGAGGCGATCCGCCATCTTTCCGGTGTCTGTAAGTGTTTCGTGTTGGTCTAGATCATAACCGCTTTCAACAAGCACCTGTCCACCTGGGGAACCGATGCCCACTGCTTTCTGTCCCAAACGGTTCCTGGAAATGATACCGCGCGAGTGGTGGTATAGTATGATACGTTTTGGCATCGCGAACGGCCAGTGCCTGGGAAAGATATGGCAGATCTGAATTTGAAATGGTTACTGTGGTGCAGGTGTATCAGCTGAAGAAGGTGCAGCAGGATAGTGAGGCGGAACAGAAGGGGTCCCGGAAGAATCCTCCTGTGATTGAGGTGGAGTTCCTAAAATACTAAAAGAGAGAATCGTGGAAACGTTGCTGGCGATCGTATAGTTTGATTTGCCTATGATAGTTAACAATATGGTTGTGTAAGTTAAAAAGCAAGTTATCGTTGATGCGATTGTTACGAGCACGGAGGCATGTCGTAATGGTCAGTAAAATAAAAATTAACTTCTAATATACCTAACTGACACAACGAGTTATCTTGTGCGTATAACTAATTGCCTTCGCTAGGGCGAAACCTGCAAGCTTTTGGGGGGGCGATGCTGTCCTTGTTTTCTTCTGCGGGCCCTGTACCCATCTTATACACATATACGGGCCTAACCAGGGGGTCCCTGACGGCGATACGAGACTGCCTGATAATGAGCACCCTCACACTCTCTAATTCTAAAAGAACCCGAAGACCTTAGAGCCGAAGTTAAAAAAGGAGAGAACTCTTGTGAGAGAAACGATGGAGCGAAGACTCGACCGACTGTTTGTTCCAGTTTATAACTATTTGTTGAAAATATATTTCTGACTGGAGACAGTCTTCTTCAATTGCACCTCAGAACTGCTAGCTACAACGATGGATGCTGGTTTAGTGTACAAGACTTTGACGTCGCCCGCCGCTGTGGCCGGCGGCATCTGCCTCGCGGCGGCCATTTACTTGTGCTACCCGTACGTCCTCCCTCGAAAGCAGGCGCTGAAGTTTCCTGTTGTGTTGGTTGAGGACGGAGGCATGGACAACCGCACTGCTGTGGAATACGGCTATTCAAAGGTACGTACACTATGCCCTGACAGCTAATTATTTAAGTTGCTTGCTTACACTGGAAACAGTACCCCGATCAGCCGTTTGTACTGCAGTCAAAAACGAGAACATTGGTTCTGCTGCCTCCCAAGTACTTTGATGAGATTCGTTCCATCCCTGAGTCGAAATGGAGCGGAAGGCTGTCAGCGAGAAACCTCTTCCAGAGCCGCTACACTCGCATTGGCGATAACAGCCACCAGGTCGTTCACACGGTCAAGACCGACCTGACCCGTCACATCGGCAAGACGCTTGATGCGCTTCAGGACGAGATGGAATATGCCGCTGAGCAGGCCATTGGTGCATGCGAAGACTGGACGCCCATCGTCCCCTATCCGGCACTCCTACGCATCGTCTCGTTGATATCGGGCCGTGTTCTAGTTGGTCTCCCCTTCAGCCGGACAGAGCAGTGGATTCAGATCTCTATCAACTTCACTATGCTCTGCTTCGGTGCGGCGCAAAAGTATGCAACCTATTCGTCGTGGCTGCGCCCATTTGTCGTCCCGTTCTTGGATGTGACTAGCAACATTCACAAACAGCGCAAAGCTGCCACAGCGCTGCTAGCACCCGTCATCACTGAGTATAAGAACTCCATGAAGTCAGATGAAGAACCGACGAACATGATCCAATGGGCGCTCGCAAGTGCCAAAGACGACTCCATGACGGCTGAAGAGCAGGCAGACATCCAGCTCACGCTTAGCATGGCTGCTATTCGTAAGTGCACAAACTGGCGTTCGTATTCGAAGGAGACAGAATTGCTAACATAGTGTTGCAGACACAACATCAACGACAGTAATGATCTACCACAACAGCGAAAACATTTTCGATGCGAAGTAAACTAACTTGTTTCCTATTAGGTCCTTTACTGCCTTTACGATCTCTGTACTCACCCCGAATGTATTGAGCCTCTGCGCGAAGAGATCAAGACTGTTCTTGCCGAAACAAATGGCCGCCTTGTTAAGCGCAACATGGCCAAGCTACGCAAGCTTGACAGTTTTATCAAGGAGTCGCAGCGCCTGAGCCCCCCTGGTCTAGGTATTTAGTTATATCGTGAAAGCAGCCGAGATCGAAAAAAAGCAGCTAATTGGAATTTCATCATAGTCGCAATGCAGCGTATCGTGGTATCTGACATTACGCTCTCCGACGGTAGCTTTCTTCCCAAAGGCACCGCCGTTGGTGTGCCAAACTGGGGCGTCACGCGCGACGATCAGCTTTGGACGAACCCTGAGACATTTGACGGCTTCCGTTTTGCCAAGTTACGTGATGAGGCCGGTGCAGAGCACAAACACCAGTTTGCAACATCCGGACCGGATTCGCTGAGCTTTGGCTACGGGCCCCAGGCGTGCCCTGGACGCTTCTTCGCCAGCAACGAGATCAAGGTGCTACTGGCTCATCTATTGCTCAACTACGACTTCAAGATGGAGGCGGACCGCCCGCAGAACATCATCCATGAACTTACTGTCATGCCTAATAGAGGCGTAAACATTCTCTTCAAGAAGCGCGTACAGGCGGAGCAGTAAAAGATATAGATACAAGAAAATAGAAAAGGGATAATAGTTTATAGACTTTATTTTACAGCTTTATACTTTATTTCTATGCAGATTTGACAAAATCTACAATAGTCGTCTCCAATGGCGTCCATGAGAGACCCAGCAATGCGTTCGTCTTGTCGTTGTTGTAGCTAATACCAAACGCTCCAGCATCGCCCTTAACGTCAGGAGCAGGAAGTTGGTCCTTGAAGGAGTACTCTCCCGCACGCATAATCTCAGCAAGCCGGAAATTGCTAAAGCGTCCACCGACAGTGAAGAGGCGCTTGCCGCCCGCATCGGAAAGCTCCATGCCGCGAATATGGGCTGCGGCGACATCGCGGACATCGACGTAGATATTGACTGGTCCAGCAGGCGGGATTTGCTCTTTCCACCTGCCAGATATGATATCTGAGAGCGCTTGGTTGGACATGTTTATCGAGCCGGGCGAGAAAAGATGGGGAAGAACAGGGCCAAACACAACTGGCGGGTTAACTGTGACGAGGTCAAAGTTGGGCTTGTGGTCTGTAGCGTAGTCCCAGGCTGCTCGCTCGGCGAGTGCTTTAGCTAACATGTATGCTCGACCGGGGCCCTGATTAAGAGCCTTCATGTCACAGGGATTCCACGTTTCTTCACTGAACGTTGCCGTCGGGTTTGTTACATCAAGCATGGCTGCAATGGAAGATGTGATGATGATGCGGCGAACCTGTGGCGCATCTCGCTGCACCGCGCGCAGCACATTTGTTGTGCCGAGTAGAGCTGGGTCAATGAGCTCCGTCTTTGCATCGGTAAACTTGAGAGTGCATGGACTGGCCGTGTGCATCACAACCTCAATGCCCGGCAGCTTAACAACTTCGTCAAAGGCCTGTTCGTGTGCAATCTCGGGCACGATAACCACCTGGAGACGTGCCGTTGCATGTTTGTAACCGGACACGACTGTGTCTGCTTTTTCCTGCGAGCGTACTGTGGTGACCACGTAATGCCCTTGGTCTAGGAGCTGCTGGATAATGTGCGCTGCGATGTTGATGCCGAATTAGTCGCTGCCGCCTGATTGTACTCTTTTAATATTCGTTTGTTTGTTAACTTACAAGCAATGAAGCCTGTGCCTCCAGTAACGAGAACCTTGGTCATGATGATAAGTAGCAGTTGGCTAACCAACACAAAGGACCTACAGTTGAGTGCAACTCTTTGATACTACCGGCTATATTAGAAGATTAGGCGTAAGTTAAAATGATAACTCAGCCAAGGTACACCTAGTGAAAGAGGGGAGTTTACCCGATCAGGAGGTCTATTTTACTCTTCAAAATTAATTTTATAGCTATAGTTATAAATAGAATAGAGTTTAAGCTCACAGAGTGGAGCACGTAAATCTTTTAGTGAAACTTAATATAAAATAAGATTAATAAGATATAAAAGTTAAAATACGAGGTGTCGGCACGTTACCGGCTTTTACAGACTCGTAACTTAAAATTTTATCGGGAAGTCTATTCAATTCCTACTTGTTTACAAGACATGCCCTATTGGTTCGCCGACAAGCCCACTTGGTGCTGTTGTTAAACTGTAATGTCAGACCCTCTTGCCTGGTTGAGGGACCGGAGTAAAAACTTTTGTTTTAGCAGTTCAGCTCCTCTGTACCAGCGCATTACCCCATACTGGGCGTGGGGGTCACAGTTCCTTCGGCAGCCTCGTACTTTGATGCATATCAGTAGGCAATGCTTACAAACGATCTTAAATTTTCGTTTTGCATCAACAGTCGCATCTGTTCGCTTTGCAGAGACAGCCAAACGTATATATCATCGCTTGATGGGGGTGACGGCACAACAACAGCGAGTGTACGAGGGTAGGCCACAGGAACAGCTAGAACAGGCGGCCCAAGACCAAAGTTGACGGAGTAGAAAGCCAGCCGGCTTTGATTTGAAAAAGCCTGGCAGATCATCAGAGAGTAGAGAACGCGTGCCTTGTTACCGAGTAGGCGGATTGACTGCATGGCGCGTTTGATGAGCTGCTCGATGGTGTTTCGATCCGCTGTATCAACGGCCTTGCGGCATTCGAGAGCCACTGTGATGAGAGATTTGTCGCAAATAGGCTCAAAAAGTTTATCTGTTGACACTGTAACGAAGAGTCCAACGGCGCAGTTGCCTACGTATGTATCTGGTATGTCTAGACGATGCCGAAAGTCGCATGGGACGATGGCCTTGACTTTGGCAGAGCCCGGTCTCGCAGATGTGCTCTGTGCATATGCCATAGTGAAGAGTGCCACGATCAGATCATTGTCGGAGATGATGTTGCCTGATTGCTTTGCTTTATCCCTGACTGCGTCCATACTGTTTCGGTTAATGGTAAACAAGTGACTAACCGAGTCACCAAATGTCAAGTTCTTCTTCAAGAAAAAAGCGAGAATGCTTAGGAGAAGAGACAGCAACAGGCACAGCGGATATAACATCCAGGGGAGCGGCGAGTGCTGTACTGCAGCTGGCAACTGCCGATACATAGCATCTCTGCTCAGTATGGCTTCTGGCTTTGGTTGTGACGTGTTGCCTGGACTCTCAAGATCTCGGCAGCAAGTTGCCCAGTAGTTGATAAAGGCTACAGCCCCCTTAGCATCGCACGCAGCATGGGCAATGCGAACCAAGATTGCGATACCGCCGTTGTTTGCAAAACGACATAACCGCACGCGAATGAGCTTTGCTGGACTTTTATCTCCAACACTAAGCAGCAAAGGATCATCCACTTTAAGATCCGAAGGCCAATGACTGTAGTGAAAGCCTCTCTGTTTGAGCTCGCCAAATGGAAGATCGCTCGTCGTTGTCTCCCAACCTGGCACGTTGGGGCTCTCTGGATTAACAACAATGCTCATTGCGTTCAAGCCGCTGAGCTGTAATTCCCCTGCAAGAATTGGAAACTGCCGTAACGCTCGGTATAAGCCCCTATGGAGGCGTTGCTCAAGCTTGAACCCATCTTCGCCTGTAGAATTGTCAAAGAAGAAACAATTGGAGATGTAAAGGTGGCTAGCGATGATATCTAGAGGCGACAGAGGGTATACTGCCTTGGGCAGGTCTTTCAAAGCCTCGTCCATGTTGTCATCTCAGTGTGGTTAACTCTGTGACTGAGATATTCAAAACCCAGCAGCAGTCAGCTGTCCATCGGCAACTCCCACAGGCAGGATGGTTTGTCACGGCGCTCGGCAAAACGTCACAATGGCTGCATAAATCCGAACGCAATTTGCAACGAAGCTGCATTCACTGCCACCACTTCGTCACTGCTTCCTCGGCGTCTACTCCGTAACTTCAGGGGGCGGAGGCTCGTATCGGTGGCGGGCTGTGGATCACGGTGGAAAAACACCCTCGTATAACTAGTTAACTTACTACGCGGGCCCTGTCCAAAGGTGACTTTCTTTTATCGGCTTGAATGTAACCATAACGAGTTATAGAAAGTTAAGTATGGGAAAAAGCAAGGCATAGTTCATTATTATCTCGCCGCATCGTCAAGTCAAGCAACAGCTGTGACTGCAGAGTCCCTTTCGTTGTCGAATCTAGTTAATACAGCAATGAACAGGCTAGCAGAATACCCAGGGACACTGCTACTGGCCGTAGCAGGCTCGTACGTGCTATGGAAGCTGCTTCAAGGCTTCGTCTTGTCGCCTCTTCGACGGATTCCTGGCCCAGTGCTCGCGCGAGTCACAATCTTGCGAGCTCTACGCAACAGGCTACCAAAAAAGGTCATTCAAACGGCTCTCGCGGACTTTGAACGCTACGGCGACATCTATGTTTCACGGCCAGACACCGTCACCATCAGCCATCCCAAAGATGTCCGCGCTGTGCTCGGCGCAAGGGACTCATGGAAGATTGACGTGTACCAGGGCCTCCAGGACCCGGTCCTGAAGAATCTCGTAACTTTCAACCACCCACAGCTTGCGAGCCAAAGGCGACGGCAAATAAGCCCCTTTCTTAACAGCAATGCATACCTTGTGCAAATGGAGGACGCCATTCTGGAGCACGGCGCTGTCGCTCTGATGGCCAAGTGGAATGCAAAGCTTAGGCAAAGTGAGGAGGAGGTCGAGATCGAGATCAATTACAGAAATGATACACAACTGGCTACTTTTAATATCATGAGCGCGCTTGCGTTTGGTCGTGATCTTTCGGGACAGGCGGACACGGACAGCTCTGTTATCGTGGACTGGATTGCAGCAACAGCACTCTACATCGGCGTCAGCATCAATTTCAAGGCGCTGCTGCACTTCCCCTTGTCTCTCATCATAGCTCCATGGCTAGCAAAATATAAAGATTTTGTCCAATTCGGCAAAGAGTCTGTCGCTCTGCGCCGTGAGATGATGGCAAACACTCCCTCCAAGGGCGACCTCCCCAAGGACGTGCTCCAAGCCTTCATCGATGCCGAAGACCCAGACTCCAAGGTGAAAATGACATCGCAGGAGATCCAAGCAGAGAGTGTGGGCATGCAGCTCGCCGGCAGCGAGACTACCTCCGCATCTCTAACCTGGGCACTTCATCTCTTCACTCTCTACCCCGATGCGCTGCGCAGAGCAACGCTCGAAATTCGCAGCCAATTCGACACCAACCACCTCATTAGATACGCTGATTGCAGGAAAGCTCTACCATTCCTAGAATCCTTCATTTATGAAACATTCCGCTATGCGCCAATAACCTCGGGCTTCATGCCACGCACATCGCCAAAGGAAATGGAGTTCCAAGGCCACTTTATTCCAGCGGGGACGAAAGTCGCCTTCAACCTACTGGCTCTAAACAACCGGAGGGACGTATGGGAGACGCCAGAAAAATTTGTTCCCGATCGATTCATTGGTAATGAGGAAGGCAAGAAGAATATATTTGCCTTTTCATATGGTCCACGAAGCTGTGTTGGTCAAAACCTGGCATGGATGGAAATCATGACCATCCTGGCCAATATGCTGCTGCATTTCGATATTGCGCTCCCCAAAGACGCAGTTTACGGGCCAGAAAATCTTGGTGAACTGGGTATCCCGCAGTTAATGGAAACACAGTGCCATATTGTATTTGCGCCGGTTCATCCTGAGCGGGATTGCAGGCTACTTCTGTCACGGAGGAAAGATCTAACTACAGCTATGTAATATAATACGGCTGACCACCTTTTGAACATATTCACCAATCCATTCTTTCTTAAAGTCATGTAGCTAATATTGCTTTTTAAGTAGGTAGTTAGTTATAGTTGTACCCTATCAATTGAAGTTGCTATTGGAGGAATCCGGTGTGGACCTTCTGGCCGACTGTTGCATCCAGGAAAGCGACAGTGCCAATTCTCGTTTCGTTGTCGATGCACTCCATAGCAGCCTCTGCAACCTGTTCGGGCTGCAATCTGGCCAGTCCCATATTTCTCATCTCCTCCTCGGGTGTGTAGCCAGGGCCTGACTTGTCGGTGGGCACGCGGAAGGACATGTTTTTGTCAAAGCCAGTGGCAATGGCAGTCGGCGCCACCGCGTTGACGCGGATTCGAGGCCCGAAAGAGCTGCAGGCAAAAGTAAACTGGGCAGCACCGGCCTTAGCAGCACCATAGGCAGCAATGCTAGCATGCGTCTTGAAGGAGGAGGACGAAGTGATGTTGACAACGTTGGCCTTGATGTCTGGGTGCTCGTTCCAGAACTTGATGGCCTGCTGTGTGGCATAGATTGGAGCAGTCAGGTTGATGGCAATCGTGTCCCTGACGTGCTCAGCTGTGATGGCAAGGAAGGGAGCGCGCAGGTAGCCGGCGTTGTTGACGAGCACGGAGAAGCGCGAGAACTTGGTGACGGTCTCAGCAATCAGCTTGTCGATATCGTCCGTCTTAGCCAGGTCGCAGGCAATGAATACTGCAGTGCCTTCGCCATGCTCCTTATTAATTGCGGCGACAGCTTCGTTGCCCTGCTCGATGGCAACATCGCTCACGACGACAGTATAGCCACGGTGGGCAAGGGTCTGGGAGATCGCAAGACCGACACCGGCGGCACCGCCAGTGACGATGGCGACTTCTTTGGCAGACATTATTTTTCTATTTTCTTGAGGGGATGATGACTTTGGAAGCTGTACGGACGGAGTAGGTGTTCGGAGACAGAGCGTGTGATGCAGTAACTATAAGTGACACACAACCAACCCTCAAGCGGCGATTGGCGTGCATCGACGGAGTGCTCCGTATCATGCCAAATACCTACCTTGGTAACGAGTAAGCCGTGGGCTGTGGCGCAAGCAAGATAAAGACCGCGATCGTGTGCTGTCCCGCTGATGATACTTCCGCCCCGCTGTATACGAGCTCGGAGCAGGGGGTAGACCAAGTATCACACCATCCCTGTAAAATATATTCGATTTAATCAACGCAAGCTTACTCCATATACTTTCCGACTGTATATCACGCAAGCTATCCCTGCCAACGGCAAATAGAAGATCATCGGCGAGTTTTTTATAGGTCAATTGCCTGTTCACAAGGTTTATATAGATATATGTACTCAGTGAACAGGGATTTCCACCTTGTTCTTCTGAAGAGATATATACAACCATAGGGCATTCGGTACGCTTTCGAGTGGAGAAAAGCCTTATTTGTAAGTATAATAAGTAAACCTGGTGATAGGTAACTATAAGGGCTGTATTCTGTGCGATACAGGTGTAGGAGAAGCCTTCTTTGTTTAGAGTGAGTACCTGGCGGCGTAATTCGCCGGTGGGATATAACTAACTAGGCCGTCGAGACATTGTAACTTAGTGATAGATTGAACTTTCTTAGAAACACACTAGAATATTAAAATAAGAAACGAGTTATATTTTTAGTGTAGATGTGTAACTATAAGCTCACTATAATAATAACAGAGTTATAGTAAGAAGCTCGTATCCAAAAGAAGCAATAAATATCACCATATTTTGCTGCTTTGAAGGGACTGGCCTTCATTAGTGCTTAGCCGTTAGTGCTTATGGTTGCAGAGCCCGAGATGGTTTGCCTGTTCACGGTTTGAGGGTGGTCAGCGTACATACTGGCAATCTAACATTCTAGCCTATAGCTGTTATGTACTCTTCGATAAGGAAATGACAGAAGAAGGTAATAAAATAGCAGAAATTTCAAATCCGTCGCTCGTCATCATTTACCAATTATCATTGTTCCTTTAAATAGAGAGCCTCGTCTCCGTAGCGCTCAATGTACCTGCCAATGGCGCTGAGGGTAAAGTGAAACTTGTAGTTGGGGTATCTCATACCCCCTGGGCAGGCAAAAATGCCCTCCAATGAGCCCGGTAGCCACTCGCCAGTGGCCTGCTGTGCGCGCATTAGCCACCGGATGCCTCTCCGCAGCGCATCCCTGTTGGAGCAATGCGCTGAAATGAGACCCATCAGCGCATATGCAGTGCACGTCACCTGGCTGCCAGCAGGATCTTGTATGTAACGCTTCTCCCGGATGCTGATAAGGTCCTCACCCCAGCCGCCGTCATCGTTCTGGTACTGCAACAGGAAGCTGCAGGCATTACGACAGGTTTCACTGTTGCTTTCCCGCAGGCCGACGGTCTCCAGTCCTTGCAGGGCAAACATGGTGGCGTACGTGAAGCACACGCCCCAAGATGCAAGCCATCCGCCGCAGGGGAACTGTGCCTTGATAAGATAGCGCGCACAGCGGGCCATAATGGACTGGATTTCCACAGGACGGTGGTGCGGGTACGCCTTTGTGAATGTATCGAGGCAAAGAAGCACGGAGCTTGTGCACTCTGGATACAGGCTCTCCGTCATGACGTTATCGTAGAGCTCGGTGATATTGAGCAGCTCCAAGGCTTTGGGGCCACGAAGGGGTTCGAACGCCGAGTAGCCATCGCATTTGTTCTCCATGCCAATGATGAGATCGACCGCCTCCGCCAGGCGTTCGTCCGAAACCAGCTTGGGCATGCTCTTGAGCGCTTGAAGCTGAATGACGGCGCGAACAGTCACGGCTGTTGTGTCAGAGACAGCGTAAGCTTGATCTCGCGTGCTGAAGGGCCACGCTCCCTTGGTCGGCTGTCTATAGCCCTGTGAGACGCCAAGCGGATTCTCCGTGATCTGCGAGACCTCGATGAACTTCAATGCTTCGAGCATCGTATTGTGGTTCTCGGGCCGCTGGGCCAATCCTCCGTCAAGCGCCGCCTGCACGGTGAGAGCCGTATCCCAGACGGAGGTGCCATTGGTCCCTGAAGCGGCCATACCCTCGCGGCACATCCACATGGGATCAATGATTCTATCTGCCATGCCCTTGACCCAGTGACTGTTGGCTCCGTGTGCGTGAAACATGACCAGCATGTTGGAAGCGAAGCTGACTGGCGCAATACATAGGTAGCTTGTATTGTGAACCTCCATCTCAACTTGGAAGAGGGCCTCATCTAGGGCTTTGCGTCGCAGGTAAGGCACCTTAACGTATTCATAGTAGCACAGGGCATTTGCTAGCCCCTTTTGTAGCATCGTGGGGGGATGGAGGCGGTCATAATCACTGATGTTGGTCTGTTGCGCGAACCAGTCGATCTTGTGGTAGGGCATATCGTAAAGCTCCTCGCGAAGCTCCTGGATGAGCGGCGTCATTGGCGCGGAGAAGCGGTGCCCAAAGAGATAGCTCATGCTCACAAAAACGTTGCGAGTGTGAACCCACCAGTTGCCAGGGTTCAACGGCAGGAAGCCTGGCGCCAGCAATGGCTCAGGCGCCAAAGGAATCATGCCATCCCACTCATAGGCCCCCAGCGCGCACATCCAGAACTTGCCCCAGGTTGGCAGGGCTCTTGCACTTCCCATTTTAAGCAGTGTATCGCGGGCATCTAGAAGAGCGGGATGTGTCGATGGCACTCCCAGGATCCGCAGCATGGTATAGTTCATAGTGGTGCCAAACACCGTGGAAGGACTGTTGATCCAGAGACCCCAACCGCCGTCCTCATTGACAAAGTTCAACAGATACCTGATCATCTCGTTCTTCATGGCATCGGGCAATGTGATGCCGCAGATATAAGACGAGATAACGATGCCGCTGGTGACGAAGAGAGGGCCATCATCATGACATCCCCAGTGGCCGTCTTGCGTTTGCAGACGCTTGAAAAATGCCCATCCGTTATCGAGTGCGTCTTGTGCAAAGATTGGTGTGCTCATCTTCGGGAGTTCGTACTCCTGGCCAAGCCAGTAGTTTTCTGCGAAAGTCTGCTGTTGTGTTTGAGCAACGTCTTCGTCAACATATTCCCACATATGGCGACCCTCGTGAACCTTGAGACGCCATCTTCTGAGGTCGGTGCCATATTCAGACGCGGCCTTGCTGTCAACGTGGCCGGCAGAACCAGTGACCATCTCAATGTCGGCAACAGGCATGATGTTGGTATATTGATATTGACTTGATTCTCATAGAAAAGTAGAAGAGAGACAGAATCGGAATTATATCCAGAATGACGTTAAAACGCGGATTATACCCGACTGCCGTTCGGGTAACTATCGGTCTCCAGCAAGCCTGCAGGCCAGTTTTCCGCTGGTGCTCGACATGAAGCGTAATATAACTATTCCGGCACCCACTCCAGGCTCAACTGGCCGGCAGTAACAGCCACAACTGGCATCCGTCAGCGTCAGCCCTCGGCTGCGGTGAGTGCATGCTGCAACACTGTTCGTTTTCCCGTGAAACGATCGACACTCTAGACTTCAATCCGTCATCGTATACAAGCTTGGCGCATATACAAACTTGCGTAGACTGCCCTCGTAACCGTGGCCTGTTTGGGGGTATTTGCCATGAAAGCGCTGCATCGCCAACCTCCATTGCCATTGGGATGCCCTCCATATACCAGCACTAATTAAGGAGGGGCCTTTCTTGGCTCAGCACTAAGCATAAGCTGACGGCTAGACTCGTACCGCGCTGAGAAAACAACGAAGAGAAAACAGCTCCTCGGAAGGGCGAAGTTTTTTGCAGCATGCGGACAAAGTAGTATGCAGACTAAAGTTCTCTTGTCTCAGGTTTCATCACGTTCGTGTACGAGGCCGTGTAAGAGTCCGTGTTTGCGGGGTTGACCCCGAGTTAAGGCATGGAAAGATGACCTTGCCACCGCAAACATACTATCATGATGTCGTTTGTAACTCAAGACGGAATGAAGTTGAAAGAGTTTCTGCCAAGACTGTTGTGGGACCTCACGGTGTTAACTAACGACGATTTCGCTCTTCTCCGTATCTTTAAGCTTTATTAGCTTATTTTAATCTTTTTAGTTTATTTTAACTTTTTATCTTATTTTAACATTTTATATTTTCTATAGTTAACTAGTTTAACTAGTTAACTATTTACTTTTCGTAATTTATTGTTTTTCTACATGATGGGGAGAATTCTTTCCAATGGGTGCATCTAGTGGCATGTGCTGCGAGCTGCATTCATTGTACAACTCCCTAGCACAGACAGGCGGTGTTAGAGAATAATAGTCACCGGTACCAACTTAGCTACTGAGAGAGTTGCCCTCAATTCGCAAAGATGCTCGCTTCAGCCATCGATATCAGGGCGTTGCTCGACGTCGTCCATAACTACGGCTATCTATCCACAGCTTGCACGATAGTCGTATTCTTCCTGGGTTATCGTCTTATTTACCAACTCTTCTTCTCCCCTCTACGCCATATTCCAGGCTCAATATGGTCTCGCCTGTTCGCATCTCACTCTGTCCTAAAGCGCGTGCTCGCCCAGGGCACCAGGTCTGTGCAGAAGGACTATGAGTCTTACGGGGATATCTACGTGCTCAAGCCCAATGGTATCAGCATCAGCAACCCCAAGGATATTAAGACTGTCTTAACATCGTACGACTTCGTCAAGACCGATGTGTACAAGATGCTTGACATCAAGGGCCGAGCCAGCATCTTCACCACACGCGTCCCTGCGCAAGCCAGCCAGCGTCGTCGCCAGATTGGGCCTTATATGAACCACGGCTACCTGAGCCGCATGGAGCCATTGATTCTACAATACAGCATTGTTGCAATCAAGAAGAAATGGGATACACAGCTGGAAAAGGCAGACGGCAAGACTATTACCATCAATTTCCGCGACGATACACAATATGCTACCTTTGACACAGTCGGTATCCTTGCATTTGGTCGAGAGTTCCGCGCGCTGGAAACGAACGACCCTACCATCATTCGTTGGATCGAGGCAACAGGATTCTACCTTGGTATGACCAAGAACTTTCCCTTCCTCAACTGGTACCCTTTCTCCCTTCTTATCAATAAGAAGAAGGATGCGTACGAAAGCTTCGTCTCATACGCTGAGAAATCTGTTGAGCAGCGCCGCACGGCTTTAGACGATGGTACAGCAGACCCCAAGCCAGTCGACCTTCTTCAGGCGTTCTTGGATGCTGAGGACCCTGAGTCCGAGAAAGCACGAATGACACCCCACGAAGTCAGTACCGAGAGCATCGCTATGCAGCTAGCCGGCAGCGAGTCTACATCATTTGTAGTGTCGTGGGTGCTGCACCTGCTTACGCTCTACCCCGAATTCTTCAATCGCGCAGTGGAGGAGGTTCGCAGCCAGTTTGATCTTGACCACCTTGTTGGTTTTGATGACTGCAATAGGAAGCTTCCGTTCTTGGCTGCGTGTATCTATGAGACACTCCGCTACTCGCCTATCACATCCGGTTTCATGCCTCGCGTTAATCACACGAACGGCATCGTCATCCAAGGCCACTACATCCCGCCTGGTACAGAGATTGCCATTAATATGATCGGGGCACACGCCAACAAGGATATCTGGGAAAAGCCTTACTTGTATGACCCGACACGATTTCTTGACAACGATGAGGCGAAGCGCAACGTGTTTGCCTTCTCCTACGGACACAGAAACTGCATTGGTAGAAATCTAGCCTGGGTGGAGATGATGGTTATCCTAGCCAACATTCTCAAGGATTACGATATTTCTCTTCCCAAGGGCAGCGTATGTGGTCCGCACAATGTCGACGAGATGGGCAGGCCACGCATCATGCCTACCAAGAGCACTCTCTTCACTACCCCCAAGTACCCTGAAAGAGATTGTCTCATTGTAGTTAGCAAAAGAGTTGAATAACTAGTAAAATCACCTTGTATTTCCCGTCAACTTTGCCACAACTAATCTCCGTCTCCAATAACACGCAAACGCAATGCAAACGCCTTGCCACAAAGTTTTCAGAGAAAAGAGTAAAAAATGGCATAAGCGCTAGGCTGCCTAAAAATGCATCTGTGGATCTCTAGCACAGGGGTTCAGGCCATGTCGTATCTTATACTCCGTACCTGGGCTTGAAAGACTTCGAGCCAGGATTCGGCCGCATGTCACTTATTTAGTTATAACTAGACGTATGGATTGGGTTTTGTGCCAACAGCAGAACTACCAAGTTTTTCTGCATGGTCTCATATTCATCACTACGCTCACAGACAATCGTATCTCACAACAAACATGGACGGACATCTGACGATTCAGCTGCGCAACATCATCGGTACACTGAGGGAGCTGCACTTCATAACAATTTTCGCCACTGGCCTTGCTGCCTTCTTCGCCTACAGACTCCTTCATGCAACATTCTTATCGCCGTTGGCGAAGGTCCCTGGCCCTCTGCTTGCCAGACTCACATCCAATAGAGGCCATATCAACAACTTCTCGGGCCAAGTTGCTACGCAGGTGCAAAGGGACCGCGAAAAGTACGGCGACGTTTATGTCTTCATGCCCAATGCCGTCTGTGTAAATGACCCTGCCGATGTGCGCGCCATTCTTGGATCGCAAGACTTCCGCAAGGCCGACTTCTTCGACGTCTTTGATGACGGATCGATCAAGAATATCGTGTCTCAGCGGGATCCCGTCCTCGCAAGCAAGCGACGACGACAGATTGGCCCGTACCTCAACTATGCCTACCTCAACAAGATGGAGCCTGTCATCCAACGACACGGCTTCCAGGCCATTCAGTCCAAATGGGACAGACTCCTCGATGAGAACAAGGGGAAGCCAACCGAGGTCAACTACCGAATCGATACCCAGCTGGTCACCTTTGATATCATGAGCGCTCTTGCATTTGGCCGTGACCCCGACACAATTGGCCATGGAAGCTCGTCTGTTACTAAGTGGTCTGCTATTATCATGGACCTGCTTGATTACACCGCAATCCTAGCTCTCCTGTCGCTTCTGCCGTTCTCGCTCATCATGCGCCCGTGGAAGTCCATGTACCAGGAGCTGGCCGACTATAGCAAAGACGCGGTCTCAACCAGAAAGGATCTTCTCAAGACTGGGGCCGAGGCTCCTGCCGATATGCTACAGGCATTCATTGAGGCTGAAGATCCCGACTCCAAGGTCAAGATGTCGCCGCCCGAGATCCAGGCAGAGTGCATTATGATGATGTTGGCAGGCAGCGAGACCACGTCCAGCGCCATCATGTGGGTGTTCCATCTGCTCCTCCTTCACCCTGACAAGCTGAAGAAGGCAGTGGACGAGGTTCGCTCTACATTTGATTCTGACCACTTGATCCTACACCGTGAGGTTCTTTCTAAGCTGCCTTTCATCGAGGCCGTTGTGTACGAAGCGCTCCGTGTGTCTCCCACAACGGCAGGTGTCACGCCTAGAATTTCTCAGACCCGCGGTATCGACATCCAGGGCCATTATATCCCTCCTGGTGTCGAACTCTACGTCAACCTTCGATCAGTCAATATGAGTGAAGATATCTGGAAAAAGCCTGAGCGTTTTGAGCCCGAGAGATTCATTAATAATGACGAGGCCAAGAAGAATCTGTTTACTTTTTCCTATGGCCCGCGCAACTGCATTGGTCGCAACTTGGCTTGGGTCGAAATGCTTACCATTGTCGCCAACGTCCTTAAGGACTATGATATCAGTCTCGCTCCCGGCAGCTCATTCTTCCCTGAGAACCTCGGAGCCAACGGTGAACCGCAGCTCCTTCCTGCCAAGTGCTTCATTGCCTCTTTCCCTGCAAATGCAGAGAGAGATTGCAGAATGCTGATAACGAAGAGAAAATAGTTAATGACAACTCCCGCAGCGGATGGTTTGGGCTAAATGACTTGTTATGGCCGTTTCAAAAAGAGGTTAGGAAAAGAAGTTTGTTGAATGATTAGCTGTAAAAGAGAGAATGACTAGTCAATTAATTGCTTATTTCCAACTGCCGATTGCCCTGGTGCATTAACAATTGCGAGATTGCTAGACGCTGCGTATTCTATTATCATTGGCAGACTCAGCAAATTACGTAGTAGCTCCCTCCAACAAGCTCAATAATCCATTTGACATCCTCCAGGCAGGGCTAGATAGCCCCTTCAGACAGCTGCGGAAGCCCTTGATTAGTCCTTGAATCAATCTATAGAAATAGCTGCTCGTCAGTTCTCCTTTTGTTTTCGTCCTTTTTCTTTCGGAATTTTTGGCAATTATCATAACTACTCCCCTTCAATACCACACTAACTAGCTTGTTCCAGCACTTATTTAAATAGTTGGTTAATTAACTTGAGTTAATAATGACGGTTAATATTCTAGTCACTCCAGGCTAAAAAACCAGTGTATATTTTTCATTAACGTAGCGAAAGTTTCATTAAATACTTTCCTTTTATTTCTACTACGGTAATACTAAAGTATATGATCCAAGAGCGTTGACGATAATGTCGAGTATGCAAAGGTGAAGAAGCATCAGTTTGATATTCAAAACAACAGCAGCAGCCTTTACACCCTTTTAAACCTGATTTGGCTTTTTTGAAGCTACAAAGAGAGGCACAGCTCGGCTCTAAAAATACAACCAGAACCCCAGCTATCCTAACTACGTCAATAATAGCTGCCTAAGTTATCTACACGGCTGAGCAAAAAGAGTGAGCCCACACTAATTAAGTAAATCCGACAACTACATAGCCAGGGCTGCATACTAGAATAACGTAAGGAACTGTCTTTAAGTTTTTGGATATCCAGCATATCTTTCTACCAGTTCTCCGGTACCCGGTTCGGATGGGCTGATACCGTGAAGGTGTATGAGTACCGGGTGTCTCGTTCTTCAAACATCTTAGGTTCGGAGCTAAGATTTTTGTGCAGACGGAAAATAACGACCATTCGCGCGGTGGGTAAAAACCCAAAGAAAAGCCGTGCTGATGTCGCACGATCGCCATACTTCAAGGGGGTGTCGAACCTTGCTGGCGGGTTACTTGGGTTTGGTAATATTAGAGAGTTGGACACGTTTATTGTTGGAATATTCCACTTAAGCTACGACTCACACTCATTACCCAGGGGTTACTTGGGGTATTAGGCCTGTTTGTCCCTCGTGGTCCAACATTTATTCTGTGGCCGGAAATTAAGAAGCTCTAGGATGTCATCATTTCGGTATTGACGCAAATTGTCGATTTGATTCTGGAAAATTTGCGGGGTATTACGTTTCTATCGCCTACGCAACCCAGGGGGTGATGCATACTCCTTGATATGTTATCTCCAAACAGCTTATCGGAAGATGCGCACATCTTGGACAGACTTAGATTGTGTCAAACGCCTGAGGCAAAACGGTGAGCCCGCACTGATTGGCGCAGGAGACGTGTTATATCTTCGACAGATTGTTAAGGTATATAAGCGCCGCGTACCACAATCCTTCAATTTTTGCCATGTAATGTAGGGATAATTGAACTCGGTGATAATGTCTTACAGTACATTTTCCTTGAAAGATATATATGTAGGCGGGCTGTGGATGATCGGCGCCAATGTCTACTTTGATGTCAGGTCGAAGCTGTATTAGGGTTAAGGTTAAGGTTAGGGCTAGGTCTATTTAAAGCATAATTAATGCCAAGCATCAACATCACTAATATATTAGTCATTATTAATCAGCACTTACTCAGCGTGGGGTTTGTCTTTTTTTTCTTCTTTTTCTTGTTTACGACAAAAACTTCAACGACTTCAAGTTCACGAAGAACTAAAAGAAATAAAGCACATCGGTTTGACCAGCGGTTGAAGCCGAATTGAACATCGATTTGTTATCTTGCTGCTTTCTCCAGACCACCAGCCATGTCTCTATCACAGTACATCGACCTCTCGCAGCCGAGTCTGGTCTGTAAGTTGTTCCGCCCTGCTCCTCCACATCGTGTGTACACCCAGCTTAATAGCGTATGCGGGACCAGTGTCTGCCGTGACAATTGCTTTCAACCCGCTCTTCTGGAAGTAAGTATCTGCCTCGGCCCCTTGTATACGTGTCCTAATGCTCACCGTAATAGCATTGTCGCCCGTCAAGGTCTGATACGTCCCCGGTTGTATACATTGCTCCCCGCTCCGCCCCTCTCCACTCCGGGGCCATGCTGCATTTACACTGAAACAGCCATCCTGACATCTTCTTCCGTGCCGGATCTCTAGAATACAACAACCACATCTTGACCAAGCTCTTTGGCGGCAATAAGTACAATGGATGCTACTTCCTGGCCATCACAATCTTCTCGTTAGGCATTATCCGAGACCACCTGTACAACGACGCTCTTAAAAACCAGCCGTATTTTGCGCCTGTCCACCAGCAGTACCTGGCCTATGGGCTCTTCGCATCAGGAAACGTCCTCGTCCTATCTAGCATGTGGGCACTCGGAATCACGGGAACGTACCTCGGAGACTACTTTGGAATCCTCATGGATGCTCCTGTGACTGGCTTTCCGTTCAATATCACCAGTGCTCCCATGTACTGGGGCAGCACTATGAGCTTCCTGGCTGTGGCTCTGTATCATGGCAAGCCTGCTGGCCTCCTGCTCACCGCCGAGGTCTTCATCTGCTACAAGATTGCCTGTCTATGGGAAGAGTACGTTTTGAAACTGCTCTTCATGTATTTCTCTATATTCTTTTCACTTTTATCTTCTATGCTAACTACCACCACCGCAGACCATTCACAGAGGAGATCTATAGCAAGCGTGATAGAGAGAGATCCGCTGCAAAGAAGGCCGGAAAGGCTGCTTAGACTTCATCTCTGCTTACATTGTCCAAGCCAAAGTTTATCCTCTAGTGGGTAGCTTGAGGCCTTATATTTTTTCAAAGGTCCAACCTCTCTCTCAACATGGCAAACCTGGGTGGGCTCCTAGATGGGACAGCCGGTGTTATTGTCGCTGTAATTGTACTCGTACTATACCCCACCCGCGTCTCTCTGGGGTGATACACCCGTTATTCGACCACTTTCATTATGGTCCTTCTTTCCATAAATAGACACTAAAGTCCTGGTCTTGGTTATTTACTTGCTAGAATACATATCAACTACGCGCTGTTATTCATCATAACAGTGCTTATTCTATACAGTCTCTGCTGTCCCGTAATCCACTATATACATGTGTAACGCCGGACAACAACAGGCCGCTAGATAGTTTCAACCAATAGCTATAACGAATACCTTAGAAATAATCAGATCGTAGTAGCTACCTTTTGTCCAATAGTAATTTACACCGTTCCAACAAATAACTAGAGCGTAACCAATGCAACAACGCCGTAAGGAAAAAAGGATAACATAGCACATTCCAGATGGCTAGGTAGGTTGTATATGAGATTCTCAAGTCCTCCGTCCTCTCCCCCGTTTACCCGTCGGTCTCCCTTCATCTAATCCCTCAGTCTCCTCTTCATCCGCCCCCTTTCTCAGATCCTCGCCCTCTCCCAGTCCCCATCGCTCCTTATCGTACCAATCTTCTCCATCACTCATCTCCCCGATATGTGCCTCCGCTTTGCACCATTCCCATACTTCTTCTTTCATTCGATGCGACTTGCGCAGCATCTTGAGCATCTCAGTGAACAGACGTACGCTCTCACCTTGCTTCTGGATATACGCCCATAGCATACGGCGTGTTTCATCAGCTTCGCTCTGGGTTAAGCCACAGTTCTGCTCCTCTAGTGGCATTCGTGGTAGCCGAAAGATGGGATCAACTTCTAAAGACAACGCCTCGTTTTCCTTCTCATTTTGCTTCTCCTGCGAAGCTGTATTCTGGTTTGCGCTTACTTGAGCTCTAGTCGTCATTCGACGCGGATGCAGAAACCCATCATCTGTCATCTCCTTGTCCTTATCCTTGTCCTTCGGTGACCCTGACTCGGCTTGGTCGCCTTCCGGCTCTCCTCCGCCTCCCTTTCGGTCATTGCTCTCCCTTTCGTTCGCATCCGCTGATTCCATTATAGCGTCCCCGTCAGGATCATGGGAGTTGTCTGGAGGCTGGTCTGGTTGATCTACCTTTTTGTCGTCATTTTTTCTGTCTTTACTCGTGGAAATGTCTCCGTTGATATCACTGTGTTGATCAACATTCATACGATCTGAAGAGTTCGTGGCCGTCGGGTTAGAACCGGACGGCTCCTGAGCCATAGAATGTGGAGTTGGTGCACCAAACAATTCTGCATCATCATCCCGCTCCACGGCGCCACAAGGCATCCATATTGAGTCCGTGACAAGCTGTCTATAAACATTCTTCGCTTGCCAGAGCGCATGCCGTTCTAGTCGGAGTCGTCGGTTGATTCGCTCGATCATCGTAGTGATTGCTTTATTAGTGTATGCGTTCGCCATGGAATGATTCGCAAGCTCAGAAGGATGTGTCAATGGAGCTAGAAGGTCTATAGTGGCAGAATATATTAGCCACAGACACATTATACATCATAGTGGGAGGGGTGAATTACCATCCAAGCGAGTTGATGAAAACGGGTTATCGTCCGCTGCTTCGGCATCAGCAGCGGCGTCAGAGTCGTCGAAATCAAGCTCGTCTCCCTCCGCATCGTAGCGCGGTGGGTTGCTTTCTAGTATGTCTCGCGTGTACCCTGAATGTTCCGCTTTCTGTACACGGGGAAAGAGTTAGAACCACCATAAAGTGCAGATATGAGCCTGTCCTTACTTTTCTATAAAATCGTTCATGGTTCATGCAACCTAGGGCACCCTCCCGGACAAACTCTGCATTCAGCCTGGTCTTGTTTCCGCGGTTGGAGGGCTGGTTAATCGCATCGTCGTAAGCAGCATCTATTCATCCACACGGTCAGTATATACCCTATACCGGTGACACTAATATACGGAGGTAGTACCTGAGGCATGCCGCAAAAGGGCTCTCTTCAAGCCGACGATGGTCTCGTCTATCAGGGCCGCCTGAGAAGCCATAAGTCACAGTATTCAAGGAGAAAGGTTTTGAATATTAAAACTAATAGCCTCCAAAGTAAAGGTGCGTAAACAAGTGCAATAACCGGCCAAATAACGAGAGGGCAGTGTTGATTCGGTCAGGGTAGCCTATGCGCTTATACGTGTCGGGAGGTCGAACAAAGGCAGCAGGTGAGCTAAGAGTTGGATGTCAGAGGATTAAGGTGTAGAGAATGACTCGGTATTATCTCCTAGGATGTTGGCGCATCCACTATCAGCTTCCGAGCAGCGAAGAAACGAACGATTAGCTTCGTCTCTTCATGTCTTTTTCATGTCTTTTTCGCTTTCGCTTTTCTTCGTCTGCGTCGATGATGATATTTGCTTATGTCATAATACTAATTAATAATCATGTTAGATAAGCGCCCACGTCAATCACGTGTATAACCGTGCACGGATCAAGAGGCTCAACACAAGAAAGAAGAGAAGAAAAGGAAGAAGAGGGCGAGAGCATGGAATATTATGCGTAAAAGAGGATTAATACAGTGGAAGAGTGAAATTGGATAAGTGTGGTAAAGCATGATGCCATGGTTAGGTTTGTATTAATATCGAGTTGACCTATGCTGTAGCATAGGGATTACTAGATCGAGATTGCTCAGCACGCCAATAATAAATAGCATGTTTTTAGACGATATTAGTTACGAAAGATTCTTGATGTAGAAAAGCAAGTGGCCATGGAAGTTTTCTTGGATGATCATGTAAATGGTTTTCATCTATGAGTACATACAGGCTGACTGGTCACATACTCCAGCCTGAACCCAGAGCGCGCCGACTCCAGAAAACCAAGCCGTCAGATAGATGAAGCCGAATGCCTACAGAGCAGAAACAAGGGTGACATGGCCCTTCTCACCGCGGAGAGAGGGCGTCAGGTAAGGCGGTAGGTAGAAAGTTTTCATTATCGTTTGGCAGAGTAACATGCTATCAACGGTTTTGACGCTCCCCACCAATTTCAACAGAGCTGGAAATGTTGTTTTTTGGGAAAATCCTTTACTCTTCTTCGACAATGTTTCCCTTCTCCGAGACGTATATTCCGTCAAGGAACTAATAGCATATTAGTGCTATACGTCAACTTAGGTTGGGGTATGTATAAAGCTTACCTTTCGAATATCCTTATTTCTGACACGGCAAATCTGTTGTATATCGGCAGCACTCTGTGATACACCCTCGACGGAGTTTCCGGACAGGACGATCTCATCCTTGACGTTGGAGGAAGCAACAACCTCGACACCGGTCTGGCAGACAACGCGACGGACAACCTTCTCACCCAAGAAGTTACTAAAGACAGTATTTCATTAGTATTCCAAACTGCTTCAATGTGTATTATCTCAATAATTTCATAATATTCGGTGGGGTGTCCTCGTTAACGTACCGGATCTCGAGCTCGACGGCACCGGTCTCCTTGTTGGTCTCAATGTTGACGTTGATGGGGAAATGGGCATAGACGTAACGCATCTTGTACTTGAAACCGCGGGTGACGCCGATGATCAAGTTGTTGATGATGGTCCGGACGGTGCGGAGAGTAGCAACGGCCTTACGTCCTCCATGATGAACCTCGATGGCAATGGTGTCCTTCTTTGGGCGGCTGAAGCAGACCGAAAGGTGGGAGAGGTCCTTGACCAACTTTCCTGCATCGTTCAAACCAGTGTAAGCGCATGCCAGTGCATTCGATTCGAGGCATTGTTCAATTCATAATTGTTTGCTTGCGTGTATGTAGGTGTGAGAGCTCTTCTGCGTGTGGAGTGATCGTACCTCGAGGTCCCTCAACCGTAACGATACGGGATCGAATGTGAAGGTTCACTATATCAAACATAACCCATTAGCAACAAGTTCACACTCATATATCCTGATCAAACCCGCGCATCATCCTATCGTGCCGCCGTAGCTAAACAGCCAGATTCCATCCCTCCATCCATCCATCCATATCCTCCACAGGAATAATATGCGATAGCTGCCAAAGGGGTGCTCACCATTCTCTGGGATCTGCAGAGTCTCCTGGGAGTGTATGTAGAGCATCTTGACTCCGCCTGTGAAGAAGCTGACCGAGGGCGAAACGGGAGGTTGAAGGTGGTTTTGTCGACGTTGATGCGCTTCGTCGTTCTTTTTCGCTTCGTCGACTTTCGAAGTTTCGACTTTGGGAAGTTTTGCGGTCGCTAATTTATTATGTAAGCGAGAAGTTGTGTGTTCGCTTAGTGACTATTTGGGTTAGTATATGATGACTAATATCATGTTACTAAGCGACTAATCGACACGTGACTGAGTTCCGTTTTGGGAAGTCAAAAGGAAGACAAACATAGGTGATAATTTGATTGACGTTGGTTGATATTGGCATATTATACAAGAAGAAGAAGAAGAAACAGAAGAAAAAGGGGAATCACAAGTATACAGACATCTAGTATGCATAGAAGAACAAGAGGTTAGGGGTTTGCAAGCAGCGGTTATGGCTCCGGGCCTTCGCTGTGGGGGGCGGCTGTCACTCTCTTCCCGCCGAGAGTCTGCAGCTTCGTCCCCAGCTCGCCAGACAAGTACAAGGCCTCAATGTCGTCTCCGCCACCGATGGTCTTGCCGTTGACGAGGACGTTAGGCACTGTCCTGCGGCCGGTGTTGGTCGCCAGCAGGTCCTGCAGCTTCTTGCCCAGCGGATGTTCGTCCAGCTCGACCACAAAGGGGACGGGAGAGATATCATACTTCTCCAGCATGAAGTACTTTGCCTTCTTACTATAAGGACAGTACGACTTGGAGAATATAATAACTAGTGTCATTAGCCAGTTATTTCGTAGAGGATGAACGTATAGAGTAAGACGGCGAGGGAGGCTTACTTGGAGATCTCTTCAGGATGGCGTTCATCTCTTCCTTGACCGTCTCATCCTCACTCTTTGTCTCCTCCGTTTCTGTATCTTTCCCTTTCACTTTCTCTTCTTTGCCTGGAAGCGCCGTCTGCGTCTTTGAGTTGTCTGCTATGTCTGGCTTTGTCTTCTCTCCTGGCCGCAGAGAACCAGGCCTCAGCTTATCAAAGACACCGCCGTCGCTATCTTTGCCATAGCCATGATTTCCTGGTGATGATCCCTTGGAATTGGGGTTTGATGTTCCCATTTGCGATGTGCTGGTAGCTCTTAATGCCTGCGCACGCCGGACATCTCCCTGTAAAGCAAAGAATTAGAATACATGTACACAACGGGGACAGGATAGCTAGCTGCTAAAGCATCGGTATAACTGTAGCTAGCATAGGGATATCATGTCGCTAGCCGAAGGGCGAACGGGACGTACTGTGAAATATAGTATGAAACAAACCAGTACCACAGCAGAAACCAGGAAAAGTCGGAGCCGGCGAGGAGAAAACATCGCTTCAAGCCTGAGTAAATGACCAAATCATCGGCTGAAGCTGGGATTTATCTTGAATCTCTTAGTATTATCATGGGCTTGTGTTCTATCAAGTTGGTATCTCTTCGGCAGCGTGGATGGTGGTGCTGACGTTGAAGCTAGCTATCCAGCTGTTACACCAAGAAGTCTGTTTAAGCTAACGAACCTGGTCTCGCCCCCTGAAGTTTACGTCACCAGCCTCGGGATGGTTTTGCAGGTGAAGATGAGACATCGACGGAGTATCAGGTTTATCGAGAGAGACAGGACTGATAGCGTAGGGTTTTATTTGTTGCTTATGAAACGGATAGTTGACACGTTATAATAGTCAAATGACACAAACAGAGAGAGAGAGAGAGAGAGAGATAACTAATAATTATAACTAAGTGGTATCTATCTAAAGGTCAATGCTATATGTACTTCTGGTGTCAAAAGGGGCAGGATCCTGGGACGTGCTCGTCGAGTCAAAGAAAAGATATTAAAACATGTACAGTACAGGTTGGGTATCGGATGATTCGAGTATGCTGATAGAGGTAGCCGTGTTCTTTCTGGTGGATTCTGGTGGGTATTGGGTATTGGGTAGGCGTATGGTGCATGGTGCATGGTGTATGGTAGGAGTGATATCGGGAACTACTGCGCAGCAGGCTTGGTCCCGTCCCGTTTGGCCCTGAACAACAATTGTCCAATCCTCCCACTCCTTCGCAACCTCCATCAAGACATTGCCCATCACCGTGGCAGACGCCATAAGTCCGTGTCCCTCGCCCTCAAGGACCCTGACTTCACATCGGCGCATCGTCTTGCCTAGCCATCGGACATTGTCGACAGGGACTCTCGTGTCTCGGGAACCGTGGTGTATGACGACCGCACGGTTGATGTCGACGTATCGGAATCCAATGGCCCGTCTGCGTTCGAGACAGATGAGCAGGTCAACGGCTGGGTTGGCGGAGGTGGTTGCAAGTTCCCAGATTGCATGTGTCAGACGGTTATCGTACTCTGTGCGTCGTTCTTGTTCGGATATGGAGGCGTTGTCGGAGGTAGTTCCCCCAACGATGCTGGATGCGCTAGATTTTACTGCGCCGGCCCCTTCTTGCGTCGGGAGAGGAGGGTGTTGTTTTCGTGGTGTAGAGGCAGGAACCTTGCCCTGGCCGTTGGCAGTGCTTGTTCCTCCGAGCTCAGGTGGTACGGGCGTTGCTTCGCGGCCAACGGTGCTTCGGCGTTTTGGTTTGCGTGAGCTTTTGGGTAGACTGCTAGTGATACTCGCACTGGTTGCGGTCATGAATCTAGAGTTGGCGACTTTGAGAATGGGGGTAGGCAGTGCACGCAGAAGCCGTTGGGAGTAAGGGAGTGCAGTAGCCGGTAATGGGTCTTTATGCGACCCCATGCCGGTCATCTGGGAGGGAGGTATCCAGGGAGCGAGAAGATGGATGCGGCCTCGAATATGTTGAGGCATCCGCAGGGCAGTAGCCAGAGCGTATATGGCTCCAGCGGAGTGTGCAAGCATGGAGAACTTGGAGATTTTGAGGTGTTTGCATATCACCGCAAGGTCATCTACAATAAATAACAAGTCGTTAGTTAGCATCAGAGCGCGCGAGATTGGATACAAGAATACACATACCTGGCCAGTTCAGAGGAGTCCCCGTACCGTCCAGACAGGGCTCGCTCTCTCCAACCCCAGGCCTGTCAGGGGTAATGAGCCGCAGTTTCAAGGTACGAGCGAGTTCATCATAAAAGGCCGTAAGATATCTGGTCAAGCCCATCCCTACGCAGCAAAAGACAACATGGCCATCGGGATCTCCAACCTCGGAAAAGGCGATGATACGTCCTGTCTGCGGGTGAGGTACCTTCTGCGTGAGCTTGGGTGAGGTGATGTATGCCTCCACCGCCTCCTCTATCACGTCGGGGCTACTTGGCCTCGCATTTGCATCCGACGAGGCCCGTGGCGCGGTGGAAGGGGAGTCAGAGTGTGTCCTCCTGTGGCTCTTCATATCAGACCCCTTTGCGTGCTTGTTCAGGCCGTCGTCATTTCTTGAGCGCTGGTGGCCAGTAGGAGAGGCTATCGGCAGGTTTCCGGTCTTTGGTGCAAGGGGCGCACCCCGTTTGCTCACGGAGGGAACTCTACGGGTGCTGACGGTGGGCGAAGGCGCGCTATCGCTGAAGTCAAGAAAGAGTTCGTCTACTTTAGCGAGCTGCATCGGCTGTTTGGAACCTGGGGCGGAGGCGGAGGCGGTGGACGGTCGGGTGTTGTTGGGCTTTGTGCTGTCCGGGGGTGGAGGAGGCAACCTGTCGTCGAAAACCATCCGATCCTTGATCTTTTTCTGGTGATCCTTGATCTCCTTGATGCGCTGGGTTACCTGGTCTGCCTCTGCATTGACTTCTGTGATCTTCTTGTCAACCGTCACATCCTTGCCTGAATATCCACTGTGTCTGCCGGAGCGGCGCTTCTTCGACGAGGAGCCATTGTAGTTGTGTCGCAATGAAGACTCTCGAGTAGGAATGCTTCGACCACTTCCAATGCCGCCAGGAGTAAGGCAGGCTGGCAGTTCATGCATGTGGTGGGCCTGCTTCAGGTTTGGAGCCGATTCTCGCCTTGAGTCCTGGAAGTCTCCAGGCCTGGTATTCTTCTGACTGGCGGACTCGGTGGCAGATCCGTTTGCTTCCTCTGCAAGGTCGGCCATGGAACGGACGGGCCGCAAGCCAGAACGACTATGCTGGGAGTTGACGACTGACGGGCCCGGTCCATCTTCTACACCGAGACGATCCACGGACTGTTCCTTGGCTCGGGTGGAATCTCGCGACGAGCGGCGGAACAGGCCAAGCTGGCTCTTCAAGCTCCTCCGGCTGCCCGAGGAGACTAGGCTGGCGGTCGATTTGCGTGATCCAGGCTCAAGGCGAACCACACCAAAGCTACCCGAATCTTCGTAGCCGGTAGCTGCAGAGCAATGTGAGCCGCGAGAGGGAGGCCGCAGGGAGGCAGTGTCATCCGCGTTCCGGCAAGAATGGTACGACACCGATGAGCGAGGAGAGCGTGCCGACGAGGGCAGCTTTGACATTCTGATGACAGGCGACAGGGCAGCATCATAAGGGTGCAGGAAAGGCGCCTCGCTCTCTGCAGCTGCAGCCGCAGCCGCAGCCGCCGCCTTGAACGATCCATAATCCATATCCGAGCTGTCGAAGTGGCCATCCCGCGGCGTCTTGGGCGAAGGAGGAGCCGTCTGCGATCCGCCTACCCGAGGCAGGCTCTCGAAATGTGTGCGAGCCGGGGTTGATATGGTCGACAGCGACGAGATGAGGGACGAGATGACCTCGGGCGACGCTGGAGCGATGTGCCCCCGGGACGACTGCTTTCTCCCACCCCCAGCAGCGGGCAACGACTGGCGTCTTTGTGATATCTCATTGTGATTATTATCGTTGCTGTTGCTGCTGTTGTTGTTGTTATTATGAGTATTCCTGATGTTGCTGCGGGAAGACCGCCTCTCGGGAGCCTCCATCATTGCGCGCGTGGTCGACGGAGAAGTGAGCAGTCAAAAGAAAATAGGAGGCCGTATAGATATAAGATATAATATGATATGCAATATATAATAATAATAATATAATATATCAGGTCGAAGGGTGCGTCTGGCGGTGGCTCACTCGGTGCAGTCTCGCATTCCGCGCTGTCATTATTGCTCGCCCCTGCTGCTACCAACCGACCGTCAGCAACCAACAACTCGGTGAAAAAGAGGAAGAAAAAAAGGAAGAGGAGGAGGAGGAAGAAGCAAAAGAACAGACCAAAGCCGCTCTCGATTACCTTCTCTCTCGCTCTCTGGACTTCTCGTAAAAGGCTGAGCGCGCGGTTCGCTCAGGTCATCGTTTTGGCGCTCTGGGGAAATGGTATTGGCAGAGGAAGATTTAGAAAAATGGGACTCCGGACTCGCCGGCAGCGATAATTGGTTGGCCGCCGAGGGGCGCAGAGGCCGCGGAAGGGGAGGTCCCAGCAGGAAAAAGCAACGACGGCGTCCTTTTTGTCCCTTTTTCTCTCTGCGTCGTCTCGCGCTGTCGCTGTTGGTTTCTTTGCTTCTTCTTCGTCTTTGAAGTTTTCGGCGGTTGGCGGTTTTGACGGTGTTGATCACGTGAGAGAGTCTGGCTTTTGACGAGAAGAAGAAACAGACAGGAAGAAGAGAAGAAACAGATATAGAGAAGAACAAGAAGAGAAGAAGAAGAAGAGAAGAAGAGAAGAGGGATAGAAGAGAGAGCTGGAGCTGCGTTTGTTCGAGCCAGGGGTATGCTGGTCGCCCGCCCGCCGCGCAAGGAAGACCCTGCCGCGAGATGATCGAGAGGCTCGCCGCAGATAGAGAGCGCCCCCAGCCATCGGCCTCGCCCTAGACGCCCGGAAAGTGAATACGGAGGCGGCTGCCGGAGACGCAGCTGAGAGATTGAGATTGGCACTGCCGTGACATTACAATTAAGATTAGACTTGGAGCTGGCCGTGAGATTGAGACTGAGCTGGAGCTTGGAACCGAAATTACGGAGGACACTGCTGGAGTGCCTGCTTGCTGCTTGCTTGCCTGCTCTGCCTGCTCTGCCTGCCACGATGGATGCGTTCCCCCGGAGCTACGTCGACCACAACCTCCCGCTGGTGCTGATATCCGGCCTGGCAGCGTCGGGCGAAGCTGGAGGGGAAGAAGAAGAAGCTAGAGAGTCGATAGTCTCTGGAGTCGATGGCGCGGACGGTGGAGTCTGCGTCTTCTCGGACTTCCCGCTGGTTGCTGGTGCCGTGGCGGACGGACTGCTGGCTGCTCTGCTCGCGGAGGATGCCTCGCTCTGGCCGTGGAGCTCGAGATACTTCGGCCACAGGGCCAATGGAGTCGGGCTGAGGATAGTGAGAGCCTCCAGGGTGCGTGACTTCTTCTCTCCTGTATCACCAACTGCTTTACGGAGTACTTAGGATATACTAACATACGGTGTATGTCCAGACTTATACGCTTCCACGGCAAAAGGCGGATACTGCACAGCATGCTGCGGACAGCGAGGGACTGGCTCCCATGCCTCACTCGCCGCTGTCTCCTCTCACGCCCGGCTCAGAGGTCTTTCCAGATGGCATGGTCACCCCTCAATGGATATCCAAGCACCAGTGCCTCGTGCCCGCCGCGTTCGTCAACTTCTTCCCTCTCACCACGGACACAAACATGTCCACGCTCAAGGACAACCAGCTCAAGATAGAGATCAACAGCCTGAAGCGGGACTGGGCCCAGTCAGGCTACAAGACGCGCTTTGTCGTCGTCTTCCTGTTCGAGGACGGGCCTGTCCTGGACGACGCCCACTACCGCATCGCAAGCATCAGGAAAGCTACAGGGTTGGATCCCCGAAACGTCTTCACCTTGCCTCCGGGACCGAGTCCAGTCGA